AATTTGTTGTTGTTGTAGTTTGTTGTTGTTGTAGCTTGTTGTTGTTGTTGTAGTTTGTTGTTGTTGTAGTTTGTTGTTGTTGTAATTTGTTGTTGTAGTAATTTGTTGTTGTTGTAATTTTTTGTTGTTGTAATTTTTTTTGTTGTAATTTTTTTTTGTTGTAATTTTTTTTGTTGTAATTTTTTTTGTTGTAATTTTTTTTGTTGTAATTTTTGTTGTTGTAATTTTTTTTGTTGTAATTTTTTTTTGTAATATTTTTTTTTGTTGTATTTTTTTTTTTTTTGTAACTGCCTTAATTTTGATAGACTGCATTAATTAAAATAAAATAATTTTATTAACTTTCAACCATAGTAGAGTATTCTTAGATTCGCCTAGCACCTTGTGGTGACCATATTTTTTTCCAGATTTATCAATTTTTGTTTAGGGCTTGTGGCTTTGCAGCTTCGCTTGCGACCATGGCCCTGTCTCGTTTTTGCCACTTTTGCCCGCTTTGGGCCGAGCTGTGGCCACGCGTTGGCGGTTTTTTGTCGGCTCCCTGGCTGTGGCCACACATGTGCCTTGCCCCTGGACCACCGATCTGATCCCCCGACTACCCAACCTAACCGCTGGTCAGCTTTATTAGGTTCCAGTTTCTAGATGGGAAGGAGGGTAACGTTTTTGGGCCATTCCTGGGCTGTTTTGCGTGTGCCTTTTAATTTATTTATCAGAGGCCGCAGTCGCCACCGCATTTTGAGCTTTTTTTTTTTTAGGCTCTATGTTTTTATTTTCAGTTTTTTTTTTTTGGCCAACTGTGGCCGTGGCAATTTGGCGGCTTTGTTATTTATGCAGCAGCCTGCGGCTGTTTACATTCACGTGCGTTTTGCCTCCTCCTCCTCGTCCTTCATCCAGCTCACAGGACACTGGTCACTGGACACTGGTCACTGGTCACTCGGCATATGCAGCTCCTGTTTCCCTCAACCGACCATGCCAAATGTCGCCTTTGGGGGCTCTCCATATGCTTCGCTGCAACTCCACAAAAACGGAAAACAAAATTAACGCAAAAAAAACTAGGAATTTATGATCAATCCTGGAATTGTATTTTTTTAAACTACTAATACACCGAAAACCGAATAGTTTTTTGTTTAAGAAAACGGAAGGATTATAAGGACATGGGTTTTAATTTCCACATCCTTGTCCCGCCCCCGAAAACTAAACGGCTTCATCTCCGGAGAGGCATTAGGGATTCATGGGGCTCAGTGTTGGCTGTCTTAATGGATTATCGACTTGAGAGTGTCATTACTCAATGTGTCATGACAGTTTGTTGCGGTCGCAGGACCCTCCTGCCTCCCCCCTCGAAAAGCGAAAAGTTTGCCCCAGAATACACCCTTCTCCGCCCCCCCCTTTCAGGATCGTTCGTCATTATTATTATAGTCGTTGAAATTATCATTATCGAAAGGTGGCACAAAGTGTTGGCCATAAATAAGCCTTATGATAGACAACAGTGTGTGTTGGGGCGTGTGGCGATGGCGGAGGTCAGGGGTAGGTCTATCAAAGTGCCAATATAAGGAAGTGTAAGGTGTAAGCAGTGCAAACCATAAATCCCCAATAATTTATTTGCAGTCTCGACCACATTTTCTCCGATTTTGGCCCGGAGACAGGAGAAAGTTTGTCTAAGCGAAGGAGAAATTTGTACAAATATTTGTCTCAATCAGAGAAAGGGCATCACATTACAAAGGAAGACGAACTCGACTTACCCCTTGATTTCATTTAATAAATAAATTAAATATAACCCATAAAAGAAAAGTAAAAAATTAATATGAAATCAGTACTAGAAAGTATTGGAAATCTTGAGTCCTAAGAGGTATTTGAAGAGGTCTTCTTAGACGTAAAGTTTTGTCGCATTTTAAGCCATTTCATAACTCAAGCTGACAGGAGAAAAGAAAGCGGAAAGGACGCAGGACGAAGGCAGGTGGCACTCAATTTATATTATGAGCCAATGTCCTGGACATGGACAGATGAGAGCGCGGATAATGACAGGGAGTACAGGGGCCAGGAACAGGCACACAAAAGGAATTCAATAAAGTGTTAAGTGGGGCAAGCGGCAAGCGGTGGGGTGGGGATGGGGATGGGGAGCGGAGAAAGTGGAGAAAGCCAAAGCAAGCCAAAGGCACGAAAGCATTTCATTCCCAAGATGCTTTTGCGTCACTTGAGCGGCAATTTGAATGTACGAATGGGAATCGGAATCGGAAACGGAATGCGCCATTTTCGGGGTGGGGTGACTGGACTGGGGAACATGGAGTGGCCTGCAAAATGGCGGAAAATGTGGCGGGAAATTTTTGCCGGAAATAGCGGAAGAAGGACATTCGACCGAAAAGCCGAGTTAAATCGTTTGCAGGCCAAACCGATAGTCGATTTGTGCATATAACATTATTATAATGACATTATCCTTCAGCGAACAAAATGCAAGAAAGGACACTGCAAAAAAAGGATATTAGAGAAGCTTTAGAATGAATATTTAAAAACTCGATAAAAATATGTATTTAATGATATGATGTGCTTAGGAAAAATTCAAAGGACTTTACTGAAGTGCGGAATAGCAGAAGGACATGCCTTCGAGTCGCGTTTGTTCGCTTGCAGTAAATAATAAGAAAATTCCTGTGCGCTTTGGCATTTCCGCGCCAAACATCCTCATCATTCTCATCATGAGAACTATGCGGCTCACATCCATACAATGAGAGTCTGAATCCACCCAAAAGGACCTTCTCCTCACTGGCATTTCTGGCACAAGCCATGGGATGGGATGGGGAAACTTTTCGATTGGAAAGGCGGCGTGGAGAGCAGTCGAGCAAATGCAATAAACTTCAAGTTTATTAAATTTTATCACACTCCATGTTATCGGGCATTATTGTTTGTGGGTCGAATCAAATGGCCAAAAGGCCAGACAAAGTGTTAAATTCCAGAGGGCCAAAACGGCAGCAGGTCAGGATATGTTGAGAGAAGGACCTGCCTCTAGCCATTTCCTGTCCAATCAATGCGAAATCAAATCAATTTGGCCACCGGCGGAATCTACAATGAACTGGGCCAGTACCAACACAACCAGGCTATATAACAGGCAACCCAAATTGAATTACCTACGTGAACGGATCTGATGGTCCTTTTATCCTTTCGGGCATAATACGGCTATTTAACAGAGCTTATTCTAATAAATGCATTCAAAACTCAAGCATTCCCTCGAATTCGAATTGAAAGCCAGGAAGAACTATTATTTGGCCAAAAATGTCGAAACGAAAAATGGCCAATAATTACCGATCAACGGGCCAATTATGAGTTTCTAGTTCTCCGCATCCGCATCCGTATCCGCATTCGTATCCGAATTGGATTCCAATTCGATTGGAAAAGCCCGGAACAATTGGAAAAGCGGAAAAAGGAGCAACAACAACCTAACCGATTTGTTCCGTATTACCAAAGTTTTTCCAGAGCAACTAGCAGCTAGCAGCTGGGGGGGGGTATGAAAGGGTTAGGGTTACGGTTCGTTGGGGTTTCTGCGGTTACGGGGCCGAAATGTTTACGGGTTTACGGGCAAAACTGTCTGTAAAACGTGAAGTGAGACATATGTACGGTAACAAATCAATTTTAGTGGCCAGCACACACATTCTCGTACACTCTTTTGGTAGTAGATGGGGCCCATTGGCGAGGCAAGGGGGGTGACAGCCAAACTCCCCAATCTCGTTTGGGCCATATTACTTCCGCTGAACTTGATTGAACTGCTACATTTTCTGGCCCGGACAGCGAGCAAGCGGAAAGCGAAATTCATCAACGCACCATTGCCCGGAGAGTCTACCATGGCCCACACCCCATTCACCCCACCACCTAGCCATGCTAGGCCCACCCCCTTGTGGGGTGGGTATCGTGTAAAAAAAAAAAAAAAAACCACGAACCCCTGTCACTTTTGATTGTAATCGAGTGTTTTTATTGTCGCTCTCTCGTTCTGGCTTTCGTCCTGGATCCTTTGGCTTCTCCTTCTGTGTCTTCATCTAGCTACACTTGGAGAAAATACATTGTATTTGAGAAGACACAGCGATGCAGTTTATAGAAATATAATCTTGTTGGAACCTATCTGTTTATTCTTCTTATTGGCTTCGGTAGTACGGTCTTCTTAGCTTTTTTATATTTTTTTATGAATCACATTTCAGGTAATAATTAGGTCGTTTTGTTTTCTCCCAGTGCATGTTCACTGACAAACAGTTTGATATACTTTACGAACTGTGCTGCAAAGCCACATCCACATCCACATCCACGTGCCATCACACCACGTCTTGTCCATCGTCCTGCGTTTCGCGTCCCTACCCCACCACCTCCTCTTCATCCCCCCCACTCTTGCCTTGTTCTGTGTCCTGTGTAACCTGCGTCCTGCGTCCTCGATCTCGGCGTGTGTTTGCCAATTGGATTTGACATTTTATTGGGTTTTCTTTCGCTCTCGTTACTGCCGTTCCACTGGCTGCTCGATGGCTGATGTTGTTCTTGTTGTCCTGCCCGACTGGCTGCAGCTGTAATTGATGTCCTTCCCTCCAGCTTCCCTCCCGGACATCCTGATCCTGATGCCTCCTGCCAACATAAATCCACAGCCAAACTCCACGGCCCATTCCAAGTGCTCCCACTTTACTCTACCAATTGTTGCCAAGTGTCCGAGTTGCTCTGAATTCCTGAAAGCACGAGGAGGTGGAGAGCCTGGAGTAAGAGCAGGAGCCATATCAGCAGGAGCAGGAGCTGGCAGATTCTTCGTTTTATTTGGGTAATTAGGACAAGGCAACTTGATTATCGCGACGGTGAAGGATTGGAGGATGGGTGACTGCTGCTCTGACTGAGGTTGAGGGTAACCAAAGCAGCATAGCCAGCTTAATGGCATGGTCATAACTCCGGAGTAGCAACGGCTCCGCACAACATTTTTAATCCTCACCATAGTAATTAATCTTTGTGAGAAATTGAACCAGGACCTCTTCTTGATTCTCTTTTGCCAACAGGTCTGTCGGATACGAAGCTGCACGAGATCTACCTGGACGACAAGGAGATCAAGCTGAGCTGGATGGTGGACTGGTACAAGCAGGAGGTGCTCTTCCACCTGCAGAACGCCTTCAATGAGCAGCACCGATGGTTCTATCTGGGATTCTCGAAGCGCGGCGGTCTGGCCGATGCGGATATTTGCTTCTTCGAGAATCAGAATGGATTCTTCAATGCTGTAACCGACACCTACACCAGCCCGGACGGGGGCTGGGTACGCCGGGACTACCAACAGGACTGTGAGGTCTTCAAGATGGACGAGTTTACACTGGCCTTCAAGCGGAAGTTCGACACCTGCGATCCCCTGGATTTGCGACTCCATGTAAGTCCCAAAAAAACGTAATTTCCGAAGTGATTCTAAAGTGAAGACAATTAGGAAGGGACCATGTACGTGGTGTGGGCCCGGGGCGAGTCCGAGCTGGCTCTGGAGGATCACCAGTTTGCCCTGCCCAATGTGACGGCTCCCCATGAGGCCGGCGTCAAGATGCTGCAGTTGCTCCGCGCCGACAAGATACTAATTCCCGAAAAGTAAGTGGACGCGGATGTGTGCTTTGATTGCTTCTTTTCACGGCGTATTCGTAGCGATCTGGACCAGTTTGAGATCACCCTGAAGGATGCGCCCATTCCCGCCGAGGAGACCACCTACTGGTGCCATGTCCAGCGCCTGGACAGCGTTATCCAGCGACGCCACCACATCGTTCAGTTCGAGCCGCTGATCAAGACGCCCGGCATCGTCCACCACATGGAGGTGTTCCACTGCGAGGCCGGGGAGCACGAAGAGATCCCCCTATACAATGGCGACTGCAAGGAGCTTCCCCCGCGAGCCAAGGTCTGCTCCAAGGTAATGGTTTTGTGGGCCATGGGGGCCAGTACCTTTACCTATCCCCCGGAGGCGGGTTTGCCCATCGGCGGCCCCGGCTTCAATCCCTACGTCCGGCTGGAGGTTCACTTCAATAATCCGGACAGACAAGCAGGTGGGTACGAGGCAGGGGGATTTTAGGGGGCTTCTATATCGCCTCTATTTTGTGGAACAGGTCTCGTGGACAACTCCGGCTTCCGCATCAAGATGTCGAAGAGACTGCGGCAGTACGATGCGGCTGTTATGGAACTGGGTCTGGAGTACACCGACAAGATGGCCATCCCGCCGGGACAAACGGCCTTTCCGCTTAGCGGCTACTGTGTGGCGGACTGCACCCGGGCCGCCCTGCCATCCACCGGCATCATCATCTTCGGCTCCCAGCTGCACACCCACTTGCGGGGCGTTCGCGTCCTCACCCGGCACTTTCGCGGCGAGCAGGAGCTGCGCGAGGTGAACCGGGATGATTACTACTCGAATCACTTCCAGGAGATGCGCACCCTGCACTACAAGCCACGTGTCCTGCCGGTAGGGGATAAGTCTTCCGTAGTCCGGTTTTGGTTTGTTGCTCTAGCTGTTTGTGTCCTTTTCAGGGAGATGCTTTGGTCACCACTTGCTACTACAACACGCTCCAGGACAAGAGCGCCGCCCTCGGTGGATTCTCCATCAGCGACGAGATGTGCGTCAACTACATCCACTACTACCCGGCCACCAAGCTGGAGGTCTGCAAGAGCTCCGTCTCCGAGGAGACGCTGGAGAACTATTTCATCTACATGAAGCGGTAACTCAAGTGCAGATCCTTTAAAGCGTACCCGGTTATTCAGCAATTATAAACGCCCAGGCGCATTTGAGGCATTCTACCCATTACATTCCTTTCCATACCCCTGCCCGTCCATCTAATCCCAGGACCAGACCAGGACCCATCCGTCCCGCAGGCATTTTCCTTGCTCGCTAATGGAAGAAATATTTTTTAATCTACGCAGCGGAACCGACGACAGATGACACGAGGGGGGCAGGAAGGGAAGGGCTAACGTTGTGGGTTTTCATTAAGGGGTTTATGCCACCTCCAAGTCCTACCCATGCCTACCCATGCCCCCTCGTCCTTTACTCCTTGTTCCTTGTGCATCAAAGACAAACTTTTCGGCATTCCTTTTCGGCTGGCTTTCATCGTTTTTGGCCCGATTCCTTGGCGCATTCATAACGGCAAAATGCTTTTTGTTCCACACCCCCCAGCCCTCCTGGGCCCTCCGTCTTGAACCATCCCCCTTGCCCACCATTTGCCAGCATTTGGCCCAAAAGGTGTTCGCTAATTGCCAACTTTAAGCAGGATCGGGCCAAAAGTTTACATTAGATTAGGGCCACCGCAATGAGGCATCCTTAGAATGCGTGGAGTCCTGAGGGTCCTGCGAGTTCTGAGCATCGTGAGCCGTATTCATGGCCAACCAAGATATTGGTAAAAGGTTAAGCTATTGTTGGTAATACCTACCAGTTCCTCTCGGTTCTTAATCTTCCCTAACTGAGGCAGATTTTCTGAGAAGGATTTAAGGATTCCAAGCCATCCTCCATCCTAATAAAAGATAGCTCTAAAAAAATCTCAAACTAATTCCTCATTTTTATCCCCCACTTCGTATTCACAGCAAGGAGCACCAACACGGCATCCACCTAAACGGAGCCAGGTCCGCCAACTACCGGAGCATCGAGTGGAGCCAGCCCAGGGTGGACCAGTTGTACACCATGTACATCCAGGAGCCGCTCAGCATGCAGTGCAACAGGTCGGATGGGGCCCGCTTTGAGGGGCCCAATTGGGAGGGCGTGGCCCCGACGCCCGTCCAAATCAGGATCCCCATCCACCGGAAGCTCTGTCCCAACTACAATCCCCTCTGGCTGAAGCCGCTGGAGAAGGGCGACTGCGATCTGCTCGGCGAGTGCATCTACTAGGGATCCACTAAGGAGGATATCTGGCGAGGGCATGGCATCTCACACACACACACACACCCACACAGCTATTAATCGATCCTGTGTGACTAAATGCAGGCACTCTCACACACACACTCGCACAATTGCACGGATAACAGAAGGACACTTTTAATTTTGGGCCGCAGTCGAACCTCTTTCATCCTTGGAAACTAATATTTCACATCAACGGGGAGTTAAGGAATATGTAGACATGTTTCCGGTTATCCTTTTAAGTTCATCCTGTCCAGTTTTCACTGTGGCTATCCTTTTTCAAAGCCGCCAAGTGAAAGCTGTTGGCCAAAACAAATGTTTTCACTCTTTTTGAATAACTAATGCATTTGCCCAGCCACGCCTCCTTTGGGCCACCTGTTTGCCCCCTCCACCCCTCCTTCCATCCCTTTTTTAGTCCTTAGCATTTATGATATGCCCTTTGCCCTTGTTGTCCTGGCCATCCTTTGAAATTTGCCGACTGACAGCGCCGCCAGGCTAAACGTTTAATACAAAGCAGCTTACACACTCACACATCCCTGCAAACACATACATATGCATACGCACAAAAGCACCACCCACACACACGCACACAACCTAGTACACTGAAAATAGTTTTAACCTTTGACTTGTGTTTTCCTTTCATTATTTTTATATTTCTGGTTATTTATTTCACATATCCTTAAGATCGAATAGCATTATTTTTAGAGTGCATACGAAATTTGTAGCATACTTCTCAGCGTCAGCTGAAAAATTAAATGGCCAACTCGAATAAAAGGAACGGTACGGAAAAAGCAAAGGAAATGGTCCAAAGCCGTCGAAAACGAAGGCCAAGACCCCTCCCCGCCCCTCCCTCCGCCATGCCAAAGGCCAATGGCGCTGTTTATACAAAATAAATGAGCAAACTTTTCCAGCAGCCAAGTCTAATTACCAAGAAGCCCCACAAGAAAAGGGCACTGAGCCAAAAGAAGTCTGCTCCAGACTGCAGTTTGTTGAGAAATAGCTGGAATTTTGTTTCGAGTGTAGAGCGGAAATGTGGAAACTTTTCGGCCACTACTGGGATGTCAGTTGGCAGTTGACAGGACATGGAAGATGGGCTACCAGCAGCCAGGAGCCCTCGATCCTTCATTTGAATTCGAAGCAGCCACTACTATTTGTATTAGTTATCATTCATTTGTTTATGATATCCTTCGCACACACACTCACACACAAACACAAACATACATATGAGTAAACATGTAATGGATACGTTTTTGTAAGTGTAGCCAACATATGTAAGATGTGATAATTGTTCTATGGCTATAAAAGAAATATATATACACATAAATATATAAACTATGTAGATGAAATATTTATAAAAACGGCAAGCGGAAAAATCGAAAAAAAAAAAAAATTAAAAAATACGCAAAACCACAAAAAGCAGAGACAAAAAAAAAGTAAAATGTATAATTTATCTAATAAAAAACTGACCACCATACCAGAAATGTGACTTTGTCTATTAAAAATGCAATTCTTCTCAAAAGGTTACAAGGATGGGCTGGATGCTAACGGGAATTGTAATCGAATATCCTTCAAACGGGATTATTTTACAAAATCGCGATGCTTTGTGATTTTTCGGGAGGATTAAAAAAAAGTGTCGAAAGCGCTTAAAAATGTTTGTTTTTGCCTTTTATTATTATGGAATATTTTATCCTTCAACGAGTTGACGGACAAGCGGCGATTTTAATTGATTTTTCAGTTTTGTGACCAACATAAAGGGGAATGGAAATCAGGACGAAGGACGAAGGACAATGGACGATGGTCGAGGGCTGAGCGACAGTCATGAGAGTATTAAAAACGCTTGCAATCCAATTAAAACTTTTTAACGAAACAACAAATATTTTAATATTCATTGGCGCCGTCCAACCAGCTCACATACCAAAATATTTTATCCAAAATAGGAGAAGGGGAGGGGGATGAAAGCCGAGGAAGGGGTAAGCCAGAAACCCCATTGAAAAACGGTAGAGAACGGGAACGACCCCCAGACACTAAAAAGTGCATGGTGGGGTTTCTCCAAAAAACATATTGAAACATAAATATGTAATCTGAAATTAAGGAACTTTGGCCTGCTAAAAAAGGAATATTTTAAATTTTAAGTTTAATTAAAGTTTAGCCATTAAATAGTAGTTTTAGGAACTAATCTATTGAGGTATACCTTTTAAGAACTGGATGTTTACTGCCCAAAATGAAGACATGGTTTGGATGATCATGGGCTTGCCTTAAGTTCTGATTTATATGAAATGAATCTAATAGAAATCTTTTGAGATATTCCGTTTAAGAATTGGGTGTATATTACCTAAGATATAGACTTCTTCAGAGGAAGCCTTTAAATGTCCTTTAAAAAACCCTCGAATTTCATCCAAAAGAGAGGAATTTTCGAGGTCTTGGCTTTCTTTTTAATTTCTCGGTCAAAGTGTTGCAATGGCAGCAGTCTCAAATTTTGGCTCCAACAAAGCGCGCTGACTTTCCTTTCCACATTCCTTTCTTTACCAAAAAAGTCAAGTGGCATACGCGGCGTATGCGTAACGTAATGGCGTACGTGAAGGACTCGCCCAGAATTTTGCGTATCTTTGTGTGCGAGTGTGTGTGCGTGTGTAATCTCCTGTTTCGGGTTGTTGTCATTGCATTTTCACGCTCCCACAGACACACACACAAGCACACGAACGAAGGCAAAACATTTAATCAACCCAACCTTCACCTGGACCGCCTTTTTTCTGGTTAACGTTACAGGTTCTTGGTACAGTGAAGCCTTTAAACGTTATTATTATATTATTATTATATTTTACTATTTTAGAGATTTATATTTCTCTTTGATTTTAAATTAAATGTTTAATGGGAACACCCATATTTTTCTATCCAATCCATATTATGGAAGCTCGTCTGTAGATATGTTGAGGTTGTTGCTTGGTTCGGAATTCTCGCGCCCGCGTAACATCATTACTGTCATCGGCATCTTGGTTCCCGGAGTCCTAGTACCTCGCCATGGCCCCTGGTACTCCCTGGTACCATCTCGTACGCCCCTGTACACCCCTGTTCTCCCTTATAACCCCACGTACCCACTCCTACCGCCTTTTAGCCAACCGCAGTCTCATTCTGCTTAAACATTTATCTGCGGCCCAATCGCACTCGTATGTGTGTGTGTGTGTGTTTGGGCGTGGCTGGAGTAAGGCGGGTACCAAATTTAATGTCACAAACTTTTGATGTGTTCTAATTTATATACAAACATACAAAAGGACAGATATATCAGACTAATATCAAAGACTTCTTCAAAATTGTTAAAAAAAAAAACCTACCTTTTATTTAAAATAAATAAAACCAATTAAGATTTTTCTAAAATACATTTATCATAAAAACACCTTTATTTTTAAGGAAAGTGTATTGATAATTCGTTGTAGAATAATTTATTATTGGGGGTGAGAATAAAGCTTCTTTATGCCCCTCGCCCTGGCCATGAATCGTTAAAGTAAATTTGTTTTCACGCTTGATGGCGAATCGCGCGACCCCCTGGCCCCTTACCCCCCTCCCTACCTCCCCAGTTATTACCCCTTATAAACCCCCCAACCCCAAAGCCCCTATATACGCACTTACTTTTCTTGCATTGAACATTTTTTGAGCGAGTGTTCTTGTTAATATTTCATATGTCATGGAAAGGAGGCACCGCTCCCCCACAGCCACCTCATCAGTCTCTTCCAGCCTCTTCTCGTCCACCTTTCGATTCTCCCGAATATCCTTTTTTCCCGGTAAGCGGCCACAACTCTTAAATCGCTTGCGTTTAAAAATTTGATTATGTGACATTTTCGCTGAAGGTTTATTTTTTTCTCCACCTTTTTTTTGGGGGGTGTTTTGCGTGAAAAGCGTAAAGGAAAAGTCGAAAAAGTTAAAAACCGAAACAAGGAGGAAAAAGCGCCGCAAATTAAATTTGTACAAAGATTCAACATATTTGGTAAGGGCCCTGGCTCCACAGCCTGTGGTAATTTCATTTCATTTTATGAAGGCTTTTCCGATTTTTTTTGGCATTGAAAATAAAGGTTCATAATAATTGAGCATTTAAATACTTTTAACTTTAAAATATTTTTAAAATATTTAGATGAAAAATAAAAATGTTCAAGTTTCAGATTTGTTGATAAGGTGATTTGATAAGGTGTTGGCTTAAATGAATATTTATTAAATAATGAAACAATGTAACTTTATTTAATTTAAAGTGTTTTTTATTTAATTTGTTTTTTTGGTTTGAGGTCCAACAGTGCGTATGAGTGATGCCTTTAGGAGGGCAGTTCGTGTGTGTGTGTGTGTGTGTGAGGGTATTAAGCGACTTAAATCGGCTTTAATGTCCTTCTGCCCTCCAATCAACAGAGACTGAGGGTCTGAGGGTCTGAGGGTCTGAGGGTCCTGGGATGAGACTTTGGGGAGCAATTGCGGATTGTTAGCATTTTTTTGCGTTGTTGTCGCTTTTGTTTTTATGCATAATTTATGCAAAATATCCAAGTACAAATTGACATTAATCAGTATGCTTTATTGACTTGCCGCTGGTCGGTCACTGGCATAAAGAATTGAGGAGATTGCGAGTCCTGCCGCCAGGACACCCATTGGCCCATTGGCGAAATGTCAAAGTCGGGGGATAAAACTCGGCTCTGCAAAAGGCACGCTGACATTTCTGGTTTTGCTTCGCTTAGTCCCGACCCGACATTCCTATTACTTAATCAAGAAATTCCGTTTGCCTTTGACTCTACCACAGAACTCTGTGCCTTGCCCCTGCCACCCTCTCTCCGTCCTGGCACTGTGTTAATGGCCCTCGATCCCATTGTGGCCTTTGGCACGTCCTGGTTTTGCGGGCAAGGGTATCGCCGGCGAATTTCGGCCTCTAGCACACCTCAATTATTAATTTTTGAAGGTTTAATAAAGAAAAAAAAACCAACACATGATAACTTCTATTAAATCTGAATCAAAGAATATATAAAATTCAAAAGATAGTCCTTAATTTTATACAATATTTTCCAAAAGTCCCTTTGCCTCTCCACCCAAACAGCGTATCCTGACATTCGTTTCCGTGCAATCCTTGCCGTTCGCCCATCTTTTGTTTTGTTGATAATGAAAGTGACTTGACATTCCGCCCCTTGTGGCTGGCAGTTGTATTCGCTGACCTCTAACCCCAGCCCCATACCACCTGCCCTTCCCTTTCTACCTTCCTACCGTCTCCCCTTCCCAGTTACCAGCAGCCGGAATTCGCAATAACCGTTACCACACAGCGACAGTCCATTTGACCCCATACCCACAGAAGAGCCAACTCCCCCCGGACCAGCGTCTCCGGATGGACATTTGAAATAAATTCCCCCCAAGGAGCGGTAGGTGAGCGGAGAGTCATAAAGCCAAATACATTAAATTAGCCAAAGAGCTACAAACTGGCCAAGATAAACCCAGGCCTTGGGATCATATTTGAAACCAGCGATTATCTCAAGGGTGCTTTATAATATTTCTAAAAATATTAATACAAAATTTTATTTTCAGATTTTCCACAAGGATCAATATTGGTTGAGATATGGCCTCCACAAGGGGCCATTTTTGCATCCCCATGCATTTTCGCACTTCGGAAGGGGGTCTATCAGAAAAATTTGAAAAAAAATGGATCCAAAATTTTGTTTCCAGATTTTGATGCAGATTTATGTTGAATCGATCCAGTAATCGTTTAAGGTAATCCGCTTGAGAATCGGATCAATATTTGTTGAGCTATGGCCTCTACAAGGGGCCATTTTTGCATCCCCATGCATTTTTGCACTTCGGAAGGGGAATCGTCAGAAAAATTTTGAAAAAAATGGATCCAAAATTTTATTTCCAGATTTTGATGCAGATTTGTGTAGAATCAATCCAGTAATCGTTTAAGGTAAACCGCTTGAGAATCAGATCAATATTTGTTGAGCTATGACCTCCACAAGGGGCCATTTTTGCATCCCCATGCATTTTCGCACTTTGGAAGGGGGTCTATCAGAAAAATTTGAAAAAAATGGATCCAAAATTTTATTTCCAGATTTTGATGCAGATTTGTGTAGAATCGATCCAGTAATCGTTTAAGGTAATCCGCTTGAGAATCGGATCAATATTGGTTGAGATATGGCCTCCACAAGGGGCCATTTTTGCATCCCCATGCATTTTCGCACTTCGGAAGGGGGTCTATCAGAAAAATTTGAAAAAAAATGGATCCAAAATTTTGTTTCCAGATTTTGACGCAGATTTATGTTGAATCGATCCAGTAATCGTTTAAGGTAATCCGCTTGAGAATCGGATCAATATTGGTTGAGATATGGCCTCCACAAGGGGCCATTTTTGCATCCCCATGCATTTTCGCACTTTGGAAGGGGGTCTATCAGAAAAATTTGAAAAAAATGGATCCAAAATTTTATTTCCAGATTTTGATGCAGATTTGTGTAGAATCGATCCAGTAATCGTTTAAGGTAATCCGCTTGAGAATCGGATCAATATTGGTTGAGATATGGCCTCCACAAGGGGCCATTTTTGGATCCCCATGCATTTTCCCACTTTTGAAGGGGAATCATCAGAAAAATTTGAAAAAATGGATCCAAAATTTTGTTTCCAGATTTTGATGCAGATTTATGTAGAATCAATCCAGTAATCGTTTAAGGTAATCCGCTTGAGAATCGGATCAATATTGGTTGAGATATGGCCTCCACAAGGGGCCATTTTTGGATCCCCATGCATTTTCCCACTTTTGAAGGGGAATCATCAGAAAAATTTGAAAAAAATGGATCCAAAATTTTATTTCCAGATTTTGATGCAGATTTGTGTAGAATCGATCCAGTAATCGTTTAAGGTAATCCGCTTGAGAATCGGATCAATATTGGTTGAGATATGGCCTCCACAAGGGGCCATTTTTGCATCCCCATGCATTTTCGCACTTCGGAAGGGGGTCTATCAGAAAAATTTGAAAAAAAATGGATCCAAAATTTTGTTTCCAGATTTTGACGCAGATTTATGTTGAATCGATCCAGTAATCGTTTAAGGTAATCCGCTTGAGAATCGGATCAATATTGGTTGAGATATGGCCTCCACAAGGGGCCATTTTTGCATCCCCATGCATTTTCGCACTTTGGAAGGGGGTCTATCAGAAAAATTTGAAAAAAATGGATCCAAAATTTTATTTCCAGATTTTGATGCAGATTTGTGTAGAATCGATCCAGTAATCGTTTAAGGTAATCCGCTTGAGAATCGGATCAATATTGGTTGAGATATGGCCTCCACAAGGGGCCATTTTTGGATCCCCATGCATTTTCCCACTTTTGAAGGGGAATCATCAGAAAAATTTGAAAAAAATGGATCCAAAATTTTGTTTCCAGATTTTGATGCAGATTTATGTAGAATCAATCCAGTAATCGTTTAAGGTAATCCGCTTGAGAATCGGATCAATATTGGTTGAGATATGGCCTCCACAAGGGGCCATTTTTGGATCCCCATGCATTTTCCCACTTTTGAAGGGGAATCATCAGAAAAATTTGAAAAAAATGGATCCAAAATTTTATTTCCAGATTTTGATGCAGATTTGTGTAGAATCGATCCAGTAATCGTTTAAGGTAATCCGCTTGAGAATCGGATCAATATTGGTTGAGATATGGCCTCCACAAGGGGCCATTTTTGCATCCCCATGCATTTTCGTCAGGAATCCCCATGGAATCGTCAGAAAAATTTTGAAAAAATGGATCCAAAATTTTATTTCCAGATTTTGATGCAGATTTGTGTAGAATCAATCCAGTAATCGTTTAAGGTAATCCGCTTGAGAATCAGATCAATATTGGTTGAGATATGGCCTCCACAAGGGGCCATTTTTGGATCCCCATGCATTTTCCCACTTTTGAAGGGGAATCATCAGAAAAATTTGAAAAAAATGGATCCAAAATTTTGTTTCCAGATTTTGATGCAGATTTATGTAGAATCAATCCAGTAATCGTTTAAGGTAATCCGCTTGAGAATCGGATCAATATTGGTTGAGATATGGCCTCCACAAGGGGCCATTTTTGGATCCCCATGCATTTTCCCACTTTTGAAGGGGAATCATCAGAAAAATTTGAAAAAAATGGATCCAAAATTTTATTTCCAGATTTTGATGCAGATTTGTGTAGAATCGATCCAGTAATCGTTTAAGGTAATCCGCTTGAGAATCGGATCAATATTGGTTGAGATATGGCCTCCACAAGGGGCCATTTTTGCATCCCCATGCATTTTCGTCAGGAATCCCCATGGAATCGTCAGAAAAATTTTGAAAAAATGGATCCAAAATTTTATTTCCAGATTTTGATGCAGATTTGTGTAGAATCGATCCAGTAATCGTTTAAAGTAAGAATCGGATCAATATTGGTTGAGATATAGCCTCCAGAAAAGGTCACATTTCCATCCCCATGCATTTTCCCACTTTTGAAGGCATCTTTCAAGGTATTCCCAAGGAAAATCTTGCTAATAGATCGGGTGAAAATAGAAAGATATATATAGACTGCTATAGACTGCAGTTTCTGCTGTTACTTGCTTTATTAAGGAAGCTGGCATACATAGTTGCACTGATAAGAGTAAATTGTATTTTTGAGGAAAAAAAACGGAAGGAATTCCTTAAAAATACTACTCCCTTGACTCCGAGGAACTTCTCGGAGTAACCACTTAGGGGCTCTGTGGGTCTCACAGCCCACCCTCGCCTACGTAGGCAACCACTGAGTCTGGGACAGGAGTGGAAGTGGTGGAGGCGGCATCGGCGGTGGGACTAGCCGTCTCAGCTGCGAACGCTCCCGGGAAGTTGTCCAACTTGTGAGCCACGTCCTTCACATGGCAGCACTGAACCAATCCGTATGCCGGAAACTCACGGAGCTTGGCGAACAGCGTATCCTTCAGCCAGGACACTTGATGGCACATCGAGGAACAAACTTCGGTGGCATTAACGCTCTGGAATGGGATGGAAAGTCAGAGTATTCTTAGCAGGAAAATACGAACACTTACGAAGGGCGAATTGTGGCCAATTATTACGAACTCGTCCTGGTCCCCTGCATGTCCTGTCGGCTTAAGGGAGTAGACGTGGGCCCAAATGTAGGCGGGTACCGGAACGGAGCCGGTACCAGGTGCTTTCGGCTGAATCACCAGATATTCGGTGTAATTCATGCAAGGATTCGTCGAGGTCCGCGGCAGATGCAAGGTTCCGGAAACGCCAAGCCGAATGTCGAACTGGGTTCCCGCCTCTGTGGCAGCTCGCAGGGCGTTGAGCCAGAGCTTCCAGCTACCAGTTCGCAAGTTCTTTAACCAGATGGTATTGAACATGTCCTCGTAGCCGACCAGAGCCTTTCCAGCCGATTCGTCCTGTACCAGGTTTCTGTATTCAAATATCCCGTTGCCGAACAATTCGGACAGGTGCCTTTCCTTGTCCAGATACGTGTCAATGTCATCCTGACTACTCAACACAAGTATTGATTTTATATTAATTATTAATTAAATATATGTATTATTGAAAACGTACCCGAAGTTCTTAACTAGATTCTTCCGATAAGCCACGCTAATGTCAAGTCCCAGGTTGTTCAGCTGCCCTGCTTGGCTCTATATACGAATGGAGAATCATTTAAAGTGTTAAATACATACCCTATAGTATGTATATACTCTGGGAAGGTTATCAAAATATATATAGAAATACCTCCTCGATTATTCGCTTTCTGGTGGAAAATGAAGTATAGCTGATGTACTTGAGCTGGGCCTCCAGAATATCATAGCACATGGCAGCGTTCTTAATAGTGCCCTTATCCTGGAAGTCGTAGCCCAGCACGAGGGTCATGTAGTTGCTACACTCCGGTAAGCTGGTGCGACTCTCAAACATTTGAGAGACTCGCCCCTTGCAGTTAACTTCCAAATTTCTAGCTCTTTCAAATTCACCATTTAAACGGAAATAACTTGAATCACATTTTAACGTAATTTGAGGGTCAGCACTACTATATTGACGATCATATCCATTGTAACTGCATATGTAAAAATGCAAAATAAATACTATAAATAGTTTTTTATATTAATTAAGTCAATATAAACTCAACTTATAATTCATGTCAAATCCACTGCCACAAAAAATATTAATTTCCTCCCCTTCTTCTCGTTCGTATGAGCCGGAAGATTCAGACAGAAGTAGCTTCGACCCGAAACTGGTGGTTACAACGGGAGGATTGCTGGTGGATTTGAGCGAGCATCCTGCCAATGCTCGCTGCGGCTGGCCAGACAGGACGAAAAGGCTCACTAGTATGGTATATGGTAACCGGACCATCGCGACGACTTTTATTCACAAACTGATACTGATTGAATGGCATGGCGAGAGGCTTTTTATAGCCCAAAGGAACTGCTGATGGAGCGATACGGCTATCGCTGTATGGGATTGCAACATTGTACCCATTTGCATGTGCCTATATACATATGTCCGGCTTAATCTTCGCCTCATCATCAGTGTATGTAACTTAAACAAATCTATTATTTGTTTTTATACGCGAAAACTGATCTTGGAGGGCCAACAATTCGTGGAGTTCCCCGTATTCCAGCTCTGGGATGGACTCGATAAGAATAAATATATAAACTTTTACAATTTCATGCGATGTCTATTCGAAGCTTATCGCCGTGGGTCTTTTCAGTTCATTCGTCTGTATTATGTACATATATGTTATATTTTCTAAAGCAATTATAATAAATAATAAGAATATATATACATAGAATCAGCTGTAGTAAACTTATCAGTTTTTTTAACTTTTTTCAAAATATAAATTTTGTATTCACTTCTTAGCGGACATTTTCGGTATTTCGAAACCGATTCAAAAACAGATTACCATTTATGAATCAGAGTTCCAATCCCCTTCGATCTGAATCAAAATATTGGACCAAATACTGGATATTATTGGAAAGTAATGCATATTTTTCAATTCAAAAAAATTAAGAATTTTTGGAAATTTCGATGTTTTTTTTCTTTGCCTTAAAAGAACATGTTTCTAAATAGCCTAAGCGGTCCGATTTGTTATATTTTAACTAAATGGTCATATATTTCTTTTATTTCAGAATCTTTAGATTCAGATTTTAAAATTCTGGTTTTTAAAAATGATATGTTGGAAAAATTCGAGAGTCCCCGAGTCAAAATAAAACACTTAAATGAAATATTTTTTTATGAACTTTTGTTTATTTTTTTGTTGGTTTTCTTGTTTAAATTTTTTTTCTTAAATTTTTTGTTTTATACTTTTCTTAAATTTTCTTTTATTTTGTTTGTAGTTCTTCGCTCTTGACGGCCCTTTCATTAACACTAAGTGTACGCATTAAAGGTAAAATATTTGTTTACGTTTTACTTGTTAATTGGTTTCCTTCGGTCTCCCCTTTCATCAATTTATTATAAGTAGGCTTACTATGAAGTGGTGTATATATTTAATTATTTAGTGAATGCTAAACGGGGCGGGGCTAGGAGCCGAACAAGTTACAATTGGAGGAGCCATTGATGGGGCGCGTGATGGACTTTTGTATTGGCATCGACCTGGCATGCACACGACTGACTACACAGCCCCCCACATTCCTCATTCTATGCCCCCCGCTTTTTTTCTTAATCCTTTTTTTTGTTATGTACTATATATATATATTTGTTTAAATTTTCATTAATATAAGTTGTTGCATTACGCTTCCGGTAAGTGCTTGGATTTATTTTCTTGGTTTAGCGATAGGCGCTTAAGGCTAAGATCGTCGCTTACATAATAGAAAAGTGATTCTTTAGTGAGTTTTTGCTATATATTACATACTCTTCTGATCCTGTTCCTGATCCTGATCCATCGTCCCTCCTTCTAGTGAATTCTCATGATTCGTGCTTTACGTTATTTAACAACAAAAGTACAACAATTAATATCTAAAATGCCAAAATGCATCTCCTCGAACTGGACAAAATGAAGCATCGGCATCTCCTCAGTAGCCCCGCAGATCCGTAGATCTCATTATCATTATCCCTGGCTAGCGATGCAAATCTGAATCGGGGTGAATTAAAAACTGTGGAGGGGTTTTGTTTTTTAATCGATTCTTTTTTTCTTTCGGTTTTCCCAATTTTTATTTTCATACATTCTTCTTTTTTACGCCTTTTTCTTGTTTTTTTTGTTGATTTCTTGGTTTTTTTTTTGTTTTTGTTTGTTATAGTTTTCAATTAAATGCTAAAACTAAGAGTAGAAAAAAAATGTTTGCTCCTTCGTATAGGTTTTGTTTTTTTTTTTTTGGGTGGTTTTGTTTTTTTTGTTGTAGTATGCTCTATATATATGTTTATATATATATATATTTATTTACTTTTATATATAGTTAATCATTAATTTATAGATTGGGGGATTCTTTTGTAAAATCCTTCCTCCTTCCATCCGGCTTCTCTATCGCTTTTCATAAAACTAATTTACACGAAACGAAATGACGTCTTCGGAGATGGATGCGGGCGAGGGGATAACAACATAAGGATACGTGGGGGGAGGGGGAAGAGTCAACTGCCTGTATATACAAGGACATCCCACATAGCACACAGCACACCAGGAATCAGAGTCAGAGTCCAGAGCTAATGGTCCAAGAAAGAAGCAATTTTGACAAACAAATTAAAACAAAAAAAAAATTTTTTTTAAATAAAAAAAGGATCTCGTCGACCTATGACCTATGTACAGGGACTCTGGATGCACACATCCCTAAGGACGAAGATGAGGACAAGGACTCGAAAGGGGCCAACTACATATGTATAGTACTACTACTTTTTTTTGTTTGTTTTTTTTTGGAAGACGCCACAAACTGGCTGAACTTTACTGAATTGTCACTGCAATGGTTTCGGTTTCTGTATCTTTTTCTCTCGGTGTATCCTTTTGTCTTCAGGGGTTTTCCAAGGGGGGTTTATAAAAATTTTGTTGCTACTTAGAAGCGAAGTCAGCTATTCTTCGAGGAGGAGTCTCTCGGGGATTCTGGGGGCCTGTGTGTGCTTTTCTTTGCATCTTTCTTGGGGAGGTGGCCACGATGATCCTGATCGGGATGGGAGGAGGTGGGGGAGGATACTCGTCGTAGAAGGAGGTGGACTATATATAGCATATGACATTTTTAAAAGTTAACATTATTGGATTGTTTACAGACAACAATTCTTTCTCTCGCATCCCCTATATCTCGAATGGATTTCGCTTGTTTGATTTTTCTTAAGACTGTGGTTTTGTTTTGTTTTCTTTTTTTTTTTTTGTTGTTGTTGTGTTTTGTTGTGTGTTTAAATTAGTTAACAATTCTAAGCATAGAGGTGTGTGTGTGTGTGTGTGTAGGTGGATACAATTAGGAAAAAAAAAAATATTCTTTTTCAATTAGACTTTAAACTTACTAACTAAACATGCCTAGGCAATCAATAATATTAAACATTAATAAGCATTGGGATCTCCACGGTCCTCACATCATCATGCTAATCATAATTATAAACATTATCGTTATGATCATTGTAATCTTAATAATCGTAAGTTATGTGTTAAAAAAAAAAAAAAAACTCATATATATATATATAGATATATATATATATGTTATGTGAAGAATCAATTGCTAACCAAAGGAAATTTGCCTTTTTCTGTTAATGTTGCCGCTGCTGTGGCTGCTCCTCATGCTGCTGGGTCCTTGCATCCTTGCTGATCCTGCTCCTCTTCCTCTTCCGTATATGTTGGCATGCATATATATAGATACTCACTAAATGTACGTATTTTTTAATTACGCCTTAGAACATTGCTTATTTTTTTCTTTGTCTCTCGCTTATTAGCTTTTTTTTTGTTTATTTCCTGGATGGTTACTTGGTTGGTACCAATCATTGATTGATTGATTGATTGGTTGGTATTGGTATTGGTATCTTGCTTGTTTTAACAATTCCTTTTTGGAACTGCCGTCGTTGTCCTAGCCAGTTTGCTATCGCAGCTGTTGTCCTTGGTTTTCGGTTCAGTGATGCTGATGCTGATGCTGGTGCCGCTTGAAACGGCGCTGCTTCTTTTGGGCTCCGGCGGAGATGCAGGTGGTGGTAGTGGTGGTAGTGGTGCAGGATGAGGATGACGAGTTCGACTTCGTCTTAGAGCTGACCCTTCGCAGGGCCTTGGCCTACAGCGTCTCCTCGAAGGCAGCCATGAGATCGCTCTGCATGTTCATATCGATTTGGCCAGCCATCTGTTGGAATAATAGACAGGAATTAGTCCCTCCCCATACATCTCATACTCGGATGAAACTTACTGCCTCGCGCCTGCGCCGCTCCTGCTCGGCCCGCCGCTGCTCGGCGCGCTTGGCGGCCGCCCGATCCTGCGGCGATTGCTGCGCCGGCGAGCTATGTCCCTGCCCGCCCGGCGACGCCTTGATGTCCTCCACCCGCGATATCTGTGGCTGTGCGTCGTGAACGCTTTTCCTGCCAAACGAAAAACATGAATCAGGTGTCTCCACGAAAATGGGGTTAATGAACCACTTACCTTCCGCTTTCCATGGCGCCCAGAGGCGAGGCAGCCAGTATGGCTTGGGCAGCTACAGCGGCGGCCACATGCTGGGCCTGGGCTTGGGCCGCGGCCTGTGTCAGGACGGCCACCTGCTGACCGTAGTCGAGGGCCCCGCCGCCACTGCTGCCCTGGCTGTTGGAGCCTGGGCCGCCGCCACTGCCCACGATGCCGCCCACGCTGCTGTTGCTGTTACTGCTGGCAGCACCGCCGCTGCCCACGCCACTGTTGCTGTTGCTGCTGACATTGGCCAGCGCTGGGCCGCTGTTGCTGTTGTTTCCGGCGTTGCCGCCGCTGTTTGGTCCGCCGGCTCCTCCAGCGCTGTTCGGGCCACTGCCTCCGCCGCTAGCCGACCTTCCGCCGCCGCCGTCACTTCCTGCGCTGCCGGGCCCGTTGCTATTCGCCGAGTTGCTGCCGTTGCCGCTGCCGGAGCGTTCGCGGTCGCGCTCTCGCTCTCTTTCCCGCTCCCGTTCCCGTTCGCGCTCTCGTTCCCTGTCCCGATCACTGCCGCTGGAGCTGCTGCCGGAGGGATTCGCTCCGCTAGAGGCAATCGCCGCTACTGCCGCCGCTGCTGCTGCCAATGCCTGGGATGCTGCCGCCTGGGAGGCTGCTGCCTGGGAGGCCGCCGACTGATTGGCAGCTGCCTGGGCGGCCGAGGAGCTGGAGTTGGAACTGGAGGACGAGGAGGACTTGTGATGCTTGCGCTGCTGCTCCTTCTCGGCTGCCTCCTTCTGGTGCTTCTTCTCCTTCTCAGCCGCCTCCAGCAGCTTGAGGCGGTCGCGTTCTTTGGCTTTGTTGCGGAACTGCTGGAATGAGTCCATCGCCGGCTTGGTCTTGCCGCTGCTCGAGCTGCTCGACGTGTTCTGCGGGGAGCTGGCCGAGGCCAGCGACGACCACGAGCTGGCGTTCTTCAGGTTCTTCTGGGCGGCCGCCGCCGCAGCTGCTGCTGCCGCCGCTGCAGCCGCCTGTCCGGGATGCAGCTTGAGGTCCGATGGCGACTGCTGGGGCGGCAGCACCTTCTGCTGTTGCTGCTGCTGCTGCTTGTCCGGCGGACTGGGCATCATCGACTCGATAGGCTTCGGTATGATGAGCATCTTGTTGGCCACTTGCTGCTGCTGTTGCTGCTGCTGCTGCTGCAGCTGGTGGATGTGCTGGGGCTGCTGCTGCTGGAGCTGATGCTGGCCCTGCTGTTGGTGTGGCTGCAGCTGTTGGCTGTGCTGCTGGTGCTGCAGTTGCTGGTTGTGCTGCTGCTGCTGCTGAAGCGACTGCTGCTGGAGAGACTGCTGCTGCTGTTGCAGCGTCTGTTGCTGCTGCAACTGCATCTGCTGCTGTTGGAGGGTGTGCTCCAGGTCCATTAGTGCCGAGGCCACCGTCGTGCTGAGACCATCGAATCCGGCCATACTGAAGTCGGCCACGTTGAATCCGTTGTTGTGCGCCTGCTGCTGCTGCTGCTGTTGGGGATGCTTCTGCTGTTGCTGCTGCTGTTGCTGCTGGTAGGCAGCCGCCGCCATGTCCATATTGAAGTTGATGCCTGCCAGGTGGTTGCCATTCATCCCGGCCACACCATCCGTCCCCTTGGTCAGCAGCTCCGTAACATAGTCCATGCCATGCTGCTGCTGTTGGGTTCCTTGCTGCTGCAGCTGCTGGTGGCCTCCGAATGCCGGCTGCTGTTGCTGCTGCATGGGATGCTGCTGCATCAGAAAACTATCTGTCAGCGCGGCGGCGGAAGACTTGCCCGTGGAGCCGGTGCCGGCACTGAATTCTAGCGAGGCCAGCGACTGCTCCACGGGATCATCAAACTGTGGAATCTGTTTCAGGCCGGCGGCGAGCGAATCCAGCGGATTGCTACTGCCGGTGCTGCCATTGTTGTTCCCATTGCCGCCGCTCAGGGATGTCAGGGCAGCCGCCAGTGCTGCATGGTGGTCTCCCAGATCGCCGGGCTGCTTGTGCAGATTGCTGGCTATCCGAATGCCTCCTCCGCCGCCGCCGCTGCCGCCGCCGCCAGCTCCGGCTCCAGCTCCTGGGAAGTTGTGCGGGGGTAGAGAGGCGGCAGCGGCGGCTGCAGCGCCGACGACAGAAGACGGCACCTTGCCCAGATCGTTGGGTCCGTTCTTGTGGGGCGCCACACCGCCTGCAGCACCGCCGGCCACCGAGGGAGCGTGCAGCATGTTGGGCACGCTGGTCGCCCCACCGAAATTGCTGCCCGGCAGCTTGTTATTGTTGTTGAGCATGGCAGCCGCCGTCAGAGGATTGGCATTGCCCAGCATGGCTACAAGAGGCAAAGGATTCGGGCACGGGGGGGGGGCATTTGGGGAGAGATGGAAGACATGGAAGATGGGTATCGAAATTAGTCACTTGAAGGAGAGACGGACGCACTATTCGGTGGCGATGATACTTACACATTTGTGATGTGGGTGCATTGGGATTCAGCACATTGTCCAGGCTCATGAGCAGGGTCGAGGTGATGCCGTCTAGGCCGCCGCCTAGGTTCGGATTATTGACCTATTCGTGGCCAAAATGATGGGAATGCGAGCCGGAGGAGGGCGGGAGCGATGAGAAGGGAAGAGAAGGGCAATAGAAATGGGTTTAACACAGAGTCTAGTAATCACAGCATGCCGCCATCTGATCTGACCATGGGGAGGGGATATATCACCTCAATAACAATACCAGTACCAAGATAAAGATCCCCCCTCCGTGGTCAGCCTCTAACCTGGCCCAGGAACGTTTATTGTAACCCGACATTTGGTACTCACATTGCTGCCATTGGAGTCGCGGGACTTTTTCTTGCGCGGCGGTCTCTCGTCGCCGTCACCTGGGAAAAGGGGAGAGCCAAGAAAACGGAAAGGTTAAAGGTTAAATACAAGTATGGCCAAGGGTCAAGATGTGCAGGTGGAGCAGGTGGAGACCAATACGTTTAAAGAAGGATTAGAAAGCTGAAGACGGGCAGCAGAAATGAAGGCAAGCATGGAGAGGAGCTCTCCACTCTCAGATGAAGGTCATCCATCCAATAGTGGGAGGGGGAGAGTGGGGCGGAAAGTGACAGAAAGTAACGGCTTAAATCATACTTATATAAACATATAGACAGAACAAGAGTTTAAAGCTCAAAGCATACAGTATATATGGTACATGTACAGTATATAGATCAGTATAGTATCAGGAAATACCTCTTACAGAGCCAATCGATCGATGAAACAATTGTGTTGGTGGCGTGGTGGATGCATGGCGGCGGTTACGGATACGCTGCTGAGAGGTGAGAGCTGAGAGAGCTGATGGTGTTTACCTCTGCCCACGCAACCCCACATCCCGGTCTCATTACTGTTTAGTTACTTGCTTATGGGAACTGAAAGAAAAGTGCCACCAGAGCCCAGCTGCCGAGATTGCAGTTCTCTCGCCCCGAGAATCTAATCTCCGGTTCTCAGATTCCATTCCATCCGCCGTTGCTGTTGCACCACCGCAACGGGGGCAGCCAATATTTGTTTATTTATTTATTTTTTTTTTTTTATTTATTAATGCCTGAAAGCCAAGTCCTGGGGGAGGAAATTGGCAATAAAGAACCGTTTGAAAACCAACAATCCGCAACCGAAACCGAACTCGAAACCAACCTCTCAGATACATCTATCTAGAGAACCTATTTTTTTTTTTTTGTTTTTTTGGTGGGAATGAGGAAACACAGAGGGGTTTTTTTTTTTTTTTTTTTTTTTAATAAACATTTTCTCTTTTTTTTTTTTCTTCTTTCATTTTTTTTTGTTTGTTTTGTTGTTGTATTCAATGCAGTTGTTTCTTTTCTTTTTTAGTTTTAGTTTTAGTTTAGTTGTTGTTGTTGTTGTCTATTGTTTTGCTGCAGCTGATGCCATTTTGTAATAATAAATATTATTATTATTTGTTTTTACTATAAATATTTAAATGTATGCTTCTCATAATGCTAGATGTGTGTGTTTTTAGGTGTGTTTGTGTGTGTATTTTAATTTAATTTAATTTTAGTTCATGTTTCGTGTTCATGTTGGGCTCCGTTCCGTTCAGTTCAGGTGTCCGTATCCGTATCTGTATCTGTATCTGTAACTGTAACTGTATCTGTAACTGTAGCTGGTGTATCTGTATCTCTGCTGCTCTCGTCCTCGTCCATTACCTTTCCCTAAGATTTTCACTATTTATCCTTGCGGTTATTTTATTTTATATTTCATTTTATTTCGGCTTTCCCCTACTCTCTCTTTCTCTCTATCTTTCTTCTCGTCTCGTCTCGTCGTTCTGTGCGAATTGAAACCAAAAATGCATTTTGTTTTTTTTTTTCTGTTTTATGTTTTTTTCGTTTTTTGATTTTAATATTTTGGTTTTTTGTTTTTTTTTTTTTACAACGTTCTTACAAGACCTTTGAGCGTGTTTACATGTGTGTGTGTGTGTTTGTGTGTGTGTGTGTCAAGGGTCAAGGGTGTTATTGCATTTCTCTGATCTGCCTCGACGAGCCTTCGAACTACCATACACGCTAAAAAAAAAGACTACACTTAGAAACAAAACAATCTCAATGCAATGCGGAAGGGAGTTGAAACGTGAATCGCGCGATGTTGCGATGCCTGATTATCCTAGAAAACACAAGAGAGTCTGCATCCATTTTGTGCATGCATGAACATGAACAAATTTATGAAAATTATTAAAAAAGATATCAACTTTGATGGATAATTCATCTACAGAGCCCTCAAGAGTGTTGCGTTTTTAGGAAAAATTAAAAAAAAAAATTAAAATCTGACTTTTAATATAAATCTCGTGTGTTGTTGGATGCTGAAGTTGTTGTTGTTGTTTGTCGTTCATTATTATTATTATTTTTTGCATTTTCTCTTTGTGATTTCAATTGATTTATTTATCTCATGTTTTAATAGTAAAAATTTATATTTAAATTTTATGCAATTCGTTTTGTTAATTTTTTCTTTATTTCCATTGCATTATCATCATCATCATCGTCATCTTCATCATCAATTCTCCTCTTCTATGCATTCTTTTTTGTATGTTTTCGTATATATATATTTTGTTTTTTTTTTTTTAATTTTATTTTGAAAAAAACGTGCAAACAATGTGTAAAGGGGAAAGCCGACAGCCGAAAAATAAATAATAAAATGCTTTCAAAATACATTTAATTATTTTTCTTTTTTTTTCTTAGTTTTTTTTTTTTTTTTTTATTTATACCTCATCATGTTATTATGTATATAGCATACGTCTCTATGTATATATGTACACCTATATAGCTATGTATATAGTATATAGAACTAGTTTGAGTTTGAGTTTGAGAGTTCAGCAAATAGAGCAAAAAGGACTCTAAACGTAACGTAACGCTTCTCGCTTTGGAGTTATCTAAAGTTTCGATCTGTTATCTCTGTTTCATACCCGTTCTGTTCCGTTCCGCTCCTCTCCTGCCGAATTAACCGTTATTAATACAACTACAGACAGAGACAGACAGTGACAAGGACACACAAAGCGCAAGGTCGCATATGCGCATGGGCGCCGCCGCATGGGGCGCATGGGAGCGAGGACAAGAGAGAGCCAGAGAGCAAGACCGCCCCCCTCCCGAAATCGAAATAAAAGCTAACGGTCTTTTATACTGGAAGATGGCTGGAAGCTTTTCTGTTTCTGATTTTTCTTTTATTTTCTGCATGTTTTTTTTTGACTGGTTTCTGTTTATGTGGATGACAGTTTTACGTAGTCGAAATGATAACGTTTCGTTATGGCGTTTTACACAGTTTAAATAAGAAGTATAATAATAAATACGAATTAATCAATGTTGCTACATGATCAGTACCCCTCTTTTCTAATTCTCTCTCTCTCTCTCTCTCTATCTGCCTCTCTCTCGCTTTCTCTCAACGCATCTCTGTCTCGTGCTTTCTTCGTCAGACTTTACGATTACTTCTCTTACGTATTACGTATCGTCGCTCCTTACGTTCATATTACACTTTACGCTTTTTAGTGTTTTTTTTTTCGGTTTTGTTTTGTTTTTGTTCTTGACTTTGTTTCTGATCTTCCAAGCTTTTCATACTTTCTTTGTTTTTACACATTGTCTGCAAGTGTATCGAGAATTTCATATCATTTTTGTTTATTTTTTTTTAATGATTTTAATGATTTTTTGCATATTTTAGACATTGTATATGGTAATTTTGCTTGCATTTTTGGTCGTTTATTCTGCATTTGAATTTTTTGTGAATTTTTTGTTTTTTTTTATTGATTTTGCCTTTGTTTTACTATTATTTTACTGTTATTGTTTTTTGTTACTTTTTTCATTATTATTATTATTATATTTACACATACGACGAGTTGTTCTGTGAGGTTGTGTTGTGTAGGTATGATGTGTGTCAATAACTTACTCAAAAAAAAAAAAAAAAATTATTACATTACATATTACGTAATATATATATATTTATAAATATATACATATAACAAAGGTCATGTCAACACGAAAGGTCATGTGGGTTAGGATGCATCGAGAAGTTAAGACTAGAAACTCAGCATGGAATTGGCACAGAAGTCGGGGGGAAGAGATTTCAGTTCTCCATGGATAGTAAGTGGGGTGGTAAGTGGGGTGGTGGGTGGTGGGTGGAGACTAGAGGTTAGGCTCTCTGATCGGATCATGACAGGTGCATCCTTGGACTGCGTGAGTGTGAGTGTAAGTGTGGGTGTGTGGGATGGTGGATGATGTGTTTTTTTTTTTATTTCGATTTATTCATTGACCTTGTCAATCATGCATTGTTGTTGCTCTGCTGCTGCTGTTTTTTTTTTTTTATTATTTTTTTTATAGATTTGATGGAGAGTTTTGGTTTGATTGGTTGATTGATTGATTGATTGATTGGTTCGATTGATTGGTTCGATTGGTTGGTTGGAGTTGGAGTTGGAATTCATTAGCTTTGCTTTTCAGATTGGCTGCCCCCAATACACAATTGCTTCACGATTTTTTCAGCATATTCTCATAATAATCATAATAATAATCATAATAATCATAATATTGGTAATAATAAGGTTTTCTTTTCTTGTTCTTTTTAAAAATTTTTGTTTTTTTTTGTTTTTTGTTTTTCAAAAAAGAGACTTAAAGTAGTAAAGTGCTTGTGGTAAGCTGGTTTTCTTATTATTCTCATTTTTTTTTTTTGTTTTCTTTTTTTTTGTTTTAGATAGTTGTGTGTGTGTATGTTGTGTGTTTAAGATAATTGTTTTTCTTTTCTGTTTCTGTTCTTTCATTTACAAATACAATTCGTTTAATACCTAAAAATGCTTAAATACAATATCTATTCGCATATATGTGTGTGTATATGTCTATAGATATATATGATTCATATATATATATATATATATATATATATATACGGGTGTGTTTGTGTGTGTGGTTGTGTTGTATATATAATTAAGTATATACTATAGACCTATTTGTTATATATATATTTATATATATATATAGATTATATCAAGTTTTGCCGTTGCGTGTTGGTCGTTTGTTTCGCGTCTGTATCTTGTATCTATGGGATTGCGAACCTGGAGAGGGTCTGGGGGTATTCTAGTGCATCTTCCTGAACTGTCTATGATTTGTGCTCCAAACTCTGATTGGGATTTCCGGAACTAATACAGAAACAACAGCAAATTTGTTAAACAATTCTGCACTTTCAAGCTTAATGATGGGTGTGTGTGTGTGTGTGCTGACAGATTCCAATAAAAATTAACTCGAAACTAATTCAATTATCAATTATTAATTATTATTTCAATTTATTTTTTAGTCGCTTCTCCCAACCTTTTGCGCATTTCTTTCTTAGATTAAAATGCATATTGCACTTTTCCATGAACTTGGTTCTTTGTCAAAAAAAAAATATATATAGTTATATCGTAAAAAAAAAAAAATTAAGAAAAATAAAACAAATAAAAATTCCGAAAGAAAAGAATGCACAAAACTGCCAAGGATCCACAAATCAGAGTCGGATTAGGTTCTGAATTCTACAAAAGTGATTTTTATTTTTTAAGATTTAATTCATATTCTGTTCCTTTTTTTTTTTTTTAGCACAAAAAAACATAAACAAAATGCGCTAAATTCAATAAATTAAAAAAAGATGTGCCGGTCGGTTGGTCCGGGGATGCCTTCATAACCCCCAGATACCAGATCCCAGATTCCATATCCCTCACTATATATATCTCATATCCATATCCTGACAATAACTTAACAACAATGCTCTCCTCTCGCTCTCTCCATCGCTCTCGCTCTCTCTATCTCTTTCTATTTCAGCTGTGTGTATTGGTGTTTCGTGTATCTGTGTTGGGGATTACTTTCCTCTGATCTTGTTTTTTTTTTATTTAAAACTTTGTAGCTAACTTACAAAATCATAAACTAAGTTTAGAAAAATGTAAACACAGGAATAACTCTAGACTCTATATATATATATATATATATATGTGGGGAGGGGGGTGGTTTTATATAAAACTAGATAAACCTATATCCAATTGAATTAATTAAGCAAACTCTAAGCCCTAAAACTCTAAAACTCTACTCGCTACGCTCTGTTCAAATCTCGGGATCTATACATCATAATCCTCGCCTAGATCCTAGATCCTAGATCCTAATCCTTAAACCTAAGCTGTTCATTGATTTCTCTCATAATGCTCTGTTCTCTGACTATCTTCGGGTTCCAATTACCTCCTCCTGCTCCTCCTCATCCTCCCACTTACACTTTCGGCTTAGAAGGCTAAACGATAAAACGAATAAAAAAGGATAAAAGATAAATCATAATGCAACTGTATCCGTAACTGTAACTGTAAATGTATCTGTTATCTATGTATCTGTAACTGTTTAGTACGCGTTCTCGTTCTCGTATCCGTCCGTTGCTTGTGCTTCCTAAAACAACGCATCATCCATCTATATATATATATATATATATAATATTTTTTGTTTTTTTTTTTTGTTGGTTTCTTAACTTTTTCGTTTCGTATTGTATATATGCATACTTCTAATTGTAGACTAATCAGAATAATAAAAAAAAAAAAATTATATAATCAATGGTTATATATAAAATAAAACAAACAAACAAATCGGCGTCCTAACCTGCTTCACTGTCGCTCGAGTCACTCGAACTGCTATCACTCGAACTCGACGACGATGAATCGCTGGAACTGGAACTCGACGATACGGGATTTGCCGGCTGCACTGCCTCCACCTTGTTCGAAGCCGATTCATCTAGAATTTTTCCAACCAACATTTAGTAACTATAATAACATTAGATTTAAAGATATAGATTACCTTTCTTGGAGGTTTTCTTGCTGGCACCCAACTGGCCAGTGACATCCTGGAGTCGCTTCTCCAGCTCCTGCTTCTTCTCGGCCATTTGTTCGTCCTTGGACTTGCCGGAAGGCTTTTTGTCTGCGAATAGAAGTGGTCATGGGTTAGGCACTGTGATCTCATCCTGGTCGGTGTGGTGGGAAGCAAGTCGATAGTTTCGGGTGTCATGCTCAACAAAAAGTAGTTCTCACTGCGGGATGAGGGGGGGAATCTCTGCTCTCTACAGCATTCACAAGCTACTATCGGGTATCGGGTGGGGGGGTAGGTTAAGGGAATTGGGGGGGTTTCAAATGGGAGAAGGTCTCTTTACATGCACTTTATAGCAAAACTACGGACAGATGGGGGGGGCCTCGGTGTGGCTTAATCCTAGGGGGATATTCTAGTTTAACTAACTAAACACGACCACTATGGAATCTGTTTTGGAAAGCACAGACAGCAGAGCCAAAATCATGATCTTGGGTCTTTAGATATTCAGGGAGGGAGGGGCCTGGCCTCTCTCCTCTCGGATTCGCTTCCTAACTCTTGGCTTGGGTCTCCTCTTGGTCTTGCTCTTGGTCTTGCTCATTGCTGGTTGTGGTCTCGGTTTAGTTACAAACTTACAATATGGCTTACGTGTTTTTTTGCGCAAACACGACGCCACATAGCTTTCTAGCTCGCGCAGCGTCGACGGTTTCAGCGTCTCAAAGTCGATCTCGATTTCGTCGGGATTGGAGTCACGCAGCGATGGCTCCCGGTTCTGAATGATGTGCACCACACGGCCCAACTTGTCACCTGCGAATCGTAGATCGAATATTAGTTCCAGTTCTAGTTCTAGAAGCTCTCAGCTGGAGATCGGTCGATCGGATCACTCACCTGGCAACTTGTTGATGTCCAGCGAGAGCTGACGCTTCTCGTCGTACGACATTGGCTTGGCCGTGTCCTCCTCCTCGGAGTCAAAGTTCATCACCTGGCTGGGCTTCTTCTTGCTGCTGCCGCGGGCACCGGCATTCGCACCGCTGCCGGCATTCGCCCCGCCACTGGCACCGCCGGCTCCCGCCGATCCGCTGCCCTTGGCCCGCTTGGACGCATTGCCGCCGGCTGCACCGCCGGCACCGGCCGCTCCACCCATTGCACCGCCGCCGGCTGCTGCTCCTGCCGCTCCACCGGCAGCACCGCCCGCAGCAGCTCCGCCGCCACCTGCGCCGATGCCGCCCGCGCCGCCCTTGCCGCCGCGCTGGCCCTTGCTTTTAGCACCTTTACTGCTGCCGCCACCGGCCGGGGTGCCGCCGGCGCCCGCCGCTGCACCCGCCGCCAAGGCATTGGCCAGGCTGCCGGCCTTGCCGCCCGACGCTCCGCCCACCGCCGAGACTCCAGTGCCAAAGCCAGCACCTCCGGCGGCCCCGCCGCCCGCCAGCTGCCCGAAGGCCATGGCCACGTCGTGTGCCTGACTGTGGAGGGCCGCTCCACCGGCGCCGGGTACGCCGCCAACGCCAGCTCCGCCAGCGCCCACCAGGGATCCGGTGAGCAGAGCCGACAGATTGGCGCCCGCCGCTCCTCCGGGTCCGAGGGAGCCCACACCGCCGGGCATGTTGACACCGCCCGCATGTCCGCCGGCGCCGCCGCCGACGCCCGAGCCCATGCCGCCGACACCCTGGTGCGAGGCAGCCGATCCAGAGCCCGAGCCCGGGCCCATCGACTTCTTCTTCTCCTTGAGCTTCTTCTTGGCCTTCTTCTTGGCGGAGGCCTCCTCGGACAGCTTGCGGATCTCCTCCTGCAGGCCCAGGAGCTTGGATTCGAGCATCTTCAGCTTGGCGCTGCGCTCCTCGTCCGAATTGGACTCGTTCTCGGTGTCGCTCGAGTCCTCGCTGGATGAATCGCTGGCGTCGTGCTTGATGGATGCGCCGCCATAGCCTCCATGCCCGTGGCCGTGTCCATGACCGTGCCCATGCCCATGCCCGTGGCCGTGGCCATGATGGTGGGCCGCATTGGCGACCGGTTCGTCGGGTATGTTGGCGTAGCGCATCTCGAAAACGTCCTGCAGCTTCCGGCCCATGGCGACGACATCGTGATCTGGCGGATTGTACTTGTAGCAGTTGGTGAATATTAATCGCACGTCGGCGGCGAATTCCGGCGCGCTCTTGTACTCGCGATTGTCCATTTTCCGCTTCACCGTGCCCAGATCCATTGGCTTCTTGATGATGTCGTGGTAGTCGTGGAGGCCGAGCATCTCGGCGTCGACCGGTTTGTAGAAGGGCCAGGCATAGCCGGAGTGCTTCTTCGAGAAGAGCTCCTTGAGGATCTCGTTGCAGGACTTGAGGGCATCGGATAGCTTCTCCTTGGACTTGGCCATCGCCACACCGGGCACTCCACCCGCTCCCATGCCGCCCATTCCGGGTACACCGGCAACGCCCAGCGGCGACATGGTATAGCCCGAGCCCTGGAATGTAAGATCCTGTTTTCAGTTGATGATTCCCATCGTTTTATCCGTCGAATGGATGTGGATTGTTTGTTTTTTTTTGTTGTTTGTTGTTGTTGTTGTTGTGGTGGTTGGTGGACATGATGGTCGTGGACGTGGTGGTGGTGATGGTGTTGGAGGTGCAAACAAAATCGGGGCAGAATCGAAATCAAAAAAGAAAAAGACATAAAGAAAGCAAAGCGAAATGAAGGTTAGTATCGAAAAAAATCAAAATCGAGTGATTCCATGGAGGCTGCAGGCAGGCTGGAGAGCTCCACCCGCAGCTATCCACAGGATCCTGGCCTGGACTAGTTACCCAAGAAGGTCCTCCTTGGATAACCATTCCGATCAGATCAGAAAATGGTTCATGAAATGGTTTAAGAGTAAGAGGCAAGGCAGCGTATTGTGTATGACTTGATTTCTGTTTCTGTGCATTGGGAGACTGGGAGACTAGGAGACTAGGAGACTAGGAGACTAGGAGACTGACTATTAGATGACTCCACTTTATTCATCACACTTTCTTTCAAGAACATTATGAGCAAACATGATTGAGAAGTCAAGCTTCCAATATTTACAAAATGATATGAATCTTGGATTCTCTTATTTATCTACAAGCTGGCGAGGATTGGGGGATCTGATCTGGACTAGTTGCACACTCATACTTCAAATACAATACTTCATACAACGACTGGCAGTGCCCTTTACTCTTACCTTCTTGCCAATTACCTGACGATTCGACTCCCGCCGCGTCGCTATTTTGGCCGATTTGGAGTCCATCTGGGCGTAGGGTGACTCGAAGGCATTGGCCGTCGGCGTGGTGGTGTCCGCCTTCCGCTTGACACCCTTCTTCACCTTGGTGGGCTGTTGCGGTATCACGGCATCGACTCCAACGCCGACCCCGACTCCGACGCCGACACCCACTCCCGCCGTACTATTCACATAGGCCTGTACCGCGTTGGCGGCGTTCACGGCAGCCGTTGGTATTGTCACTCCGCCCGCCCCAGCTCCACCGACTCCACCGCCGGCGCCTGGTGCTCCCAGTGAGCCGGGTGGGCCTCCCACCGCCGCTGCTGCTGCTGCCACTGCCGCCGCCGCAGCTACACTGTTGGGGTCCAGTAGCGATGCATTGTTGACCGCCGTCTGGCCGGGATAGCCACCGACCTGGCCGGGATTGAGGAGGCTGGCCATGAGGGCGGCTGCCGGAGCAGTGGCTCCTGCTCCGGACATCGCCGTCGTAGTGGTGTTGGTGCTGCCCGGCACCGTGTGCGGTGGCATTGTGCTAATCGGTGGTATGGACGGTGCTCCGCCGGCCGTTGATGAAACCGTGCCGCCCATGGCAGATACGGGTCGGGAGGCAGTCGCTCCGCCGCCGGACCCCGCTCCACCGGGTGTCGCTGATCCGGCACCGGCTCCCGTCGCCATGCCCGGCAACTGTTGCGCAGATGAGGCGGCAGATACTTTATTCGCGCTACTGCCGCCGCCACTACTGACCGTCCCCGCACCCGGAGCGACTGCTCCCGAGCCCGAGGATGCGGCTTTGGGTGTGGCCGGTGCTCGTTGCTTCTTCTTGCCACCTTTGGCCGTCACCGGCTCCAGTTCGAGCTCCTCCTTGGGCATCAGCTCGATCTTCTGGAGGAAGACCTTCTCGAGGGTCTGGGCCATCACGACCACATCCTCGCCCGGCTTGTTGTAGACGTAGCAGTTGTTGAACATGGTGTTGAAGTCGTGTATGGCCTCCTTGGCGGACCAGTAGTAGTTGTTCTCCAGCCGCTTCTTGATCGTGCCCATGTCCATGGGCTGTTTGATGATCTTGTGGTAGTCGGGCAGGTTGAGCTTCTTGGCATCGACGGGCTGTTGGAAGGGCCACGAGAAGTGGTGCTTCCATATCACCTTCATCACCGTCTTGATCAGATATTGCAGTTGATTCGTATTGCGGCCGGGGCGCTCCGCCGGCGGCACCACCGGTGGCTGTACAATGCCATTGACTGGCTCCACGGGTGGCTCGTAACGGGGCGGTGGCTCACTGGACGACATGATGCTGGTGGTGCTGATGCTGATTCAGATGCTTCAGATGGCTTGTGTTGGAGTTCTAAAGGAGATTGTGATTGTGGTTGTGGTGTTGCTTCAATTGTTGCTTTCTCCTTCTCTCACGATTTTTCTTTCCACAATCTTCTTAATTGATTAAGAATCTGGAGGAGATCCTGATATACTCTTGATGTTTGACTGTTGATGTTGCTGCTGTTTCGAGCTCGACTGAGACGGCCAACACACACACGCTCATACACTGGGCACACACACAAGCTCACGAGCCACAAACACACACGCCCGGGCCGTCTCCGTCTCCTCACCGCTCCGCTCCTCCGGCAGCTCCGGCAGCTCCTGCTCCTTGTGCAGTTCCGTGCCCCTTGTGCTCCTCCTTTGCCGTTTGGGTGGGATGGGGGGTGAAGGGGGGGGGAAAGGATTTAGTCTTATGTGGCCGACGACCACCACCTCCTCCTCCTCTGACTGGCGAATCTGTCTATGCCACCAGGTGCTCCAACTCCTGCTCCGGCTCCTGTTCCTTTGACTATTCCAAATGTCTCTGTAGCTCCGGCTCCTGCTATACGGCTTGTGATTGATACTAATCGGCTGCTGATTGAGGGATAGTGCTGCGTAGCTTCAGTCCGTTGCTTCATGCTCGGCAATATCTGTTCACTGGAAGAAGGAAGAAATGGGCGGCATTAGTCGGATACTACAATCCCCGATAGGGTAATACTCTACTTACCACCCCTGATCCAGATACTGAGCGCTCCGGGTCCGGCTCTCATTTAGAAGGCGCGGGAGCCGACAACAGATGCTGCTCCAAGGGCCGGCAATAGTGCTACTACTGGAGGCATTCTGTTTCCTTAATTATATTACTCCGATCCATAGACGACTCCAATTACGGACCAACTGGGGGGCGGTGTTGAAGACGAAGGCGACAAGTCTGCAAAAATCACAACAATAAATCAGTTTTTTTTTTTTGCCGGGAACTATCTATATGTATATATTTTGCAACTCTGGTCGATCTGCACATTTCACAACACTCCTCGCGGGTTACATAAACAACAAATAAATAAGAAATTAGAAATTATAAATTAGCGGGGGCAGCATCCCCATCATCCCGAAAAGCCCCAAAGCATCATCCAAAAAAAGCCGCAAAAAACCACAAAAAAACCGAAACAACAATTTACATTCTGCAATCGAATCGGTGGTAATCGGTCGGCGGCGTTTTTCTTTCCTTTTTGGCTTTCCATAAACAACAAAATGCGAATGCGACGACAGCGAATATGTGGAATGGCCGCAAACGGACGGAAAACACACACAAAACAGAACGACAGAAAGCAGAACCGAAAACCAAAAACCGAAAACCGAGAACACCGCCGAGGCGGAGAAGATCGAAGACTTACACACCAAAAAATGCAAAACAATCCGGACACTTTATCCCCATAAATCGGACGATATCAAATCCCGACTGGGCACTATTCCGTGTATATTTGAGAATTAGTATTTATTATTTTACGCGCTGGCTTTGCCCTTTATTTTGCTGTTTTTTTTGCCGTTTTTGCCGTTTCCCTTCCACCGTTTGTCGCGTAGTTACTTTGCCGCCGTTTTGCCACTCAACAGCGAAAATAGAGAAGAGCCCAGCACTCGACCAGAGAGGGCCTCTGTTTTCGAACTTCGAAAAGTGTCCAATCGAGAGAGTTTCGAAGAGCGGGAGAGAGCCAGTACCAGCACCCGGTTCTCTCTCTCGCTCTCAATTTACACTCACACACAGCTGTACAGCGCATTGACAATACAGCTGTCCCACTCCCCCTCACTAGCGGCGTTATCAAATGTACCAGGGCCAGCCAGAAGCTGAAAAGCGCTGGGCTAAAGGTGCCAAAGACTTCTGCAATCGGTGTTAAAACATTAAGAAACTTCCATAAACCGAATGAATATCCATTAATGCAATCGTTCAGGCCAATATGTTCGAGCCAATTCACACACTCGGCCCATACACACAGATTATGAGTACATGTATGTGTGTGTGTGTGTGAGTGAGTGGCGTGTGTTGTGTTTGCAATGGACGATGTCTGAATTCACCACACCGCACATTTCAAGTTGAATTCTTGTCGCACAGCTCAGCATGATTCACTCGCTTTGTTTGTTATTGCTATTGTTGTTCTTGTTGTTGTTGTTTTGTTGTTGTACACACCAACGCAAATGGGAACACCATACCAAAAGGCAATATTATGCACGTAATTCCGACGTTATTAACGTTTTAACACCCTCGACTAAAAACGCCACAACGATGGGGCCGCTGGCTGGCTAGCTGGCTGGCTTTGGTGGGTGAGGTGAGGAGAGCCACGCGCACACACCAGTGCAGAAACACTCACTTCCAACTCACACAGATGGGCGGCGAATAGTTTACAGTGGAACGAAAATTGCATTCTAGCCAGAATCATTATTGTACAGTTAGGATAGTGATAGGGATGGTTGTTTACTTTTTTTTTGATTTATTTATGGATCGAGTGACAAGCATATAAATATTTATCGCTAATACTCTGATAGTATATCTTCTCCCCCCCAAGTTGTTTATTGAGCAAAAGCTGACTAGGAGAGTTGGCTGGCGAATTTATTTACACTCTGGCACTGACAGATTGGCACATACAAGCAAAAATCATGGTACATGTGTGCTGCCGGCCGGCAAACGCAAACAACTTTTGCCGCTCTTTGTGTTTATTTTTATTTATTTATTTTTTTTATCGCTTTCACTTTGGGCGCAGAAAATAGTTACAGTTAGCATGTGTTGCGCCGGCTGGCGATTCAAGCTGCGATTAATAACACGCTCTGGCCCACTGTGTTTTTGTTAGTTGCCAAGTACGTACGTGTTCTGGCTAGCTGGCTGGCTGGCATGGATGTGTGTGTGCGTGCGAGTGTGACGCAAAATTAAAACGGAAGAAGAATGAGGCGAGGCTGAGGCTGAGGCTAGGTGATCGGACACAGACAGCAAGGCCAGCCAGCCCAGCCAGCCAGCTAACCAGCCACCTAGCTAGCGACATATATGACGTATTCCACATTCTAGTAGATTTCCCATTGAAATTGGAATATTTGAAATAACAAATATTAAAATCCGAAAGCAACACCAGAAGGTAAACTGCAATAGCGGGCGGTGCTCTCTCGCTCTCTCTGCTCTCACAACAAAACAAAACATTAACTGGCACACACACACACACACAGAGAGAGAAAGAGAGCGGGAGAGACAGGGAGTGTGAGCAAACGAACGTGCGGTTGTAATTATGTAGTACAGTTTTGAGTTTTCTGTTGAAATTTACGTAGAGAATTGTGGTTGTGGAGAGAGAGCCAGCAGAGGAAGAAGCAGAGCAATGGCATGCATTGAAAACGGAATTGGAAATTGAGAATCGGAAAAGGAAAAGGAATCGAAACCGAAATGGAAATGGAAATGAAAATGGAGAAGGGAGTCAAGTCAAGTGACTTAATAACTAATTTTTAACCGCCAGCCATACAATACATAAGGATTAGGCCCAATATGAGCCACCTACTACAATCCGAACCTAGAGTTCACTTCCTCCCTCGCAAATAAACAAAGGTCAGCGATTTGCAATCGAAAAACGTAGCTGGGGAAATCAGAACCATTTCTACGGAGAATGGCGCGGGAAATTCGAATTCATTGAGGAGTGGAATTAATTAAATATTTTTTTTTATTTTTGTTTTCGCTAACATGCACTTGAACTACGGGCGGGCAAACATGAAATTTATTTAAATAAATAAAATCCTCAAGTGAGGCGAACACACACACACATTCTTACATACACACACACATACTGGCATGTTGCAGCTGCTGCTGCCGATGGTTCAGAAGCGTGGGCCAAAACGAGACAACAGTAGGGCCAAATGCAAATATGGCGGCATATCGACACACACCAGGCGGCAGAGGGAGCGAGAGAGAGAGAGAGAGAGCGCACAGCAGAGCCATAGGAGATTTGTTGTTGTTGTTGCCGCCGCTGTGTATCTGCAAGTATGCCGACACATCCAAGAGATACAGGGAGAACAGGGGGCCGAGAGAGATTGGGGCAAGCTAGGTTAATAAATCGTGCTAATAGTGGCACGAATTTAAAGCCGGTTTACATGGCAACAACACGGCACTGTCATGAGGCATGCAGCATGCAGCATGCAGTATGAGGCAGTGCGCATCTCACCCAAAAAGCATCAATGAAATCGATTCAAGAGAGCTAGCCAGTTTGCTTTTTCAGCTTTTTTTTTTTTTTGCGATAAACAACGTCTTCTTGAAGTAAACAAACGAATTGCGATGCCATTTGCACTTCCATTCCCGTTACAGTTACCATTACCATTACCGTGTTGGCTATTTACGCGCCAAACCACAAAGAAACAAAAACAAACTGAATCTCTAATAGTAGCCGGCAACTAACTGACACTGACCCAAACCGACCGAGACTAGATACGAATCTCAAAGATGCCGAGAGTTGCAGATACACAGATACAAGATGCAAATCGATCGCAGCTGAGACTCTCCATAAAGGGTTGCATTGCAGTCTATTAGCAGATGTCGATGGGGTGGCTCAGATCCTAGTGCCCTATTCTCCTACAGGAGAATTCTTCTTCAGGAAAAGCCCTCGAATAAGTTTTTGTTTTGAAAACGCCACGTGCGCGCTTACTTTTCCGCCCACAACTTACTTTTCCTGGTGGTGGTGTTGTGGTTGTTGTTTATATCCGATATATAGGTGTATATCCAATATCCGGCTAGTGCACTTGGTTAACAACCGATTCTGATTCTGGTCGTTGTTTGTATTTACTTTATGAATGGAGCCAAGTTTTTGGCTTTCGTAGTATTGTTGTTGTTGTTGTTGTTATTATTGTTGTGTTTTGTTGTGTTTTGTCGGTTTTTGGTAAAAACTGTTGTTGTTGTTGATGATGTTGCTTGTGTTGTTGTTGTTGTTATTGTTGTATGTTGTATTTAAACTGAACATATACAACATTCAGATTGTACTGTTATAAGTGCAACTGTAAAAACAAATATAAAAAAAAAAAAACAAAAACAAAAATAATTTAATTTAATTTAGCACTCTTTAATAATTTTTTTTTTTTTTAGGGGAAACACTTTTTGGGGAGTTTCTTCGCGCGCGAGAACATGGACAAGAAGGAGGAGAACGTAACGTAACCCATAACGTAACGCAGGGCAGCAACGGAAATGGATGCGAGATACCGAGATATGTACGTTACTTGACACGGCGCCGACAAACCGCAAAAATAATAATAATAATAATAATATTACAATAACAATATAGCCAAAGTATGGTGGTAGTACGCGTTTCGGTTGGAAGGAAAAACAAGCAACTACTACTACATTTTTTATTCACCGCGAGTGAAACTTTTTTTTTCGCATTTGGCGCGCGTCTCTATGTGCTGCGTGTGTATTCCTCTTTTTTTTCCCTTTTTTTTTTTTTTTTTTTGTTAATATTATTCACTTGGTGACTGCACACACACACACACACACACTCATGCTACCGCCGCCGCCGTCCTCACACACTCACACATACACACACTCAATCGTCAGAGCCTCTGCTTCTTCTTCGTTCGTTCGCTGCTTGCTTTTGTTCCACCACCGAAAAAAAAATGAAAAAAAAAAAAAGAAAAAAAAAATTGTCATGTCCATTGAAGTCTCACATTTTTCAAAATCATTTTTTGGCGCTAAAATCGGCCTTTTCTTGGACTTTTTCGATACGCATCGGATGGCCCGCAATTAGCACTTGACACTGATCACAAATTTATATAATTTTTGGCGAGTTTTACCATCATTTTTTAGTAATTTCTACACACCGATATACGTACGCGCTACGATTTTCGACAAACGCGCGTTTCTTGTGAGTAAAGCAGCCGAACCGTCGCTGTCGCCATCAAATATACAAAAATTTTTTCGAAATTACTGAAATGCGAATACACACGCACACATGCTCATTTCGGGCACGAGGCGCACGCGCCTGCTGCCTACTGCTGCACCGCTCTAACTCGCGGTCCCGGCTGGCCGCGTGGAAGAGAGACGGCCATTGTTGCGCTGCTGGTGAGAGCGGAGAGAGCGCTAGTCTCATATGTGTGGTGGTGTGGAGAGCAACAGAGAGAGAGCGTGGGAGAGAGTAGTCTCTCTTCTAAAATCGACGTGTAAGCGAGCGCGCATGAAAAAATGCACGATGAATAACAGCGGCGTAACAGCAAAAAAGCGAAACAAAATGGCGCTGAGCGGAGCGTGGAGGCCGTCGTGCGGTTTCCCGGTCTTTTTCCACGTTCGTCTGGCGCATTGGAGACGATCTTCCATCTGAAATCCACGACCTGATCTTTCCCCAGCGCGATTATCGCGGTTTTAGGCAGTTTTCCACGTTTTTTACCGGGGAAAATAGTTCAGAAAATTTTTGTTACCTTCGACCATTTGTAACACTGAAAAACACCTCGCTTTAACAGTGTTAAGCAGCGCTGTTAAGTTCGTTTTGTTATCGATATTTTCAACAGAGTTGTTATCGAATTTTCAACACTAAGATTTTTAAAGATTACCGCCAATAAAAAATGAAAATTATATATACAGTCGAGTCCCGATAATTCGAAATGGCAAGGGGATCTTTTTTTTTTACGAATTAGACGGGAAATCAATTTATCGAGATTTCTATTTAACGAGGCTCAAAAATGAAAGAGTCGAATAAACGGGGTTTTTACATTTCACATTATGTTTACATATGTATTTAACTTTATTAAAATTAAACAAACATTATATGTATGTACATTTTTCAAATGAGAGGAAAATTAAACATTAACATTAAATTGTAATAATAAAAAATTAAACAATTAAGCAGAAACATTAAATTATAAAAAAAAAAAATTCAAGCTTTAAAATAATTGGTAATTTTTGATAACAATAATTGGTAACAGAAAACTAAACGAAAAACGAAAACATAAAGGTGCTTTAACTACAAAAAATTTCGCATCGCATTACGATTTATAAGAGGTTACGAAACAATATTACGATTTTTAAGAGGTTCAATATTATTTGCGTTGCGCCAAATACTACGAATTAACGAGAGGACCAAAATGTATGGAATTTTTACGAATTAACGAGTTTTTTTCAAGGGGTCAAAATTTTTTACGAATTATTGCGATTTTCGATTTAGCGGGGTACGAATTATCGGGATTCGACTGTAGTTGAAAATAAAATGAATTTCTTGTTTAATTTTTAATAGTTTGGAAATTTGGAATTTTCAAGATATGCTTGAAAAATCTGGCAGCTCTAAACAAGTGAAAAAAAAATCTGGCACCTCTACCAAAATGTGGCCGCTTTTATCAAAACTATAAAACACTGGCCACATTACGGGCAGGCAGCTAAGTTGGTAACACTGCACGGAACGGCAAACAGCGAACGACAAAGTAATTATTTTTCTGTCTGTGGGTTTCCGATCAAGATATTGTTTTTTGAGTGGCAAACGGTAAAAGTTGGTGACTAAACTTGCAAAAAAGGGGGAAGAACACAGGCGAGGCCTTATTCAGGGGATTCCGGGACGTGCGTGTGTCCCCCCATATCGCGAGTGTGTGTGTGTGTGTGTGTGTGTGGAACTCCACAAGTGTGTGAGAGCAATCAAAATAAGAAAAGGCATTAAACCGCCCTGATGGAAATTGATTGTGCGAAATGCCAGCGAAAAAGTGATGAATGCTTATCGTGGAACCCTTCAGGGGCCAGAGTGCGGCTGAAATAAGGCGGGGCGAGGCGGGTTACGTAAGAAATCAATGGATTCCGGCTGCATTTGGCCAAAAAAAAAGCGAAACGAAGTCACCGAGAAGAGCGCTCTTTGATGATTTCATTCCCAGTGACGACACACACACACACGCACACTGTGCTATCTCGGAACACTGTTGGGTGTTCCATAGTGTGCTGTGTTTGTTGAGCTAAATAAAAATGAGTCCTCCACGACTGAAAGAAAGATATATTATCAATTATGGGTTTTCAATTACCAGTAGCCAGTATATACTATATAAATACATACAGTTGGCAACAAACTTTCAACTACCTTGGTAGTGTGCCACTTCCCCCCACCCACTTCCCAATGTCTAGGTGGCTAGAGGGGGGCGGGCAACCAGTACGCCCACATCTGGGCGGCCCAGATGTTGGTCTCTCGCACCGATAGTGGGCGTCCCTCCACACACAGTGATCACTCTATGCTGCAGATCTCGTTTTATATTTTTGGTTTTTTATGCAAATTGTATCTGTGTGTGTGTGTGCGTAGGCGTCTAAATATAGATATATGTTTGTACATCCAACAGATTGCAGCAAGAGGATCTAGCCCTTCTTAAATCTTACATCTTCAATTTTCAAGCGATTGGGTTTATTAATAAATTATGATTGCCTGATTGAGTGAATCATTTGAGCCTCGGGCCGATTCAACGGAAATCAACAATGAGTAGTCATTGTCCCGCTCCCTTGGCCTTTGTTTACATTTCGGAAGGAGACCCACACGTACATATGAGAGAGTGGGAGAGTATTGGGGGAGAGTGCTAACGGAACGTGCTCGAATGAGTAATTTGCGGTGCTTATTGACAGCTTGCCATGTTTATCACCGTTCCTTGTTTCCTTCCTTCCTTCCTTGCCTGCTTCCTTGCTTGCCTTCTTCCTGCTTGGGTCTCTTCTTCTTGTTGGATTTGACGCCACCACCTACATAATCTCGCACATAATCACCGAGACCGAGCCCTGGTGCGTGTGTGTGTGTGTGAGTGTGGTTTTGTAGGTGAGATGAGTCATCTCTCTGGCCAAGTTGATGAGAAAATAAAATTAAACATTAAGGTAGAAGCAGAGGTAAGAGGTACGGGGTACAAGGTAGGAGGAGAAAAGCACAAAAAAGCAGAAAGCCAAAGAAACAGGGGCAGCAGATGTGAGGCCACTTGGAGCAGATACACACACACACACACACACATGACCCACAGTTGGGGTCAGCACTTTTAATGAATTTTTGTGATTTATTGGGAAATATATTTTACATGATTTAGTTGGCATCTTAGACTGGGACTGGGTTTCCATTCCAATCCGATCGCTAAAGCTAATCAGAACTCCATATTTCCATTACAGCCGCGCACTAAAGCGACAGAGAAGGCAAGAGAGCGAGCGAGAGAGAGAGAGAGAGAGAGCACAGTACACGGTTTACCCGCTGCACTCACCCACACCCACCCCCCCGCACACAGTCATCCTCCCAGCGGACAGCAGCCATGATCCTTGGGAGCAGGGCCATCCTACTGGCCATTGTTCTGGCCGCCGTCGTGGGCCCAATGAACGGACAGAAGGCCGGTAAACTCACCCAGAACCCGTGCGGAGCCAAGGACAAGTGCCACACATGCATCCAGACGGAGAGCTGCGCCTGGTGCATGCAGCCCGACTTTAAGGGACAGTCACGATGCTTCCAGCACACCAGCAAGGTGTGCCCCGAGGAGTTTGTCTGGAATCCGGACACCTCCGAGCAGATCCTGCTCAACAAGAACCTGACCCTGGCCTCGGTGGCCGGCGGATCGTCGGCAGCTGGCTACGGAGCCGCCGGTTACGGAGCAGGTGGAGGCTATGGAGCAGCGGGCTACGGAGCTGGCGGTGGCGCCAGTGGTGGCTATCTTTCCGGCAGCAGTTCCAGTTCCAGCCACTACCACTCGTCCTCCTCGTCGTCCATGTCCGGCTCCTATGGATCGGAGTACTCTGCCGGCTGGTCGGCCAGTTCCAGCTCAGAAATCGTCCAGATCAAGCCCCAGTCCGTGAAGCTGAAGCTGCGTATTAGTAAGTTGGGATATCCAGGGCCAATCTCTTCAAGAAACTCATTCTCCCGCTTCCCTTTTAGACCAGAAGCACGACCTCAAGGTGAGCTACACCCAGGCCGAGGGCTATCCCGTGGATCTGTACTACTTGATGGACTTGTCCAAGTCCATGGAGGACGACAAGGAGAAGCTCTCCGCCCTGGGCGACAAGCTCTCGGAGACGATGAAGAGCATCACCTCGAACTTCCGCCTGGGCTTCGGCTCCTTTGTGGACAAGGTGCTGATGCCCTATGTCTCGACCATTCCCAAGAAGTGAGTACGGTTCCGGGTGTCGTCCCAAGCCGGACCATCTCCTAGGGTTACTCTTTATTTTGTTTTTAAGGATTTATGTTTTTTTTGTGAAATCGAAATTGTATTTATTTTTTAAGAAGAATAGTTAGTAAGCAGTGGATTCATCGGATACCGGCTTAGTCAGCGATCCCGCCGTCGTGTCATGAGTAATGAGACGCGATAGAGTTATGACCGAACCGGTTGGTCACCTACCTAGTATAGTATAGTATAGATAACCCACTCTCGAAATCATTGCGCCGCTTAGCCTTTATTTTTTGTAGTGTTCTCTCAAAGTACCCTGTGTACGTCTACGTCTAAACGATTAATGCCAATTCTGAAGCTAATTTTATCCAATTTACTTACAACCACACCATGAACACCAACATCACCGACAACCGAATACCGACAACCGATTCTAATCCGATTCTGTAGACTCGAGAATCCCTGCGACAACTGCAAGGCTCCCTATGGTTACCGCAATCACATGCCACTCAACAATAACACCGAAAGCTTCTCTGTAAGAGACGATTAATCAATCACACTTGTCCACTTATCCCTACCTACTCTATCTATCTGTCTCTGTGCCTGTCCTGCTCCCCATTAGCTCCTCAGTAGCATGCCTCCCCACCTATGCCCCACCTATGCCATCACCTATGTATATGATATGATGTATCCCATGTGTGCACCTCTCTCTAGTAGTCCTAAGTAGTCATAAGTCGTGTCCTGTGTGCTTTAATGTTGTACGCTGCCATCCAGGTGATTGGACAGCACATCGCATATATATCCGTATCTGTATCTGTATCTGTATCTGTATCTATATCGTAATTTATCTGCACCTCTCGATGTCGTCGAACATTATTTATCTTTTATATTTTTATTTCTCTCTTTCTCTCTCTTCCTCTATCGATATTTATTTATTTGCTTCATTGTGATCTCATCTCTTATACTCCATCTATAACTATATATATCCTCCATATATATATACGATATATATCGTATTCGTCCTGAAAAACAAAATTGTTTCAACCCGTTGCTTGAAATTCGAAAACCAAAATTAGCCTGCAGGAGCCGTGCCCCAAATGCGATGCTCCCTACGGCTATCGAAACATCATGGGCTTGAGCACGGACACCTATAGATTCTCTGTAAGTGGTCACCGTCACCGTCATCCCCATCCGATCGTTCCGTCATCCAATATTTGAGCATTTCGGCCAAACCCTCATCCATCCTAACACAGTTTTCATTTCGGGATTTTGAGTTTTGATTTGGTTTCTTGGTTACTTCTAACATGGTTATGGTGCATGCTACTAATCCCAATTGACGACTTGTTGTGGTTGTGTCTACTGATCCGTATTGGTTGTGGAGTTCCTTAGATGGTCTTGCATAATCTTAGCTTGGTGCTTGTGTCTTGAACCCTTAATCCCTCCTTATAATAACCATTACTGGCACCCTCCGGTGAGTAACTCTCTCCAAAAATGATCTAAAAGTATTACCTTTCGAGGAATCTCGATCCAAAATAGTCATCCAGACTTGGAAACCTTCCAAGAATCTTCCTCGTTAATCATAAATTGGCGAAAATACTGTACATATCTTATCGGTAGTCGTCGTTATCTGTTGACTAACATTGATAGACCACACCCTAACTGATCTGGAGAGTGCCAGTCAATAGTTCCTCCTTACCCTCCTAACCCGGGCAATTAATCCTCCAGCCGCTTGAAAGTCCACCTCCTAATCGTTTATCTTTCTGGCAGAACGAGGTAAAGGATGCCGCCGTATCTGGTAACTTGGACGCACCCGAGGGTGGCTTCGATGCCATCATGCAGGCCATCGCCTGCCGGCAGCAGGTCGGCTGGCGTGAGCAGGCCCGTCGCCTGCTGGTCTTCTCCACGGACGCCGGCTTCCACTATGCCGGCGACGGCAAGCTTGGAGGAGTGATCGCCCCCAACGACGGCGAGTGCCATCTGAACGCCCAGGGCATGTACACGCACTCGGTGCTGCAGGACTACCCCAGCATTTCGCAGATCAACCAGAAGGTCAAGGAGAACGCCATCAATATTATCTTTGCGGTGACCTCCAACCAGTTCTCCGTCTACGAGAAGCTCAAGGGCCACATCCAGGGCTCCTCGGCCGCCGTGCTCTCCAACGACTCCTCCAACGTCGTCGACCTGGTCAAGGAGGAGTACGCTGTAAGTGCTGAAGATGACCAGACCCACCAGTTCTTACTCATTTCTGACCATTTCTATCCCAGAAAATCTCATCCTCCGTTGAGATGAAGGACAATGCCACCGGCGATGTAAAAATCACCTACTTCTCCTCCTGCCTGACGGGGGGACCCGAGATCCAGACCTCCAAGTGCGACAACCTGACGGTCGGCCAGCAGGTGAGCTTCACGGCCCAGATCCAGGTGCTCAAGTGCCCCGAGGATCCGCGCGACTGGACGCAGCACATCCAGATCTACCCCGTCGGCATCAACGAGAGCATGCTCATCCAGCTGGAGATGCTGTGCGCCTGTCCCTGTGAACAGCCCGGCTCCACCGGCTACGAGGTGCACTCGCGGCACTGCAACAACTTCGGTACCTTCATGTGCGGCATCTGTGACTGTGACGAGCACCATTTCGGCAACAGCTGCGAGTGCTCCGTCTCGGACATGAACTCGACGATCAACAACGACGCCAGCTGCCGGGCGGACAACACCACGACGACCGACTGCTCCGGCCGGGGCAACTGCGTGTGCGGAGCCTGTGAGTGCTTCAAGCGCTCCAACCCGGAGGAGGTGGTCTCCGGCCCCTTCTGCGAGTGCGACAACTTCAGCTGTGAGCGGAACAAGAACCAGCTGTGCTCCGGCCCCGATCACGGAACCTGCGACTGTGGCCGCTGCATCTGCAAGCCCGGCTGGACGGGCACAAGCTGCGCCTGCCAGGCCTCCAACGACACCTGCATGCCGCCCGGCGGCGGAGAGATCTGTTCCGGACACGGTGTCTGCGAGTGCGGCGTCTGCAAGTGTGCAGTGAACGAACAGGGACGCTACTCCGGCCGGCATTGCGAGAAGTGCCCGACGTGCTCGGGCCGCTGTCAGGAGCTGAAGGACTGCGTCCAGTGCCAAATGTACCACACCGGCGTGCTCAAGGACGTGAACGATTGTGCCCGCAACTGCACGACCTTCACCCCCATCGGCGTGGAGAAGGTGGAGATCGATGAGCGCAAGGACGAGCAGATGTGCACGTTCTTCGACGAGGACGATTGCCGGTTCGAGTTCAAGTACAGCGAACAGGGTGAGCTGATCGTGCACGCCCAGGAGGAGAAGGAGTGCCCGCCCAAGGTCTTCATGCTGGGCATTGTCCTGGGCGTTATTGCGGCCATTGTGCTGGTGGGTCTGGCCATCTTGCTGCTCTGGAAGCTGCTGACCACGATCCATGATCGCCGCGAGTTTGCCCGCTTCGAGAAGGAGCGCATGAACGCCAAGTGGGATACGGTAAGTGATCGTTTAAGTCTATTCCTTCTATGATATCTGTTGATGCTATATAATCTGTGCATTTCAGGGCGAGAATCCCATCTATAAGCAGGCCACTTCCACCTTCAAGAATCCCATGTATGCGGGAAAATAAGTGCGCGCTCCCAAGATAACTAAATATTAGTGAATATTATATGTCTGTCTGTGCTTGAACCGGAAACCACAAACCACAAAACCAGAAACCAGAAGAATCCAAAAATCTAGAAATCCAACCAATAACGAAACAGAAAGATCCAAAAATTAACCCAACCCCTTGTATCGACTCCGAATCCATCGACAAAGCTGCTATGCCCGGGTGGAGAGACCCGCCACCACGGAAGTCAACTGCCATTGAAACGCGTTCTAAACTAAGTCAACCCTATATATATCTAAATATATCTAAATACATATATATATATATTTATATATACGTTTACACACAAATCCCCTCACGGGCAGCCTTTATACAATGTGTATACTTAACGAGCAAATGATTTTGTGCCTTGCAATATATACTTTAGACTAAATATGTATACAAAAATATTGAAAAATGCTAAAAAAAAAGATGATGAGGAAATTTTGAGCGGAGTAACAAGAACAGACACGCACAAACACGCAGCAGCAAGAAAATTGAAGAAGAGTGTGGAAGAAGAACTATTATTCAAAGAATCAAGAGCCAAGATTTACGAAGATTAGTTGTAGTTATGATTTTTGTGTTCTTTTTTTTTTTAGCCAGCACATGAATTTGTATTTTATTTTTGTACTCTTATTTTGTAATCTTTTATGTTTTCGGTCCCCCTTACCTTTATTTTAATTTAAAATACTTCCGAACCCCGTCCGAAACTGCAATCGAAAATGTATTTAAACCTAAAGATGCCCGGGGAATCCCCAACTGATCTATCTATGTACCCCCCCGCCCCCAAACTATGTGTTTTTCTAAATGTGTGTTTTTTTTTCTACTTGTTTTTAAAGCTAACTTTACATTTAATAGTTAAGCATATTAACATTTAAGCTTGTAATTGTTAATTCGAAATGCAAGAGAGTGCCCGCCCGGAAGACCAACACACACATCCGGATTCCGGAAAGACCGGATATGAGTGTTTCATATTCGTAGTCTCTTGTGTGTGGGTTTTGTTTTATTGAATTTCGACCATTAATAGTAAATTAATACTACTATGTAATAATATATATCTTTTGCCATTTGTACTGATTACTGATTAACAATTTTTAAAAGGAGTGTAATACAAAAACAAAAAAATGATAAACATTTTTCATAATTTTATTGAAATAAAACCCGAATACAAAACTAGGTGGCAACACTGGCAAAAATATACAAAATATAAAAAATTGAAAAAGATAACTGTTTGAAGCTAATTTTAGTGAATAAAAAATGAAAAAAAATTTAAAAAAAAAGAAAAATAAAGAGTTTGGGGGGCCGTTGAAAAAGTAAAAAAAAAAAACAAAACAAAATAAAGTCATATCCTCAGACTGTATTAGTATTCTGCATTCGGAACAGAGATCATCCGGGCCAATAAATCGGATGTCCTTACAACATATGTATGTATATACTGGTACATATATATACTTTCGCACTTTAAAATCTAATATATATATATCGTTGTACACAAGAGTTTTGTTTTCGAAACAAGTCTAGGCAAATCGTACGTACTAGGTAGTGTTTTTAATCTTAAATCAGAACTGGGATCGGGAAATGGGGCGGCTCGCTAGGATCTGGCATTGAACTGGGAGCGGCAGAGTATATGGTTGTGTATGTACAGGACAAAATATCCGGGCCGAGGACGAAGCGATGGTGGTGGTCAGTGGTTCTTCGCGTCTGTGATCATCTTTGAGTGTGTGGACTGTGGTGATGGCTTCTCTAGCTTTAAGTACAGCTCTTGCATTTGGTGTGGGTTGTGGCTTTAAGTCGGATGTGAGTCGGATTTGTGTCTCCTGGATTGTGCCTCGTCCTCCCAGGACATCGCAGCAATTGGCTCTTGGAGCACGGCGCTCTTCCGTTTCCGTTTTCGTTTCCGGTTCCCTTTCAGTTTCCATATCCATTTCCTTTTCCATTTCCGTCTTCGACTTGGATTTCATCTTCGATTCCGGTTCAGATTCCGTTTAAGTTTCCGTATCTGTATCCTGTATCCGTCTCAGATACCGATTCCGATTCCGAGTAATGTGTCAGCACAATCGCAGTCAGCAGTCAGCAGTCAGCATCGATGGGCTGGTCAGGCGGCGTCTGGCCAGGATTGGGTGCATCCCTCCTAGTCACCATCTTGAGATGCCCTTCAGTGGAAGATCAGATCCGCATCGGGCGCGCCCTTCTGGTGCTTAAACTTGTGCTTGTTGGGCTTCTGGTAGTAGCTCTGTGTGAAGTTTCGCTGCTGCGGCGGCAGCAGTGACTCCTGGTAGTCCTCCTCCTCGATCCGCTCCGTGATGTTCAGCGTCAGCCGCTTCACCTTCTCCTTCTCCTCGCGGATCTTCTGCTCCTGCAGCTTCAGGTTGATGGCCAGGTGCGAGTCGGACGGAGCCACAAATGACTTGAACTGCTGCTTGCCGCCCTTGTTGCCGCGCACCATGAGGACGAAGGGCACGGCTCCGCTATTGCCGCCATTGCCAGACTTGCCAGACTCCGGCGGGTCAGTGCCCGGCGAACTGGGCGTACCACTGCCGCCTCCGTTACCGCCGTCTGCCTTTGAGATCTGCTGCGATGCAGTGGTGGAGGCGTTGCAGTTCGTCAACTGCTCGTAGGACTTCTTCTGCAGGCGGGCCGTCATCGGCACGGGTATGTCCTTGGGCGTGGCCTTGATCGGCTCCTTCAGCCGCTCCTGGTACGAGTCCGTAGTCATCTTCTCGTACATCTGCTCAAACTCCAGGTCCTCCTTGGACTTCTCCACTGGCAGCGGCTGCACTGGCAGCGGCTCCGTCTCGTTCTCGGTCCAGTCGTTGCCCTGCTCCGGCTCCTGGCCCGCCACCTGGCGCTCCCTCTGATCGTTGGACGAGCCCGAATCCTCGTCGGTTGCCTGAGTGGAAAAAAGTGTGTGAAATAAGGATAATTCTTTGAGGGAATCACAAAACTCACGGCATCGTCCAGCTCGCTGATTTCGCTGATGGTGGTGAGGGCAGTGTCCTGGTTGCAGTTGGTCTTCAGCTGCGGGTAAAGCTTCTCCTGGAGTGCGTCTATGGCGGCCTTGGCCTGCTCCATGCTCTTGTAGAGCTTTAGTTTGGGACGCACGCTGGTCAGGCAGTCGCGGTAGGTGTGATCCACCAGAATGGGAAACAGGTCGGAGGTGTTTTCGGACTTGCTGAACACGGGGTGCGACTTCTTGAACCAGTAGTAGTGCTGGAAGAAGACCAGGAAGTAGTCCAGTCTGCAAATAAAGGGGAGAAAGTACTGGTTAGTCTGGGTGGGGCAGGGCAGGACAGGGTAACCCACTTTTTGCGCGTCGCCTGGCTGGTGAAGTAGGGCCCGCATGTGTCCAGCAGCATGCAGGCGAGCTTTAGCCGGAACAGGCTGTCCGGCGGATCCAGCGGCGAGACCACATTCTGATCTATCGACACGCCCAGCGAGATGATCGAGTACAGGGTGTTGAGGATGTGCGTGGACTCCACCAGCTTGTAGTTGTACATCTCGCCCAGGTACTTGGCCATGGCGATGCGTCGCTGGGCCATTCGCGGCGAGTGGATCTCCAGGCCGGCGCGGATGTCCTCGAACACGTTGTCGATCACAATGGTCACCGCGCGCGGCTGGTAGGAGCTCAGCCCGGAGACGAGATCGGCCAGGCAGCGCACCAGCGGGAAGCGCAGCAGGTAGGCCTTGCTGAGGCACTTGATGGCGTAGCTGCTGGTTTCCGGATCCTGCCAGTTGATGCGCCGCAGCATCTTGATGCAGCGCTCCACATTCTGCTTGCACAGCTCCTCGAAGATCAGGTGGCGGATGTACTCGTGCATCGGCGGCCGGGGCGCAGCCTCCTTCTTCGACGACTCCGGCGGCTTCACCAAGTAGTAGACACTCTCGATTTGGGCTGCATGCCGCGAGTCCATGGCCGTGGCCGTTTTCAGGCGCAGCATCTGGTCCAGAAAGACGTTCATCAGCAGCCGGGCGTCGCGGCAGTTGTACAGATAGACGCCACTGACCTCGACGAAGGCGCACGCCATCTCGATTTGGTGGTGCTGGAAGTCGCGCAGCAGCATCTTCAGGCAGCCCAGGGCGTCGAACTTCTTGAAGAGACCGAACTTGACCAGCTCCCCGATGAAGCGCACAATCTTCAGCTTCGACTCGATGTTCAGCTGGTTCTTCTTGCGGATGTGCCACTTGAACTCCTTGCGCAGCAGCTCGGACAGATCGGCGGCCACGTCCGTGTTGCACATGTGAACGATGGCCACGAAGCGCGACAGATACGGCAGGATGTCCAGTCGGGTGCGCTGCACGGAGAAGATCGTCCTGGTCAGCTTCTTGCGCTGGGGCTTCGTGTTGAAGTTAAGCAGAAATTCGATGGCCGCCGAGTCGATCAGCTCCTTGTTGACGCAGTTGAAGAGATTCACCAGGAAGGTGTCGAACTGCTGCCGCAGCTGGGTCTGATTCTGGTTCTGGGTCTGCCCATTCTGATTCTGCTGCTGCCGTCCGAGCTCCATCAGGGCGCTGCCCATCTTCTGGGGCTTCACCTCCTCGCTGATGGACGTAGTGGGTCCTGGGGCCCCTCCTGCTGCTGCTGCTGCTGGGGATTCTTCGCTTGGGGGATTGTCGGCCGAGTCGGATGCGGTGGAAGGAGGATCGTCAAGATCCATTTCTGCATCGATATTGGCATCAATGGCCTCCTCAGTCAGTTCGCTGGGCTCCTCCATCTGCTCCAGGTCCACCTTGGGCGCCGAAAAGTTTGGCAGAAACTGTCGCAAGTCCGGAAGGTCCGTGTAGAAGGAGCGCGTCTCCTCGTCGCCCCAGGGGTCGAGAACTCCGAAGGCGGCACTGTCCAGCATGTTGTCGATGACGGTGCCCGGGTTGCAGCACTCCGACTCCTTGGCCAGCTCTGGCAGCGGCTCGCCCAGCAGCTCCGACAGGGACTGAGCGGAGGCCAGGAGCTTGTCGAAGCTGGCCTGCATCACTTCGCACTTTTCCCGCTTCTCCGTGGAGATCTCGCCCTTGCACTCCATGGTGCGTCGAATGTTCTTGGTCATGTTCATCAGCTCCGCTTGCTCGGCCAGGACGTGCTTGCACAGCGCCTGAAAGAAACGTTGGGATTATAGATCATAGGAATATCTAACTCGCGACTAATCCTACCTTGAAGTAGCCCTTGAGCATGTTGCGCAGGTTCAGCTGCTTGTCGGCTGAGAGGAAATCGGACTTGGGCAGCTCCACGCCGTGCTTGTTGGCCAGGTGCTGCATCTTTTGCGGCACCAGGCCGGCGTACTCCTCGCCGCAGTGCCGGCAGAACGACAGTATGATGGAGAAGTTGCTGTGGTCCTCCTTGTCCTGGGCAATGAGATGCACCAGCACCACACCCAGCTGGGCCAGGCCCGGCTTCATCTGTATCACGCCGGAGCTGACCAGCTCGGCGAAGAGGCGCAGATCGACGCGCAGCTTGCTGGGATTGTTGATCTTCTCGGTGGCCTTGATGTTGAGGGCCTTCTGCCAGGCCTCCAGGAACTGGACATCGAAGTCTGCGTAGGTGCAGTGCAGCCTGGAGGCCAGTGTAACCACCGCCGGCACATCCGTCATCTTGAGCTTCGCCTCGGCCAGGGCGGCACAGATCTCCGAGATGTACTTGCTGAGATTTAGGGCTGACAGCTCCTTGAGCAGCGCATCCAGCTGGGTGGCCGTGAAGAGCTTCAGCTTCTTCACGAAGGCGGTGTTCTTCTTGAGATTGGAGTCGAGGCGGGCAAAGTGCTCCTCCCCGGGCAGCTCGAAGACGGAGTTTTGATGGCGCAGCTGGCGCTTGCTCTCGATTTTGTCGCTCAGCTCCTGGACGAACTGTTGCAGCTCCTCGCGCTCCTCCGCCTCCTGGACGGCCTCGTCAACGGTTGATATACCCGCTTCCGTATCTCCGGCTGTTCCGTGCAGTGCAGAGGAATCCTCAGCTGGGACGGTGGCCGCCGGTGGCTCATCTTTGCCTGGGTCATCCGACGGTGTGGCATCCGGCTTTGTTGTTGTTTTGGTTGCGCTGGCAGCGGCGGTTGTCGAATTGCTTGCATGCATGGCGGCAACTCGGCAGCTTGGCTCGGATTTGGGACGACGACGCTGCTGTACTCGGATTCCGATCTTATGGAGTCGGTTTTCCGGTTCGAGGGTTACCTTTTACAGGACGCACGCGTCGACTTCTCAATTTTGAAATTCAATTCGAGTATTTCGATTTCATCTGTTTAGTTTCGTTTTACTTTTTTGGTTCTTGCCTTCCCCAGAGCATGCTGGTGTGGCCGTTCGCTCTTTTGGCCGTCTCTAAAAATCCCGAAAAGCAAAACGAATGGTCACACTGTGCAGCGGTTTCCGCTTTTCCAGTCCAGGGTTTTCCCCGGGATTTATGAACCATTTCCGGTTAAGGATAATGAAATGAGGAATTTATTTAAAATAGTTGATATATTTTTTTTTAATTTTTCCATAAAGTTTTAATCGTAATACGTAAGAAAATATCAAGCACAAGGGGAAGAAGGAAAGATTTTTTAATTTCTTAATTTTAATACTAAAATAAAATGCTTAAACTACTACTGAACTCTTTGTTTTTCTTTTCACTTCAAAAATAAACAAAAATCATAAACAATAACACAAAATCTTCTTAAAAACTAAAAAAAAAAAACACCACTGAAGACACACAAAGGACACTCTTCAGATACACTTGATTCCTGGCCCTTAACCCTTTACCCTCCAACGCCTAATCCTCACGCCCGCCATGTACCAGAACCAGTTCATCTACTCCCGGGAGCGACGTCGCTTCGGGAGGCAGTGCCTCTTCCAGGATCGCAACGAGCTGATGGTTAGCGTTAATCCGAGCGGGAAACAGCGACTAAAGTACATCCTCCGCAATCCCAGCGTGCACCAGACCCAGCTGAGCAGCCAGATGGCACTGACCATTATGGAGACGGAGAACGTGACCCTGGACCACCACGGATTGTTTCACTACGAGGGCGGGTGGCCCCGTGAGGTGAACATTAACGACGAGGAGCAGACGCTGCGTCACCGCAAGAAGGTGGAGCGCGAGGACAGCTGGGGGCAGCAGGTGCTCTCGATGATCAGGTCGTTGATGGGGGTGGCAGAGCAGAACAACGCCATCAATATATATCAGGAATTCTTTTCGGATATCCCGCCGGATGTGGGCCACGACATCCGCATGAGGTACAGGGCGCGGATTGCGAACGTGTTCCACGATCTGTTCCTGCCGCCCCGCCAGATGAACCTCATTGAGTGGATGCCCAACAACGAACGCCAGTTCATGGCCCAGTTCAAGAATCAATTCCGGCAGGGCCAGGATCGACTCCGGCTGCTCACCGATGAGCCGTTTGGAGGGGAGAACGCCTTCTACACCTGGGACGTGAAGAATCCACTCAAGCCGAAGCTCTTCTATGACTCCAACGAGTCCGTGTCGCTGGCCAAGATCTGCCCGAAGGACGAGAACAACATGGTGGGAGGCACTTGTTCGGGCAAGGTCTGCCTGTGGGGCACCTTCCGGAGCGGGATGCCATTGCGCACCTGTCCGCTGGAGGCGTCCCACAGGGAGACCACCTCGGCCCTCTGCTGGGTTCATTCCAAGTCCAACACGGAGTTCTACTCAGGCTCGCTGGACGGCTCTGTCAAGTACTGGGACACCCGGGATCTGACGATGCCCGTGCAGGAGCTGCTCCTCGAACCGGAGCCCCAGGAGCGTCAATCGAGGGAGAACGCCCATGGAGTCACGGTTTTAGAGTTCGAGTACACCATTCCCGTTCGGTTCATCATCTGCAGCGACATGGGTCACGTCTTTGTGGGAAATCGTAAGGGCATGACCCCGGTAGAGACCCTGCTGGGTCACTATCCTCTCTTCGCCGGTCCCATCCGGAGCATCAACCGCAATCCGTTCTTCGTGAAGAACTTTCTGGTGACAGGCGACTGGCGGGCCAGGATCTGGTCGGAGGAGGCCAAGGACGGGCCCAGCACCATGTACTTCCGCAAGAACGCCCAGATCGCCTGCGGGGCCTGGAGCACGGGCCGCTGCTCCATGTTCGTGACGGGGGACATGAAGGGCGTCGTGGACTTCTGGGACTTGCTGCTCCACCAGCGCAAGCCCATTCTCTCCATCGACTTCAAGGTGCCCATCAAGGATGTCGTCTTCCGGCCCGATGGCGATCTACTAGCCATTGCCCTCCAGAACGGGGACACCGCCATCCTAACCCTCGACGAGGCCATGCGCCAGGCCACAGGCAAGGAGAAGGCTCTCATGGCGGCCGTAAGACGGGATGGGGATTTCAGGGAACACTCTAAAGATGTCTTTCACAGATGTTTGAGCGGGAGATATCCCGGAGCAAGATCCTGGAGGCTCGCGTGGAGGAGATGAAGCTGAAAAGGCGCACCATTCTCCAGGCGGAGGAGGATCGCCTGCGACGCGAACTGGATGTCTCTCCGGACCTCGAACTCGATCCGGATAACCCCGATCAGTTCGTAATGATGATCGAGGGCGACGAGCAGTTTCGGACGGCCATTAGCGACTTCCAGGACATGATTCTGGCCGTGGAACGGAAGCGCTCGAAGCGCCAGGTCATCATGGAGCGCACCGTCTTCGAGTTGGCCGAGGCAGATGAGGAGCTTCTGAAGGGCCTGCCTGTGGTGTATGGCTCGCCAACGGATGCCCCGGCCCCGGAACAGCCGCCACAGGGGGGCAGCCAAAGGACCTCAGGCCAGGCCCAAGACTCCACCAAGGGGTAGACAGCACAGGTGAGTCTAGAGCTTCCCCTCCATCGAAAAGTAGGAAAAGTAATCTTTTTTTTTCCCTGACGACCGCAGCGATGTGAGCCACCTGACCCCCCAAGTGAACCATTTCGTCATCTTAAACGGAGTACTCTTTGGAGACTTTATTACGTACCCACACGACCCACACACACACACGGCCCTAATTAAGTAACAACCTTTCTAAGTCTTAATTATCCAAGTGGAGCTGACTAAGTTCACTTTCATACAGCAATTACGAGTAGTTGCATTTACACAGCAATTAAAAGCAGATAATCACACTAAACAGCGACGAAACAAACAAAATCTATAAAAAAAAAAAAACAATTTAAAATTATGCAGACATGTCGTCTGTGTGTTCGGAGCTCTGCAGGATGAGAGAGCTCCTCGCCAGCCCTCTACTGCTTGTCGGTGTCCACGCCCGTGTCGAGGAAGTCGTTGACGAGACGCATCGCCTTGCGGGGAATGAGGCGACCCACCTTCTCCACGCTGACAAAGTGGCGGGGAATGGAGGCCTCCTCCAGGCCCTGGCGCTGGGCCTCGATGATGGAAGCGGCGGCCACGTCCGGAGCAATCAGCTTGAACAGATTGGGGAAGCGGTAGCGGGGGTTCTTGCACAGGCCAGTGTCGATCATGTACGGGAAGATGGTGGTGAGTTTGATCTGGATGGAGTGGAGAATAAGGATCTGTCTCTTGAGGATGAAACACTACTGTCTTACGTTGTTTTGGGGATTCTTCCGACGCAGTTCCTCGGCCAGGGCGGCCATGTAGCCGCGGACGGCGAACTTGGTGCCGCAATAGGGCACCAGGTTGACGAGACCGAAGAGTCCGGCGCAGGAGGAGAGGGCCACGATGCTGCCCTCGTTGCGCTCAATCATGTCCGGAAGGAAGGCCTGGATGATCTGTGGAAGCCAAGGAAGAGGATTAAGACCAAACCCGAAGAGATTCCATCAAGAATACCTACCCAGTAGTGGGAGACCACATTGATGTCGTACATGAGACGGATCTCGTTCTCGGTGTGCTCCAGCAGGGGATGGCAGGGCATGATGCCGGCATTGTTGACCACCACCGAGACAAAGCCGTGCTCCTTGCGCACCTTCTGGGCCAGTTCGATGAGCTCGTCCCGCTTGGTGACGTTGCAGACGTAGCCGAAGGCCTTGCCGCCCTTGGCCTGGATCTCCTTGACGGTCTGGTTGTTGGTCTGTTCGTTGACGTCCCAGCAGAGGATGGTGGCGCCCAGCTGGGCGTACTGTAGGGCCATCTGCTTGCCCATGCCGTGTCCGGTGCCGGTGATCAGGACCACCTTGCCGCGCACCTCCTCCAGCGGCGGGGGACGGAAGAGTCCGACAATAGCCTCGGCGATGGCGTACCAGAACTTGGCGATCAGCACCAGGATGTCCACCACCAGGAGCACAATATTGTAGACGTCATTGCTCTGGGGGGCACCGCTCTGGGGACTCCCAGCACTACCGGAGAAGAACAATATAGTCTCTATTAGCTGAATAACGGTATTTTGTCACAAAGTTAATTGAAAAAGGGAAAGCATTTTTTTGTTTATTTTTTATGCGGCCATTAAACTGTCATAGTTTTTATTTTATGACTCAAGCTGGGAACCTAAAAACTAAAAACAAAAATCTGGATAATAAAGCCGAGATGATGCCATAATAGAACTGTGTATGAGGCATTTGTTTTTAAAATTCTCTTAAAAACTTTACACATTTTTGTGAACATGCTCGGTTTTAATCGCCTTTTTAAGTGCGTGATCCACTTCATCATCATTAGCGGCTAGAGATGGGGGCATCTATGGAGGAATTGAACCTAATCCGGCCCAGTAACTCTTGCATGACCCATGGGCATTATCTCAAAAAATATATATAACAACCGACAATCGGCCTGACCTTTGGCATCTCCTCTTAAATACTTTTGTGGCTATGGCTTTTTGTGTTTTTTTTTTTTTTATATTCATACAAATATGTATTTATTTATATTTTTTTTGGTGGGTCTTCTGGGGTTGGGGGTGCGATCTTAGGTCAGCGCTTTTTAGCCGCTTTCAGTTTTTTTTTTGTTTTTTTTTTTTTTGTAATTATACAGCTTTGGCTTTACTTTTCAGCTTTCCAGCTGCAGTTGCGTGAGATCTTGATAATTTCAAACTGTTTTGTGTTTTATTTTTAGTTTTATTTCTGTATTACGTATGTACGATCAGCACAAATGGGGCATACAAAAAATCGGAATATATACACCCATCGGTGTCGTAATATAGGTATGGAGAGACCCAACCCTGACCATGACCATGCTTCACTCCCCGGAGATAGTTCTTATCACTTTGGAATGCTATTTTTATAGCAGATCGGAAGACTTTCTATAGCCCAACAGCCGATCTTCATGATGCCTTTATAAGTCATATTTTTCCGATATTTCTGATCATGTTTTTGATGAGTTATTGGAGCTTAATAATTTTAAAACGATCTTCGAACAGGGTCTATAAAGGCTTCAATATATTATATACCTTATATATGGACCAGGGGCCAAGCTTATCTCAACTAATCCCTATTATAGATTCTAGATTTCTTGATTGCACAGCGTTCAAAGGTTCCAACAATCAGGGAACTGCATTCAGATAGTAACCCCTATATAGGGGTTAACCCTTGTATGGAAGCCCCGTATAGCAGGAAACCCTATTGAACCCTGATCTTGGGAGTTGGCACTTTTGGGTTCCTTTTTTTTTGGACTCTTCGATAAGCCGTAAGCTCTATGTTATCGCCGGTAATTACTATAGCTCACTATATGTATTATATATCTGTTCCACTGATAAGCAATCACACTCTCTGTTGCCAACTCTGTTTTTTTTGAGGAATCGTCTGTTTTTTTTTCTACTAACCTTTGCGACACTTTCGACATATTTGATTCTAAGGATCAGATCGGATCGGATCGGATCAGAGCACTACTTTATGATTCGGAGGAGACCGTAAAACCGTAAACCGTTAGCGGCTGTTAACGAATTCGGACTGATTTTTCAGTAAAGTAAACAGTACGCACCGTACCGTACCGCCACGCCGGTCGTATGAGTTATTATTTGAAATCTACTCGCACACTAGTCGGCTCTCATACTTTCAGATACAAATATACAGTGAGTGCTCTATAGATACAGATAGGGAACGCCGGCTGAGGCAGCAGCAGCGGCAGCGTCAGTGGCAGAGGCATCAGAGTTCTATAAACATTTCTACAACACATGTCCAATGGGCGATCCAATCCGATCCGATCTATATAGAACGACAACGATACTACATGTACACGGCACCAAAAGTATTTAAAGGCCAATAATTTTTAATAAAATATATATAATATAACTATTACTATTAACTAGAACTAAAAAAGGTTCTTTGATTTAGAAAACTGGGAGTTAAAGTTCTATGACATTTTTTCAAGTGTTCTTTGCGCAATGGTTTCCGTTCTAGTGTTTGTTTTTCGGTTAATCAGACTTCGATAATAATACGCCAGCTAATGGGGGGGCACTTCCATGTAATACCCCGCCCTGCCCCCACATAACGTAACAGAATTTATATTTATATAGTTTGCGACCCCCTGAACGCCGAGATACAACGATTCAGATACAAAGATACTCACTGTGAGGCACTTTCGCAAAGCAGATGCCGCCACGTATTTCCAGATGGGGCTTTCAAAGATAAGGATTGATCTTCTGATCCCCAGGAAGTGGAACAAAAGCTCTGAACAATACCCCAAACTTTTAATAGAACATACACTAATCCAAAATACCCCTGAATCACTATTCGAGATTAGAGTCCTGGCTATCGATGAGGCAATATATGATCACTCACCGTGATTAGTCACTTTCCTGTCGATCGAGGGGTCAAAGTATTAAGTTCCCAGTCTGAACCTCAACCGAACGGAACTCAACCCGTCCGATAAGGCTCGTGATTAATCAAACCAGCCTCATATATATTTATAATGTGGAATTACTACCCTTCTACAGGTGCAAATAAAACTTTAGTAAGAAATGCACCAGTTGGATAACAGTGATTGCTAAATGGTAGAAAATTGCAAGTAATTACATATATGTAACTAGGTTTAAGAATTTTTTAAGTTAAAAAAGGGTGTAGTGTTCCATTTTAAAAGATATATATCTACTATAGAATTTTTTACTGTATTCAGTTTGAGAATCGGATCAATATTGACTGAGATATAGCCTCCGCAAGGGACCATTTTTTCAACCCCATGCATTTTCTGATTTTTGAAGGGGGTCCATCAGAAAAATTCGAAAAAAATGGATCCAAAATTTTATTTCCAGATTTTGACGCAGAATTATGTAAAATCGATCCAGTAATCGTTTAAGGTAATCCGCTTGAGAATCGGATCAATATTGAGTGAGATATAGCCTCCACAAGGGACCATTTTTTCACTCCCATGCATTTTTTGATTTTTGAAGGGGGTCCATCAGAAAAATTCGAAAAAAATGGATCCAAAATTTTATTTCCAGATTTTGATGCAGAATTAAGTAGAATCGATCCACTAATCGTTTAAGGTAATCCGCTTGATAATCGGATCAATATTGAGTGAGATATAGCCTCAACAAGGGACCATTTTTTCACTCCCATGCATTTTTTGATTTTTGAAGGGGGTCCATCAGAAAAATTCGAAAAAAATGGATCCAAAATTTTATTTCCAGATTTTGATGCAGAATTATCTAAAATCGATCCAGTAATCGTTTAAGGTAATCCGCTTGAGAATCGGATCAATATTGAGTGAGATATAGCCTCCACAAGGGACCATTTTTTCACTCCCATGCATTTTTTGATTTTTGAAGGGGTCCATCAGAAAAATTCGAAAAAAATGGATCCAAATTTTTATTTCCAGATTTTGATGCATAACTATGTAAAATCGATCCAGTAATTATTTAAGGTAATCCGCTTGAGAATCGGATCAATATCGACTGAGATATAGCCTCCGCAAGGGACCATTTTTTCACTCCCATGCATTTTCCCACTTTTGAAGGGGGTCCATCAGAAAAATTCGAAAAAAATTGATCCAAAATTTTATTTGTAGATTTTGATGCAGAATTATCTGGAATCGTTCCAGTAATCATTTAAAGTAATCCGCTTGAGAATCGGATCAATATTGAGTGAGATATAGCCTCCACAAGGGACCATTTTTTCACTCCCATGCATTTTTTGATTTTTGAAGGGGGTCCATCAGAAAAATTCGAAAAAAATGGATCCAAATTTTTATTTCCAGATTTTGATGCAGAATTAAGTAGAATCGATCCACTAATCATTTAAGGTAATCCGCTTGAGAATCGGATCAATATTGACTGAGATATAGCCTCCACAAGGGACCATTTTTTCACTCCCATGCATTTTTTGATTTTTGAAGGGTCCATCAGAAAAATTCGAAAAAAATGGATCCAAAATTTTATTTCCAGATTTTGATGCAGAATTATGTAAAATCGATCCACTAATCGTTTAAGGTAATCCGCTTGAGAATCGGATCAATATTGACTGAGATATAGCCTCCACAAGGGCCCATTTTTTCACTCCCATGAATTTTTTGATTTTTGAAGGGGGTCCATCAGAAAAATTCGAAAAAAATGGATCCAAAATTTTATTTCCAGATTTTGATGCATAACTATGTAAAATCGATCCAGTAATCGTTTAAGGTAATCCGCTTGAGAATCGGATCAATATCGACTGAGATATAGCCTCCGCAAGGGACCATTTTTTCACTCCCATGCATTTTCCCACTTTTGAAGGGGGTCCATCAGAAAAATTCGAAAAAAATTGATCCAAAATTTTATTTGTAGATTTTGATGCAGAATTATCTGGAATCGTTCCAGTAATCATTTAAGGTAATCCGCTTGAGAATCGGATCAATATCGACTGAGATATAGCCTCCGCAAGGGACCATTTTTTCACTCCCATGCATTTTTTGATTTTTGAAGGGGGTCCATCAGAAAAATTCGAAAAAAATGGATCCAAATTTTTATTTCCAGATTTTGATGCATAACTATGTAAAATCGATCCAGTAATCGTTTAAGGTAATCCGCTTGAGAATCGGATCAATATTGAGTGAGATATAGCCTCCACAAGGGACCATTTTTTCACTCCCATGCATTTTCCCACTTTTGAAGGGGAAAAAAAGAAAAATTCGAAAAAAATTGATCCAAAATTTTATTTGTAGATTTTGATGCAGAATTATCTGGAATCGTTCCAGTAATCATTTAAGGTAATCCGCTTGAGAATCGGATCAATATCGACTGAGATATAGCCTCCGCAAGGGACCATTTTTTCACTCCCATGCATTTTTGATTTTTGAAGGGGGTCCATCAGAAAAATTCGAAAAAAATGGATCCAAATTTTTATTTCCAGATTTTGATGCATAACTATGTAAAATCGATCCAGTAATCATTTAAAGTAATCCGCTTGAGAATCGGATCAATATTGAGTGAGATATAGCCTCCACAAGGGACCATTTTTTCACTCCCATGCATTTTTTGATTTTTGAAGGGGGTCCATCAGAAAAATTCGAAAAAAATGGATCCAAAATTTTATTTCCAGATTTTGATGCATAACTATGTAAAATCGATCCAGTAATCGTTTAAGGTAATCCGCTTGAGAATCGGATCAATATCGACTGAGATATAGCCTCCGCAAGGGACCATTTTTTCACTCCCATGCATTTTCCCACTTTTGAAGGGGGTCCATCAGAAAAATTCGAAAAAAATTGATCCAAAATTTTATTTGTAGATTTTGATGCAGAATTATCTGGAATCGTTCCAGTAATCATTTAAGGTAATCCGCTTGAGAATCGGATCAATATCGACTGAGATATAGCCTCCGCAAGGGACCATTTTTTCACTCCCATGCATTTTTGATTTTTGAAGGGGGTCCATCAGAAAAATTCGAAAAAAATGGATCCAAATTTTTATTTCCAGATTTTGATGCATAACTATGTAAAATCGATCCAGTAATCGTTTAAGGTAATCCGCTTGAGAATCGGATCAATATTGAGTGAGATATAGCCTCCACAAGGGACCATTTTTTCACTCCCATGCATTTTCCCACTTTTGAAGGGGAAAAAAAGAAAAATTCGAAAAAAATTGATCCAAAATTTTATTTGTAGATTTTGATGCAGAATTATCTGGAATCGTTCCAGTAATCATTTAAGGTAATCCGCTTGAGAATCGGATCAATATCGACTGAGATATAGCCTCCGCAAGGGACCATTTTTTCACTCCCATGCATTTTTTGATTTTTGAAGGGGGTCCATCAGAAAAATTCGAAAAAAATGGATCCAAATTTTTATTTCCAGATTTTGATGCATAACTATGTAAAATCGATCCAGTAATCATTTAAAGTAATCCGCTTGAGAATCGGATCAATATTGAGTGAGATATAGCCTCCACAAGGGACCATTTTTTCACTCCCATGCATTTTTTGATTTTTGAAGGGGGTCCATCAGAAAAATTCGAAAAAAATGGATCCAAAATTTTATTTCCAGATTTTGATGCAGAATTAAGTAGAATCGATCCACTAATCGTTTAAGGTAATCCGCTTGATAATCGGATCAATATTGAGTGAGATATAGCCTCAACAAGGGACCATTTTTTCACTCCCATGCATTTTTTGATTTTTGAAGGGGGTCCATCAGAAAAATTCGAAAAAAATGGATCCAAAATTTTATTTCCAGATTTTGATGCAGAATTATCTAAAATCGATCCAGTAATCGTTTAAGGTAATCCGCTTGAGAATCGGATCAATATTGACTGAGATATAGCCTCCACAAGGGACCATTTTTTCACTCCCATGCATTTTCCCACTTTTGAAGGGGGTCCATCAGAAAAATTCGAAAAAAATTGATCCAAAATTTTATTTGTAGATTTTGATGCAGAATTATCTGGAATCGTTCCAGTAATCATTTAAGGTAATCCGCTTGAGAATCGGATCAATATTAAGTGAGATATAGCCTCCACAAGGGACCATTTTTTCACTCCCATGCATTTTTTGATTTTTGAAGGGGGTCCATCAGAAAAATTCGAAAAAAATGGATCCAAATTTTTATTTCCAGATTTTGATGCAGAATTAAGTAGAATCGATCCACTAATCATTTAAGGTAATCCGCTTGAGAATCGGATCAATATTGACTGAGATATAGCCTCAACAAGGGACCATTTTTTCACCTCCATGCATTTTTTGATTTTTGAAGGGTCCATCAGAAAAATTCGAAAAAAATGGATCCAAAATTTTATTTCCAGATTTTGATGCAGAATTATGTAAAATCGATCCAGTAATCGTTTAAGGTAATCCGCTTGAGAATCGGATCAATATTGACTGAGATATAGCCTCCACAAGGGACCATTTTTTCACTCCCATGCATTTTTTGATTTTTGAAGGGGGTCCATCAGAAAAATTCGAAAAAAATGGATCCAAAATTTTATTTCCAGATTTTGATGCAAAATTAAGTAGAATCGATCCACTAATCGTTTAAGGTAATCCGCTTGAGAATCGGATCAATATTGACTGAGATATAGCCTCCACAAGGGCCCATTTTTTCACTCCCATGAATTTTTTGATTTTTGAAGGGGGTCCATCAGAAAAATTCGAAAAAAATGGATCCAAAATTTTATTTCCAGATTTTGATGCAGAATTAAGTAGAATCGATCCACTAATCATTTAAGGTAATCCGCTTGAGAATCGGATCAATATTGACTGAGATATAGCCTCAACAAGGGACCATTTTTTCACCTCCATGCATTTTTTGATTTTTGAAGGGGGTCCATCAGAAAAATTCGAAAAAAATGGATCCAAAATTTTATTTCCAGATTTTGATGCAGAATTATGTGGAATCGTTCCAGTAATCGGTTAAGGTAATCCGCTTAAGAATCGGATCAATATTGACTGAGATATAGCCTCCGCAAGGGACCATTTTTTCAACCCCATGCATTTTCCCACTTTTGAAGGGGGTCCATCAGAAAAATTCGAAAAAAATGGATCCAAAATTTTATTTCCAGATTTTGATGCAGAATTATGTAGAATCGATCCAGTAATCGTTTAAGGTAATCCGCTTGAGAATCGGATCAATATTGACTGAGATATAGCCTCCGCAAGGGACCATTTTTTCAACCCCATGCATTTTCCCACTTTTGAAGGGGGCTCATCAGAAAAATTCGAAAAAAATGGATCCAAAATTTTATTTCCAGATTTTGATGCAGAATTATGTGGAATCGTTCCAGTAATCGTTTAAGGTAATCCGCTTGAGAATCGGATCAATATCGACTGAGATATAGCCTCCGCAAGGGACCATTTTTTCAACCCCATGCATTTTCCCACTTTTGAAGGGGGTCCATCAGAAAAATTCGAAAAAAATGGATCAAAAATTTTATTTCCAGATTTTGATGCAGATTTATGTAGAATCGATCCAGTAATCGTTTAAGGTAATCCGTTTGAGAATCGGATCAATATCGACTGAGATATAGCCTCCGCAAGGGACCATTTTTTCAACCCCATGCATTTTCCCACTTTTGAAGGGGGTCCATCAGAAAATATCGAAAAAAATGGATCCAAAATTTTATTTCCAGATTTTGATGCAGAATTATGTAGAATCGATCCAGTAATCTTTTAAGGTATTCTGCTTCAAAATCGGATGTATCATTCGGAAGATATTGGCGCCGTTGGGGTAGAATATTAACCTCAAGCGAGAAACCAGGCGAGTTCTGGTTTTAATATACTGCAGCTCAAGTGCCTTGGATTATTATAATGCCAGATTAAATATATAAACCATTTCAAGTTCTAGTTCAATCGATTGTGTAACTAATAATATATAATTCCATATTATGACATGTATAAGTATATATAGAATATGCAGCACTGGTGGGGGCAGCCCGTTCCTGGTAGTTTGATCTTGGATACCTTGCCATATATGCTGGAGATGAAAATGATATTTGTGTGTAAGTGGCGGTCATTCCGGTTCTCCGCCAATCCAGTCCACCTTCCACTCACGTGTGGCGGCCAAACTGGCAGGGGGACACAATTTTGATGGAGGAACCCAATGAAACAAAACAATGATGCGAATGGAACGAGCTTTGGGCGTTGCATGAATGCATTCAATAGATGGAGATGATTCGTGACAATTTCGTCTGTTTCCAGTCTCCGAGTGTCTGTATCTCAATCTCTAGCTATTAGATACATCTCGGTCTATATGTGTTGGTTGGTTTTTGGGTGCATTTGTGTGTGGATGCGGCTGGCTGGCTAATCGAATAAATTAGCTCGCATTACCGGACCGGTTGACTGGTTTATTGTTTTCGCTCGACACTTGCACAAATATGACGACGCCTTGAAATCGCCGTCTAGTTGCAACTAGCATCTGTGTAATTGTATCTGTAAGATGCCCCGGCCCAATCCGCATCCAAATCCAGTGCCGGCAGCAAATTGCATCTCTGCCGTCATCATAGTTCGAGGTCACCCATTGACCCCTTGTTAACAGTCCACTATAATTACTGTTAACTTTTATTGACAATCATAACTTGCTTTGGAATAAATATACATTAAAAATAAATAGATAAATAAATATCTTGTATCTTTTATTTTGTTCTCTCAACCTTAAAGATCCTCAATAAAAAAACAAACTAAAAACAATGCGATACCCGATACTCTCTCCTAAAACCAAAACTCACAATCTATTATCTTTCAACGTTTTATTAATATTTTCTCACACCTTTTAGTTAATAAATAAACAAGTCAACATATATTTAGATCCAGGTAGGGATAGGATAGGATAGTTAGAATCCTAAACCTGAAGAGTGGAAAAAAATGAGACCACAGCACTGTCCGTGGGCAGGCACTGCCCAAAGGCTTCGATCAGTAGCGGCTCCGCCGTCACAGTGCCCATAAAATCCTCCAGGGACACCTTGCCATCCTTGTCCAGATCAAACTTTTTGAGTACTATCTCCACCAGGTCCTTGACACCCTCGTCCGGATCCTCGTCCTGCGGCTGCTTGATCAGACAGTTGCGGAGCAGCGTAAACATTTCGTCCTTGGTGATGAAGCCGTCGGTGTTCAGATCGTAGACGCGAAAGCAGAAGGCCGCCTTCTCCGCCGGAGTGCCTCGCAGGAAGGTGGAGAGGCCGATGAGCCAGCCCTCCAGCCGGAGGGGCAGTCCCTCGTGGGCCTTGTCCCAGCTGCAGAAGATTCGCTCCATGAGGATCTCCTCCGTCACGATGTCGAAGGTGCTGTGCAGGAGCTCCCTAAAAACAATCCGATCGATGCCCTGATTGGGGTTTTCATTAGTTATTATGAAGGATAAACTGGGGGAAGGATGCAGACCTCCACGGCGGCATGGGGCTTCGCGATGGCAGCACTGGATGAACTGGAGGCCAGAGTCTTGGCCGCGTACTGGCAGTTGGAGACCAGTTTCCGATAGATCCTGCACAGGGCATCCAGCTCGTCCCTGCTTGGAATTTATAGTTTCTCTTAAGAGCTTCTCGTTGGGATTTACTTACTTGGTGAAGCGGGTCTTCTTGCGGAGACTCTCCAGCAGTTTGGGATTGATTTTGCCGCTCAGCTCGTCCATCCTCCGTTGCCGCTGTTGCCGTTTGTTTTGCAGGGCTTTGTCCTTCGACTGTTGGTTGCTCGAGTTGCGCTTGCCGCTGGCGAGGAACACGGATACCGTTTTCAGTATCGTTTTGTTGGCATGTAGTGTGGATCTACCGACGCTGCCATTGCCATTGCCTCCTGCCGTCCCTGTTCCTGCTGTTGCTGTGGATGCCGCTGCACCTCCTCCTCCGCTTCCAGCTCCGCCTCCTGCCGCGCCACTTGGCTCCCCACTCCTGGCGGCGGTTGGTGTTGGCGAACGACCCTTGCCGGCGCCCGCCTTTCCTGCAACAAAATTTCCACTACATGTACACAGGAAGAAAGGGGTGTAGGATCCTATATGACTTCTATAAGATATCCTGCTATACGACTGCAATAAGATCCCTAAAAGGTCCCAAACTCTTACTTTGAGGAAAACTACTTAAAATCGTGAAAGCTTCAAACAATAATCCTTCCCATTAGTGTTACCTCATTTCTTGCAGTGTATCCTAGACGGTGCGTGTGTGGGTTGCTGTTTTATGTGTCAAAGTCGACACGCTTACCCGCCAAACCCATCCATCCATCCACCTACCAGGCACTTCCACGGAAAAAGCCCTTCAAATATGTATGTGGAGCAGAGCAAACAAAAGGCCCGAAATGCAAATGCTCCACGCGGAGCTCAGACTATACCACACCATCATCCTAGCCAGTCCTAGGACCCACTCCATGCCCATTCATGGCCCATCTAAATGGGTAATAGCGTTCACATTCTGCCCAATAAATTGTTTCAGCCGGCGATTGCGATTCAAAGTGCACTGAGAAAAAGCTCTATTAGGGGCTGGTAATGATTAGTAATGGATATACCTCTTTTTTTTCTCAGTGCATTCATTTACTTTTGTGTTCACTTTGATTTCAATCTAAGACCTCCTCCGCCTGCTCCTGTCATTGTTTTGTGTTGTGTCGTGCCCGGTTTTGAGAAAAATGTTATTATCTGGTGATTACCCATATAAGTAGAGCTCCATGGAGGTCCTCGGGTCTAGCCCTCCGGCTGTCTGCCTTCCAGGCACTATAATTTTATTAGCATTTCGAAGGGGGATGCGTGCTCCCTACATATATGTATATGATGGAGCATGTATGGAGCTATCGTTTAATTTGTTGATATCGGGGTTGCCCGGTTGCTCGGTTGCCGCAAAGGCAGAAGGACCCATGGCCCCACCCCACCCCCTCCTTTCCAATTGGCCAAGTCAAGAATGTTTGGACCTGACATACTGCTACTGCACCGCCTTGCCAGCCATTATTCCATCACATATGTGACAGGCGGGGCATCCTGGCCGGGCTTTGTCCTTTCTTTATTCTTTTTCTATACATGTTTATTGCCATTCTGCATTATTGGCCAATGATTGTCTTGCCAGGATAACGATTCAGTTGCCAATTGGCAAGCCAAAGGAATAGAATGGATTCTGTTGCTGCCAGGACTTGGCGTTCTTAGACTTTTCGAGATTAAGTTGGACAGCAATAAAGGTAATCCTTGGACGATTAAGGGCCTTAATTTGAGATTTTGTAGTTTATTTTAGTTTTATATTTATTAAGGATCTTAAAACATAAAACTTTTTTATTGTTATGTAAATATTGGCTTTAAAAATCACAATTGCCATGACAACATTTTGTTTACTTTAAGAAAAGGTGTCTTTACTTTGAGTTTTTGTTAAATTAAACTGCTTTAAAAGGAGCTTAATTTTTCTACATCTTATTCTTTTATAAATAGAGTATATTTTAGGGAATCTTGTACACTTTTTAAGTCATCATTTGAGCCACATCCTGCAGAACACTGAGGGTAAGTCGAACAAATACTTGATACTTTCGACCCCTTTCTTGGAACTAATATTACATCACCGCAGGAAATTGGAAAGGTAATGAGCCACCAGGGGTTAACTTTTCCAGGATTCAAACTTGCCATTTGTTTCGGCCTAAAGGATAACAAAACTTTCCGCCCTTTTGGAGTTCCACAAACTTTGTGGACTTTCTGCGGGCGCTGCAAAGTATGCTATGGAATTGGCAAAAAGGGCGGTTGCAATTCCAGGAGCTGTAATTACAATTTTTGCCAACAAATACCAGCACACACACACACACACACACACCACTCGCACACCCAAGCACACACTCTAGTTGTTGTTGTTTTTAATAGATCTTTAAAGTAGATACCCATGTCGTATCCTTGTTGTTGTTTTGATGGCGCGATTAACTCCACGCAGGAGAGAGCGTTAAACCGTGTCCCTCGACAAAAAACAAAGGAATCAACAAACGGCTGAGCCGAGGAATTGGCGAAAGGAGTTTCCAAGGAGCGCTGTCATCAGATGGGCGTGCCCCACACCGCCCCTCACCGAATGTGTTGACAATCCCCATTCATTGTCAGTTGGAATAGGTAAGGGTCCCGCACCCGTAACCGCACTCGCACCTGCCACAGGACCTCCCTCGATGAGACCTGGTGGCAGTGCCTGGTGCTAGAATCAAACTATTGACAAAACAAGGCCAAGACATAGAGCACATAGTCTGATGGTGGTTCTAGTTTTGTTCTGTTTCCGCTTTTATTTGTTAGATTTCACTTGCTTTTTGGACTCGCTTGAGTCCCGAGTGACTTCGATTGCTTGGATTACGAATTAATTATTGTGTGTCCTGATTATATGTATGTATTTATGTATGTATGTATGCATATATAGGCGTGTATTTGTGTCTGTGTGTGTGTACTTATATACAACTATCAGATATTACTCGTTAAACTTTAATTCTGCTGTTAGACTTAGGCGTACGTATTGTTATAGTGTTAGTACATAGTACAGAGTAGATCGTAATGTCTATAAATCTGCACTTTAATTTGATTTCGTCCCCCTCGCCCGCACTAGAGCCGCCATCTTGCCATCCTTTCCAGATCACAGATCCCAGATCCAGTCTCTCCTCCAAACGGGGTCTCCTTCTCCAAGCTAGCTTTGATTAACAATCTTTGAGAGATAGATAGATAGATAGATAGAGAGAGAGAGAGAGAGAGAGACAAATATAATGGGGTAAACATTAGGTGTAAATCAAAAAAATGTATTCTTTATAATAATTTATAAAATATAAGTAATAATAATTACAAACTCAAACAAAAAAAAACATAATTGGACTTGGTTTAAACACGGGTGGCATAAGTTAGACATAAGAATTATTGCATTTAATTACATGATCAATTCGAATCCTATTTTAAAACATTACATAATAACCGTACAATAATATTAATTAACAAGAAAAAGAACTGCAACATTTAATCTGTATTCGTCTCGGTCTACATCTCCATCTCCATCTCCGTCTCCGTCTTGGTCACGGTCTCCTCCTTCGCGAATGCTTCCTCTAGGATTTGTCTTATTTTTTTTTACTTTTACTTTTAACTTTTCTCTTTAAATATTAGTTATATTTAGTTTCGATCGTCAGATGGGCGCTTTACTATACTGCAGTTAGACTTTCTAATATTATAACTTTCTTGGATGCGAAATAAATTGGATTCATTTATCGTAAGTTTTCGGGGAGAACAAAATAGAAAACTCGATGATCTCGATAAAAAAAACTGGGTTTCATTTTGCTGTGGTGGTACTTGTTGGTGTTTTGTGTGTGTGTCTGAGTGTGTCTTGTAAAGATACATTTTTTTATTTCTTAACTTTTTTTTTTTTAACTCTAAAGAACGGGCATCGACGTCTGTTTAATGCCAGATCAAGGCCAAAAGCAATACGATTTTGTTATACGATCGCACGTCATACATATATTGCATGTGCTTGTGCACTTTTTACTTATTTTTTTTTTTGTTTTTGTTTTCTAGAACCATTCTATATTTAATTAATTGCGTTTGCATCTATTTTAACTTTCGGTTTTCTGTTTTCTGTTTCTGTTTCCGTTTCCGGTTACGTTACTGTTACTGTTACTGTTACTATTACTGTTTCTATTCTGTTTTCTGTTTTTTGTTTCCATTTTGTTCTCCTCTCGGGTCTTCACCGATCTTCGTCCTCTCTCCAGCTCACTCTTTCTCTCAAGAGCTTTTGTTATTCTCTCCTTCCGTTATCAGCTACTGATGGCTAAACTAAGAGTTTTCAAATCTTGTTTTTTTCGCTTAACTTAGTAGACACATATACATATATGTGTATATATATATATATATATGCAAATGTATATATTTATATGTATGTGCGTGGGTGCGCAGATCCACACGCCATCATCCAATCACTTTATATCTTAAAATCCAATTACCATATATATATATATATATAAGTCAATATATATATATATATGGGTGTGTGTGTGTGTGTGTTTATGTATATATATATTGTTGCTTGTTGCTGTTGTTGTTGTTGTCGCACATTCTTAGGCTGTAGTCAGCGTTAGCTTTAGCGGTAACTCTGTCGTCGTGGGATCCAACCGATATTATAACTCCATGTCCCTGGCCTCGTCCTCGCTATAGTCCGACATGCTGGACTCGCTGTCGCTGCTCTCGCGCTCCTGCTGCGCCGCCCGCAGCGCATCCTCGGTGGCATATCGCTGCACATAGTCGGCCACCTTGCGATGGTACTCCTCCGGCTCGTGCAGGTACAGTGCGGCCGCGTCACGATTGAGCGGATCCACCGGATTCGGGTAGGTAAGCAGCTGCGGCAAGAACGATTCAAAGATGTTGGAGAGATCGTACAGCGCCGTCCAGGCCTGATTGATGACATCGAGGCAGACGGTGCCGGAGGACTCGTCAATGTTCGGATGGTAGATCTTGTTCACGAATCCGATGCTCGGTGACTTGAACGGATAGTTGTCGGGCAGGTAGACGCGCACCTTCCATACACCGCCCTCGTAGGGCGTCTCTGTGGGGCCGAAGAACTTCACATGGAACTCGTTCAGGCCGCCGAGGATGGTTACCTCGTGCTTGGACTCGATCAGCTTGATCACATCGTTGTCCATGCGACGCTTTCCAGCACTGGGCGAGGACATTGTGTTGCTTGTAGAGAGATTTGGGGGGGGCAAAGACTGAAGATGATAATCTTGATTGTGGATGCACTCTCCTCGTTGTCAGTTATCTAAGGCTGGGGCGGTGTTCTCTTCTATATATTTAAGCTTGTTCCGTTTCTCCCGTATATTGCTATTGGTGGCTCCGCTAATCCACGTCCTGTTGCTCAGCTCCTCAGCTCCGCCGGCACCTTCGGGAACTCCTCCGCATTCGTCAACTCTTATTGGCAGGGTCCAGAGCAATTAGTCAGCTGTCTGGAAAAAAGAAATCGGACTTTAGTGTGGAATTCCAAAGGATATAAAATAACAACAACCATGGTTTTGTTTTTTTTTTTTAGAATATAATATAAGATGGCTTGACTGCGATACGATCCGGAGGATGTCGTTGCGCCTTCTGAGTTATCTATATACTCTATATATATATTTATATTCATGTCAATGTAGGTCATACCAAGCCCAGCGAATCTCTTGACTCGCTTTTGCACACACACACACACACACACACACAATCCTACATATTTGCATATAGACATTGCATACTTGGCCTAAATGAGGAAACTATGTCAGAAATCTGTGACGTAGTTGCCTCCAAACCACCCTCTCTCCACCCTCGAGCTTGTCGCGCTCTCTACTACGTCATTGCCGTTTGCAAAAATTTGTTGTCCTTCGAAGCGGATTTTCTTGGCGGACTTATGCTGCATACTTTTGGGAGTATACCGTTAAGCTCACACAGCTCCTCCCTACTCCATGTTTACTGCCTCCTGCTCCATCCTCACCAATCTCATGGCTGTTTTATTTCTTTTGGTTTTTGCCTTTATTCTGGTTGACTTGGGTTCAATTTCAGAATCGTGTGGCAGCGCAAGTATGTGGCCGAGGGGGGGGAGGTCAGATGGTTAGGTGGCTGTTGTTTTCAAACAAGCTCAGCTGTTTAATGTTGTTGCTCGCTTGAAAGTCACGCAGAGCGGGAGAGAGAAAGCTGGCGAGAGAGAGAGTGTGAGTGAGAGTGAGCGAATGGGCTCCCGCGAGAGGCATCTCCCCAATAGTCTTGAAATCAACAAATATACAGTGGGGTCAACGTGGTATCAGGTTGATAAATACACGTTGATAGCTCTGTGAAATTCAAGACGGGCTCCCAACTATTTTGATAACGGCAACTAGTCTCACTTTGGAGCTAATCTTGCCAAATACGGAGAATTCTGACCGGAAGTGGAGAGCGCCACAAAAATGGATTCAGCCTGCAAAAGCCCGAGTGGCCCCACTGTGCCTCCAACTTCTGTCCCCGTTCTGAGACCTGGCGCGCTCTCTCTCTCTTGTTTCCCTCCATCATCCACTTGGCCTCTCCTTGGGATGAGCTAATTCTGCGCTCTTCGCACTCTTGCCCGGACTCCCTCGCCCGCGCCCCCTAACTGCCATGGACACCCCCTCTTACCAAAGTCTTCCCGTTTCTTTTTTTTTTTGTGTCTTTGCCACGGTTTGGCTTCGTTAGTTTAACAAATTGTGAAATTCTCTTTCGATTCGTTTTCGATTTGTGTGTGCGTGTGTGTGTGTGTGTGTTGGCGTGTGGAGAATTGCTGTTGTTGGGGGGAAAAAAGCGAAGTAATACTGTAGGCTCCATCTTGCTCTGTGGTTGTTGGGGCTTTTGTAATTGGCGTTACTTTTTGTCAGTGTGTCTGTGTGTGTGTGTTCGCGCTTTTGATGCGCCCACATGGAAGATCAACAACAACAACAATAACAATAACAAAAACAAAAGTACACCAAATCGAGAGTCAGCTGCAATTGGAGAATTTGTTGTTGCTGGACGTTGCTGTCTATTGTTGTTATTGTGCTTTTCGAAAGACCCTGACTGGTGTCTCTATTAAAATAAGATTGTCTCATTTTTAGTATTTTTGGTATCGCCCATTTTATGCGTTGTACGTTTGGGGGGGGGAAAAAAACACAAAGGCCAGATAAAACTTTTAAAATGAACACATTTTGCTTGTTTATCACATCGACCACAAATATTTTCTTTAATACATAATTATGAAATTTGTCTATATATTTTGTTGATTTTTTTTTTGGATTTTTTTTGGATTTTGTTATTTACTTGCAACTGTTAGCTTTGGTGTTGGGTTTGCTCCGACTCCGTTATGCATATAAGTGGATAGTGGATGGTGTGTGCGTGTGGGGTTCGCTCGTTTTGTTGTCTACTTCAACTAGTTACTGAAAATTAACTGGCAACAGAGTTTCGAGCCCCCAGCAGAAAGCAGAAAGCAGAAGCAGCACGTTGGAGAGCACGAGGCAGCAGGCAGCAGAAGCAGTAGCAGCAGCATAAAGAGAGCAAACCTTGCGCACACACAACAAAGCGAGAGGAGAGCGCCAAAAGCGCCAGTGATAGTGAGTGATACGGAGAGCGAACTTGCAGTGCCCCTTCACCTGTCCCTCGCATACCCTACCTCCCCCCTCCACCCACAAGCGCCTCCCCAACGATTACCCTTCAAAGCATATGCAAGAAAGAAAAATCATAATAACAAAGCGAAATTAGAGGAGAGCGCGAACCAGAAACAGCAACAAAAATCGTTCTGTCAGAGAGCAAAGGAACAGCTGTAAAGTCACATGCACACAACCTTACACACACACACACACACACACACCTGCGATCAAAGCCAAAATGCAGCAAAGCCAGTGCAAAGGCAAAATGCAACGAAAGAAGCTATCTAAAGAAATGGGGGGGGGGCCAGTGGTGTAGAGTTGAGGGGGAATTTGTGGTTTAAAAATATATTCATTAAATTGACTTTTTTCTATGAGAAAGGCTGTGACCCTACAGGGGAGGAAGGCGGAACAGACGACCCCCCCTGCGAACGCCACTGGTGGGGGGGGGCCGAATGGAGAAACTGAAAACGAGGGGAGAGGCTGAACAAAGCCGAAGTGCCGATGCCCTTCAAAATTGTGATTTTGCCATGACGCACGCGTGTGTGTGCATTCTAGCAATAAATTCAGAGCTTGTTTAAGGACGAACGTTGTTCCGAACGAGGTCAACTGCAGCCAGCTAGAGGGTTAAAAATAATGCAAATCAAATTCAAAGCCAAAATTAGGGAGACATCTTTGTGATTGTTTTTGCAACATCCCCCTCGCCACCCCTCTCCCACACACGCCTACACACGCACATGCACTCGGTCATTGACTGCGCATTACAGTGCTTGTGTGTGTGTGTCCAAAGGGGAGACTTTCGTACATGTATTTGCACATTATACATATATACAAGTATGGGTACATTGCCCAAAGGAAGCAAATCTTTTGAAATGTGTTTTTATATACAACAACCACATGTCTGTATATATTTTGAGTTCGCATTTCACATTTCAAGCACGCCAGCGTGCATTTAATTATACTGATAAGATTTAAAACGCAAAAGCAAAGCCAGGGGGAGAGCGAGAGAGACCGATTCGGGAGGGGGGGGATGGGAGGGAGCGAAAAGAAATAGGTAAACACAACGCAATAAGCAGGCCAAAAGCAAAGTGCGTAGTTTAGGGGAGTGGAGGATAAGTGGGGGAGCAGCACAACAAAGAAAGCCTGCACCACCTAACGGGACTTAAGGGCAGGCAGGAGCAGGAATAAGAGCTGAAGAAATGCCAACTACTAACGGTGGACAGGGTGCATTTACTGAGTAGTCCGACCGAACGAAAAAGACCGAAATAGAGTAAATAACAATTGCTATTTTGGCTTGGCACGACACACACTTACTGGCAAAAACAATAAGATGTGGGAGGGGGGAGGTGGGGGATCAAGAGCAGGAGAGCAAGTGCGACAGAGAGGCAGGCATGTGCACTGGAAGTCGAACTTTGAATTTGATTTTGGAAGCAATTTGAGGGGGAGGGGGGGTGGTAAATGGTGGGAGGGGAGAGTTGGAGCGACGGCTAGTGGAAATGGCAAAACATTCACAGCTGTGCGGGGGGGTCGAAACTGCTGTTGTTGTGGTTGTTGCTTTTATCAGCAAACACACACACACACAGACGCAGACACACTCACTCACCCACTACCAAAATGATGAGAATTTTCAAACCTTGGCCATATAAAAAATGCAGTAATTCTATTTCGTGAAACAATTATACATACACACACGATCTTATTCTGTACCTTTTATTATGATTTCTCTTTTGTGTGTATTTCTGTGGTCGCTGTATATGTTGTTGTTGTTTGTTGCTCCTGCTGCTGTTGCTGTTGCTGTTGTTGGGTGCTCCGTGGTGGGGTGATGATGGCTGGCGGCCGCCTTCGATTTTTACGCTTCGATACTTCTCCACATTGTTGTTAGCACCGACCGCGATCTGTGCATTATTTCACTCTCGGTTAGCCCGTTTTGCCTCTTCCGCTGGCACTCGTCGTCCGTGGTCTAGTCTTTGTTTTTTGATTGCTCAACGGTTCAAAAATCGACACTGTTTGTTTGTCTTTGTTGTTTTGCCAGTGTTGATAACAACACTGCTGGCCACCGAGTTGCCAGATGGCCAACAGAAACCGCGCAGGGAAGTGTTTTCACCCGTTTCCCACTTGTGTGGGGTATTATCTCACCGTTTTCCTCTAATTTTAACATTAATTTAAGCTCTTGTTAAATTTGTCTAATAAAATTCTAATAGATTTTAATTTCATGATGGGGTAACGTTTTTTTTTTAAACTCATTTTCTATCGATCGTGCTTTACAATCGATAACTACCCTCAAATTTTGAAGAAATAATTATATTCCAAGAGCGTTGTTAGGGCGTCTTCTTTTTGTGGTGTCTTTCAAGTATTTTAAACTCTATTTTGATAAATAACATTTAATAAAAGGAATTGGAAGAATCGATTATATCGACATCGACATCGATATTTATCCACCTCTACTGGTCACTTCTTCAAACCGTCAATTGTTCAATATCCCGCAGCTCCACCAACAGCTCCAAACAGCTCCACCGCTACTACTCACTCGGAACGGTTGTGTTTTCGCGCTCCGCTGCTGGCATTAGTGAATTGTTTTTTATTATTTTTTTTTGTAGTTAGTTTCTGTACGGCTCTCGGCCAGGCGGCGTCGCCAGCCGTCCATTAGATACTCCATTTGCCTGTACTCCGTCCGCTATTTTACGGCCGTACTTAATCTTATCGCAAATCAAACCGCGGGCATGAGTCGAAGCGCAAAGTGTAATTGAATTTCGGCAGCAGTTCGATTTCGCAAACCCCTCTCCCCCCAGAGAGAGAGAGAGACCTAATCCCACCCAGAACTTAAGCCAAGCCAAGGACAAAGGACCATCCCAAAAATCGAAAGCCCAAAGATGCCCGTGAAGACGGTGAATCGCCAGCAGAGCCAATCGCCTGCCCAGCAGCTCCAGATGCAGCAGCAGCGGGATGTGGAGACGGGGCTGTACCCCACCATACCGCCGGAGCGCCGATCGCCGCCCTCACGCCCGCAGACTCTGCGCCAGGACACCGTCGACATGGAGGAGATCCCGCTGAACCAGACTAACGGCTCCCAGGAGCCGGAGGATCGCCGCAAGATGCGCGAGATCTTCGACAAGGTAGAGCTCCCATGGGGTTGTGGGGTGGCTCCCCTGGCTTTGGTTTCTAAAACAATGCCTAGCCATTGTTTCAGAGTGGAGGCATTCCAACGAAAACCCGCAAGCTAGCCGGAAATATTGCGAAATTACAGATTCTGGGGAATTATAAGAAAAGCATGAAATTCGAACCGGCGCCAGTAGCAGGGCTGGTCCATGTTCTGCCCTTGGAGAAAGTTGGGTGTTCTCTGCGTTCATTGTTTTGGTTTTCGTGAATGAATCATGCCGAGCATCGATCCACTGCCGCCCTGACCCCTCCCAAAGCCACTTGCCACTCAAGCCAGCACCTTGTGTGTTTTATTTCTGCAGCAGTTTGTTTTCCTCACATTGAAAAATCTTGGAAATGTGGGCCCGGGAATGGGGGGACTTCTTATCGTGACAGCAGAGCGAAAAAAAAAAATACAAAAAAAAAAAAAACCGGTTATAAATTATTGTTTGTTCGCTTGAGTTCTGTCTTCGTTTTTTCGTGTTAGCGTTGACGGGCATTTGTGTGGCGTTAGTCACTAAACCCCCTCCGTATGACGACCTCCCACCCACCCCGACCGCCCGTCGGGGTCTGTGAACCCGCCAACCCACCACCACCCACCTTGCTATCTGGACTTGTCGATTTTCGGATACTCTCGGGTCGCAATTATAAACCAGTTCTAGGTCGAGAACGTAAACCCCCTCCCCCATTAGCATAACAGAACCGCTTTCTCCGCGAATCCGGAATCCGAATCACATTCCCAGGCCCTCTGGAGTTTGACAATCTAATCGGACCCACCTCTTATGCTCCCAAAGTACAATCCAATGACATCAAGCCCTCCTCTTCGGGCTGGGGAGTCTTCAGACTGTTTTGATGCTATTTTTAGAGCCCCCTAAGACCTGGTAACTATACTAGGGGTATGTACACACAGCGCTAGCCATCAAGTGACAATGACTAAGCTCCAATCCCCGCGAGAAATCATACTCGGTTGCTTATCGCCGGGAGGCGCAAGCATTTAATGAGTAAATACGTTAGTCCGTGTCGGGAATCTCTCTCTGGGGATGGAAGCCCAACCCATGTAGCACTATCTAGTATCTATATCTTTGTGCTTAGTCGGATGTTCCACTGCCTTTCTATGATTTAATCAAATGTGCTAATTGTCCGAGCGGTTTCTTTGAAATAAAGCTACCATATATGGTGTCCAGAGCTGTCGGGGGTTTGATTGAAACGGCCTGGACTGCTGTGTTATCTCGGAAGGTGTCACTTCCACTATGGACTTCCCCAAAAAACAAAAACTAAGGTCGAGATAAAGGTAGAATTGGCTTTCGATTAGGGTAGGCCCATTAGGGTACTAGGTACCACTAACCATAGCTTCCTCTGACCATCCAGTTGTGCAACATAGTCGGCATTGAAACTGCCCCTTTTGGCGAGATTCTCGTTCGGATTCCGGGCCTTTTATGGCCACAACTTGGAGTCCGCTTTGGAGCCTGTAATTGCACCACAAACTCACTTGTTTTTTTTTTTTAGTTTTTAGTTTTATTTCGTAATTGGTGATTGGATTGATTGTGTAACGCATTTGTGAGTCGAAGCTCCTATTCGGCTTCCGAGGGCAAGTCAAAGTATATCGAGTTCTGACGCTGTGGCAGGGACACCAGCTGGGCAGGGGCCTGGCCGGACGATGGCGGATCCTCGTCCACCGCATCCTGCCAGTCCGCGTTGAGCTGGTCCTGCTCCTTCTCCTGGAGCTGCTCCTGCCTGAGATAGTCCTGGTCCCGGTGCAGCTCTAGCTCGGGCTCATCCTGCTGACGCAGTCGCTGGCGGTACAGGGTCGTTGGTCGTCTGGGGGCGGCCACCTGCCGGATCAGGTCCGGCAGGGTGGCCAGCCATTCCGGGGCGTGCGGCATTCGGCCGGCGGCGGGGGCGATTCCACTGGGGCTTCCACTCCGACGCACACTGCTACTGCGCCGGGCGGTCTGGAATTGGCGCCTCTCCAGCGCCGCCAGCTCCGGCTTGGCCCGTCCCGTGCAATGATTCACGACCAGGAAGAGTACCGCTATGGCCACGTAAAGCATGAGGACGGTGGCCAGACCGGACGACTCCTGGACTAACTCGTCGTCCGCCGGAAGGCATTCGCAGCCGGCACCACCGGCCTTGACCGGACCGGGAGTCCAGCCAAGCCAGGTGGCTGCATGGCGGGTCATCTGCACCAGCTGCAGCATTCCGGATGTGTGTGGTTTCCTATTAACTGGATGGGGAGGAGGAGTTTCGTTACTTACACATCTCGTCGGAGCAGCACCTTCCGGGTCATACTTACTGCAAGTCTTACAGTTTCCTGGCTCCTAAATTTGGTTGCTTCCTGGCTCCTAAATTTGGTCTGGTTGTCGTGGCTAGTGGTAGTATTGTAGTTGTCGTGTCATTGGTATGGGGGGTTACTGGTCCGGTGTGTCACATTTGGTTATATTTGGCGATCGACGATTTTTTATATTTTTACAATTAATTTTGGGGATTTTTATGAAGCCTAGGGTCGGGGGGATTAGTCCTCTCAGCTCGAGAGAAGGCTGAGAACTGAGCTCCGAACAGCCCGTCCCCAGGGCCTGCCTTTTAAAGTGCCAGGCACAGCCTACTGGGGATTGGTTTGAATATTCCATGGACTACTTGGATCCAAAAACTCATGCTGTTTCCTCATCTTTGCAGCACGACTCGGACCGCGATGGCATGATCAACACCCACGAGCTGAAGGAGCTCATCTCGAACGGCTATTGCCGGGACATACCCGCCTACATTGCCGCCCAGATCCTGAAGCGCGCCGACCAGGACAATGACGGCCACCTGGACTTCGAGGAGTTCTACACCATGTCGCTGCACCACAAGTGGATGATTCGCAACCTCCTCACCCGTTACTGCCGCTACGTGGTGCCGCCACCCAAGCCGCTGGAGGGCGATGAGCCGGACGGCGCCTACGAGAAGCAAATGTCCATCTGCCCGCCGCCCCTCACCATGGTGCTCTTCTCGATAATCGAGATCATCATGTTCCTGGTGGACGTCATTCATTTCCAGTGAGTACTCTTCTACCGTCTAGACTCTAGACGGTAATGGGAGGAGGCTCCGGTTTCAGTCCTCACCTGGAAACTGGGGGTAATGGATCCGCAGAGTCTCCATTCCAGTTCCCAAGAAAGGCTTTCCAAGAATACCTTTGTTTTGAGGAAACAGTTCCAAAGAATCAACTCTAAAACGTATCATTTTCCGCAGAGACGACCCCAACCACCAGGACAGGATTGGTGAGAGCACCAGCGGCCCGGCGGCCACGCTGTTCATCTACAATCCCTACAAGCGGTACGAGGGATGGCGCTTCGTCAGCTACATGTTCGTCCACGTGGGCATCATGCATCTGATGATGAACCTGATCATCCAGATATTCCTCGGCATTGCCCTCGAGCTGGTGCATCACTGGTGGCGCGTGGCGCTCGTGTACCTGGCGGGTGTGTTGGCCGGCTCCATGGGCACCTCGCTGACCAGCCCGAGGATCTTCTTGGCGGGAGCCTCCGGCGGAGTGTACGCCCTGATAACCGCCCACATTGCCACGATCATCATGGTGAGTGGAAGATCTCATTGGAATCCCTATGGGCATCCCTAATCCTTGTTTCTCCTTTCAGAACTATTCGGAGATGGAGTACGCCATCGTCCAACTGCTGGCCTTCCTGCTGTTTTGCTTCACGGATCTGGGCACCTCAGTGTACCGCCACCTGACCGACCAGTACGACCAGATCGGGTACGTGGCGCACCTGTCTGGCGCCGTGGCCGGCCTGCTGGTGGGCATTGGGGTGCTGCGGAACCTGGAAGTGCGTCGCTGGGAGCGCATTCTCTGGTGGGTGGCCGTTATCGTTTACTTCGCCCTCATGACCACCGGCATCATCATACATGTCTTTGTGCCGGACTACTTCCCCAAGCAGGAGTACAACTAGCCATTCTAGCCGCTAGCTGCTAGCTGTTAGCCGTTAGCCCTAAGGTCCCCCTAGCTATGTATAGCCTTTCTAGCCCATCCAAAGTGCGCTTTTGGGATGCGGAAACACGCACACAGTACAGATCCGAGGAACGCTCCCAACGCCGACCATGTGCCTACGTAATTTATTCTCCCCCATTCGTACCGTACATCGATCGCAGGTGTATCGCAGGTGCCTATAATTATATATTAATGATATATATATATATATATCTTCGATCTACATGACGCCGCGAAATGATGCTGGAACCGACACTGACCCAAACCTCAGTTGCATTTCGTCGATTTTTATTCTATAATCTTTTTTGAAAAAAAAAAAAAAATAAAACCAATCTTTGGAATTGTATATTTTTTGAGATCTATTTTAAGACTTTTACATCTAAATGCAAATAAAAGTAAAGTAAAGATTATTTGCTCATTCTTTTTATTTTGTAATCAAACCGCTTTACAGTTATAATATATAGATTAAAGACATAACATATTCTAAGTGGGTGGTGTCACTTTGTCACTTCAGTGTGATTGGGAGGCAGAGAGCGGAACAAGCGTTTTCAACGCTTCGCTCTTGGTTCCTTCATGCGGAAGGAACGCGGGACTCCCAAGTGGGTTTTACATATTCATATATAAGAAACATATTAAAAGAAAAAAAAAAACTGAAAAAAAAAACTAAAAAAAAAATACATAAACTCCCTGTTTTATAGCCACCTTGCAGCTAACTGGGTAAAGAACACAAAATAAACTAACTAATACTCTGACCGTTCTGTCGGTTCCACTTCCACTTCCACTTCCGCTCCTTCCTTTCTTCCTTCCTTCCGTGATTATGCTTTCATTCTTGAACTTTAACATAAGATTCTCGCTTTCCTTTTCGCTTTTTTTTTTTTTTTTGTGTTTTTGTGATGACTCTCGAAGACTCAGTCTTGGATTTCTCTGTAGGTTTAGGTGTAGGTATAGGTGGTACTTATGAGCTAAAAACTATTTCCCTGAGGAGGTACCCGGCCCTGGGTTGGGGGTGTCTTGCGGATGCGGCAGGAACTGCAGCTTGGTGGTGTCGCACATGGCCACCTTGGCAACGGAGAGCCAGGCCTGGGGCACCATGTGGTGCAGTATGGCCTCGAGACGTTCAACGGGCAGGAAGGCAACGCACTGCGAGTGGTCCGATGTCTCCTGGCAGTTGTCCTCTGGGGTGCAGCGATTGAGGGGATCGTTGGCTGGAATGCCGGGCACTGGACGGCGTACAGGTATCACATCCTTGCCGGTACCCCTGTACAGGTTACCGGTGACGCTCAGCAGCTGGTTGACCAATCCCAGGCGGAACACACGCAGCTGGTCGCTGTTGCGGCTGACGGCCTGCATCACGGCGTTGATCATGTTGGCGGCATTGTGCATGCAGTTGGGGGTCAGCAGGAGCCACTTGATGGTCGGGCAGCGGGCGAGCATGTCAGTGAAGCAGTCGTCCACGTCCACGTTCAGCAACTCGAGGCGCTTAATTTTTCCGATGCGGGCCAGGCCACTCATAATGTCGTCGACCGGGAACAGGGACATGCTGCGATGATCGTTCTCCAGGCGGAAGGTGTGCAAGGCCTTCATGGCCGGCAGCACATCCCTGCCCAGCTTCACGCAGTCAATACCCTTGCCGAAGCCCAGCGTGAGCACCTCCAGGGCCGGCAATGTCTTCAGCAGCTGCAGCGGCATCTTTCCCAAGTTGGTCACACCGCGCAGGCTCAGCTCCCGCAGGTGCTTCATCTTGGCCAGGGTGGTGAACGAGGCGAGCGTGCCTTTCGGGTCAGCCATGCGCAGGCGCAGGATGCGCAGTCCCTCTATGCGGTCCAGATTGGCCAAGCTCAGGGTGTTGCTGGTGCAGACCGTGCGGAGCTCCAAAAGGGACGTCAGAGTCTTGAAGATCAGCTGCAGGAATTCGGCATCGCATGAATCTGTGCGCAGCACACGCATGGCCCGCAGGACGCGCATATCTCCGGTCATTCGGATCTGGGGCTTCTTCATTATCACACCCATCATGTCCAGCTCACGGGTGCGATGGCGCGCCATTTCGCGCAGCAAGTATAGCCAGTTGTTGACCACCGTATCACGGAGGGACACCGAGCTCCACACGCTCATCTCGCGGCTGACCATGGCCCAGGTCTTGCACACGCGCGACATGTTGGACCGATCCTGGGAGAAAAGAAGGCCTAGATTGGATGGGAGAATATCGGGAGAATCGTGGAAACTCACCTGCAGGCTCATGGTCTTCATGATGGCGGTCAGAACCTGGCAGCCAGTTTGGGCGTCGGCCAGGGACGAGACCAAGTCCATGCGCGGCTTCTTCGACAGAATGCGCTTGTTGTAGATTCTATCGTAGCTGGTCAAGTCCGGAGGATTCGGTTTCCTGTAGAGAAAAATATAACCATGTTTAGCATCCGAAATGGGTTATGACAGTGCCGTCCAGGATTATGGAACTGAACCGACTCACAATTTCATGCGCGGACGTGGCGGGTCTGCGCGAATGGCGATGGCCTTGCGGCCGCCAATCACCACCACATCCTGTTCGCGGGGCGAGCGGCAACGCGGCTCCGCATCGGTGAGTAGCTGAGCCGGCGGCTTTTGGCCGGGCTCCTTGATCTCCTCAGAAATCTCCATCAAGCTGGAACCGCTGACAGTCTCCTCTTGGTCCGGAGAAAATGCGTGGGCATGCGTCAAGTTCACATCGACATCCACTGCCTCGCCGGCAGCAGGTTTCTTCACCAGCCTGGACTTCCAGCAGTTCTGCGAGAAGAGTGTTTAAGGGTTTCTGTTCGGATCAGGGACTAGGATCTCCACTTACCAGACAGATGTTACTCTTGGGGGCGCCAAGCTGCTTGGGCAGCATCAGTGGTCCCAGACAGGTTATGCAATTCGGACCCTTGATCGGGGTCTTGAAGCTGCGAAGAAGAAGGATTAGGAGATTGTGAGATGGACTTTATGGTCAACTATGTACCTTCGCTTGCGGGCAGTGGCCGATCCCGATGGCCCAGCTGCAGCGCCTCCTCCGGCTGCTCCACCGCTTCCGTTGCTGGCTGCCAAGACCCTGGCGTTGCCCTTGACCGCGCTGGTGGCGGTCCAGCCCTCGTACGGCGGACTGGCACCTTTCGGCACCTTCGGCTTGGAGACACGCTTTCCTGTCACGGGCATGGGCAAGGGCGGTATGGGCAGCGGTAGTGCCAGGGATTTGGCACGCTGCGGAGCGGGCGTGGCCCGACGCACCAGCTCGAACTCCGGACCCACCTCCTGCGACTGTCGCTGAAAGCAGAAATGCTCAATGGTCAGTTCACCTTCTAGCAGCGGAATGATGTCCTCGCGGGAGCGCAGCTTCCTGCCGCCGGGGGCGATGAAGAAGACATCGCCGGTGCGACGCTTCGGATTTCCGTTGCTGGGGAGCACCAGCTCCCTTTTCCAGCCGTAAGCGAAGGGCAGACGATAGAACTCGTCGGTGGCCTTCAGTTTCAGGTTTCCCAACGGGGTGGTAGGTGCCTCCACCTTCGCGGCGGCCTGGGCCTGGGCCTGGGCTTGGGCTAACTTACGAAATTCCATTTCCAACTCTGGCACATGCCCGGTCAGAGCCAGGTGGAGCTCCACCTTCGGAGGTGGTGGGCGTGGGGCTTCCTTACGGAACTTCGGTTGCATATCAGACACTGGCTCGGTCTGAGCCAGTTGGTTGGACTTCTGAGTGCTCTGCGACATGTCGCGCTTCACCAAGCCGCTGGCAGTGGCAACATCTCCTTGGCTGGGACGTTTGGGCATCTTGGCCAGAACTGGCTCCATATTTACGAAACTCTGATAAGGAGAGCTAGCGGCGCGCTTCAGTACACGAGTTGGTGACACAACCTCAACCACCTCCTCATCATCATCAACGTCGTCGTCGTCGTCATCGATTTCAATGACCATTGCCTGGCTCGGCACCTCCACAATCTCCAGCTCTGCCTGATTGGCTTCCTCGTCCGGCTGCGGCTCCTTCTCGGCTGGCTGCTTCTCCATCTTGACCTGCTGGATCTCCGGCTGTGACTGTGGCTGTGGGTCCGGTTCCTGATTCGGTTCCTGCTTCGGTACCTGCTCCGGCTCATTCTCATCTTCATCCTAATGGGGCGACACAAGCGAAGAGAAGGTCAAAGGGTTAGTGGATACGTGATATTCCCGGCGTTAAGCATAAAAGTTTTGTTGGGGTCTCCACCTGGTTGTCTAACTCTGTTTGTTGCATGTTGGTTGGACATTGTGGCGTCGGGTTGGAGTTAGTCGTTGTCACATTTGTACTAGTTGTTTGAACTTCTGGTTCTGGTACTGGTACTGGCTCTGGTGCTGGTTCTGGCACGGGCTCGGTTTGGGTTTCCTGATCGGTTGGTTTCAACTCCCGATCGGATTGGGCTTCAGTAGCGGGCGGCGTTGCTGTCGCCATGCCATTTCGCTCTGAATCGAAGCTGGAGGACAAAGAGGACTCCGGCGATGGAGGCGTGGCAAGCGACTGCTGCTGCTGTGGCTGCTCTTGGTGTGGCTGTGGCGGCGGCGGCTGAGGCTGCGACTGCGGTTGGTGTTGATGCTGTTGCGGCTTCTCCACCTTCATCTCCTCATCATCCACTGAGGCACCCACTTGGACTTGGCCTTCAGCTGGCTCTGCCATCTCAGGTCCGTGCAACGCTTCTCTGGGAAACACCCGTAGACCACTGTTGACGAGCGTACGCAGCTCGACTGCCGTCTGGTGTTCGATTGGAATTGGCCGTTTGGTTGGTGGGTTGTGTTCGAGGTGGAGGTGGAGATGGAGATTCGATTCGATTCGGTTCGAGTTGGGTTGAGATTGGCACAAGCACGGGCACGGGCACAGGCACGGGCACATACAATAACAACAAACAGAACAAATAAAGTGCTGTTCGCATTCTATAGAACTCTCTACTAACACAATGCCAAAGCAGACACTCATTAAATGGAAACAAACAGGCGCCGGGCATCACCCACTGGACACCGCCGACTCGGATGTCTGGCGGCGATCGGCTCTGTCTAAACAGATTCGAGACCGTCAGCGAGTCAGCGTCTCAGCTTCATCCAACAGACAACAAAGCGCTACCATATCGAATTCTTCCAGTGTTTATATTGGACACCTAGAAACAGCTCCCCCCCCCTATTCCCACATTCAGGATAAGCCTAACAAGCCTCGCCACTGCCACGAGATATAATCAGAGAGATGGAACGAGCGGTGTCTCGTCCCTCAAGCTTCGGACGCCCGGCTCTGCCTGCCCCGGTACTCACCTGCGAATCCTGGTCCGAGCTACTGTCGACGCTGTGCGAGGTGGAAAGCTTTGGATATCCCCCGGTCCAGCCGATGAGAGCAGCGTCTCCCGATAGCAAGCGTTCGCGCGCATTTTTGCTCTTCTTCTTCTTCTTACCACCTATTCGGGGAATTACACAATTTTTTTTTAATGAGAATTTGTGGAAAGAAGAAGCAAAAACCTACCATTTATGGCGCCATTTTCCTCACCATTTATGAGCGACGATGATGAGCTAGAAGAGTCCTCATTGTCCGAGCTGATGGACTTTTCTCTGGCCAGGGCATTGGCCACCAGGAGGCGGTCACGCATGTTGCTGGGTCCCATGCCGACGGCGGGACTGCGGCCTCCAAATGGGCTGCGAGCATCATTGGGGCTACTGCCGCCAAAATAGCCGGGCGAAGTGGCCTGACCATGTCCGTTGCTGGCCGTGGCCGGGCGATCGGGGAGAAATTCGATGCTGGAGCTGCGCGAGGAGGAATGTTCGCGCTTCTTGGGGTCTGACTTCGACGGTCCGGGGATGTCGTCGGGCGAGCTCATGGCGCTCTGGAAGAGATTCGCGGAAACAGAAGTGAGTGAGGGTTGGTTTTTCTGTCCCGCGCTAGCACGTCTGCAGTGATTGATTCGATTTCGGCTTGTTGCTTGTAAGCAATGCGAACTGTACTGTGAATTCTGCATGCAACTTGCCGAAAGCTGCAGGCCAATGTATGTGTGTGTGTGTGTGTGGGGGACCGAGACAGCCTCAACAAATCTTGACCTAGCATGTGCTTATTCTAGAATCTAGATTTACGCTTCGTATGCAAGACGGTGTTTGTTTTTCTTGAAACTTCCGCCGATTCGAATGAAAGGGGGAAACCTGAACGAAGCGGGCCCTTCTAACGGTTTCGTCGCGCCACTTCCCGGGAAGTGCTTGCAACGCATATTGGCATTTTAGGCGCCCCCCCCCTCCCCCGTGAAATTGCGCTTTCCAGCTAGTAATTATTGTCCATTTTGCTTGGTTACTGCGTTTATTGTTGGCGGCGACTTGCAAACTTGTCCCTTTGGGTGCAAAAGTGTGCGAAAGGTCTTACACGCGTGTGTGCGTAAGTGACGCCAAACAAAAACGCTGCATGAACGGACTCGCCGCCCTCCGAGTCTTATTCTAATATTCTGTGTTTCAGAACTTACCGGGTTTGTGGCACTGTATTAGGAAACAATTTTAACACAAAAGGAGGCAAACTAGTTCGCAAATCACTAAAACGTATGTTTTAAGTGTCCCGGTGGTTCGACGCAAAGAGAACACAAAGCCTTGGACTCGAAGCGGCGGGTAGCTGGTCCTACTGCTTAACAGCTGATGGCTTCTAGTGTTGGTAACCGATAACAAAGTTGATAACTTTAGAGCCGGCAATCGGTCCATCTCTATAGCTGAAGCACATGGTGAATGTTAGTTCTGGGCTTTGGGTGCAAAATTCAAAATAATTTGACCGATTTGAAACCAAACAAGCCGCCAACATGGGCGGCCACCACAAGAAGAACCTGCGGGCGGAGAAGGCCAAAGTGAAGCTAAAAGGCGCCAAACTCCCCAAGGGCCTGAACGTGACCAAAACGGACTTCAAGGTGCGCAAGATCGAGATTCGGGAGCAGTTAAAGGAGTCCTCATACACGGAAACCGGTCTGCGGCAGTTCAATCTCAAGGAGACCCTCTCCCGGTTGAAGCACCACAGCGTCAAGTTCCGTCAGGATGCGCTGCGTAACGTGAGGGACTCGGTGAAGGCTGGCAATGCTGATCACTTGATCGGCCACCTCAACGACCTGTTCCAGGGAATTGCTGCCGGTGCACTGGACATGGAGCGTTCAGCCAGACAGGAATCGTTCAAGACTCTCGACGTGCTTCTGGAGGCACTGCAGCCATCGGCAGTGGCTCCCTTCTTCCATGTGATCGCCACATACTTGCGTTGTGCCATGACCCACGTGCTTCCCGCCATCCAGGAAGACTCCTTACTAATGCTAGACGTGCTGCTCCAGCGGGTACCACCGGCTCTTTTGGCGGAGCGCAGTGCCAGCGTCATCATCGGCAACTTCATTGACATGATATCCCGCTCGCGCCACGACAACGAGAAGGCCAATCGCACACTGACTCTGAATCTTGGCCAGGGAAAGCAGACCACTGTGAAGTGGCGCACCAAAGTACTGATCCGCCTGCACCAGATACTGGGCACTCTGGCTCATCAAGGCGGCAAGAACCAAAAATCCGTCCCGAACCGACTGATAACATTCGAGGAGCATCTTCCTCAGTTCTACAATGTTCTGGCTCCGCATCGCCAGGACCTGCGAGACCTGCACGCTATCCTAAACGAAAGCAGCTTAAGCGCCGAGGGCTCCCGTCTGCAGACCTACGTCGAGCAGCTGATGCCTCTGCTCCAAGACAACTGGCTGGAGGTGCGCCCGCAGATACAACAGCCACTGCTCTCCCAGGATGCTGCCGCCAGTCTCCACGTTGTCGTGGGCCTAATGACCCTGCTGTGGACGCTGATTGGCCAGCATGAAGCCGCCAATAATACCACCGACCTCAGCGAATGGCTGAGAACCAACTACGCCAAGAAATTCCTCCTCAACTTTCTGGACAAGGACGGTAGTCGCTTTCCCTACCAACAGATCCCTGGCCCGGCTAAGAAGTCTTCGAAGGAAAAGGGTCCAGCCGATGGTGGGGAGCTCTGCTTGCCGCAAAATCTCGGCATCGTCCAGTTAACCTGCCACTTCCACCCCAATCCTACCCAGAAACAGGCCCAGCTCTTTGGCCACCTTGTGAACTACCTGCAGCAGAGTCTGCAGCATCTGGGATCGATGCCACCAGAACAGCAGCTCCAGCTGGTTGAGGCCCAGCGCCCGCTGCTCCTGGATAACGCCAGAGTCCTACTGGACATTGTGCCCGAACCATTGACCAATCTACTGACCGCCTCCATCAATGCCTACGTGGGACAGAAGTACACCACGCGCGAGGGTGTGGCCTCCCGGGTTCTTAGCCTGTTCTGCGATATCATAGAACGTGCGGATCTCTATAACAGCTACGGAGGCGCCGAACGGTTTGGCTCGTTCCTGGTCTACTTGCCTCAACTGCTCCTTAAGCCGACTGTGGGCGAGGGAACGCTGCGCGCCATGGCCACTCTGTGCCGGCAGCTAAACGCACTCTTCATGTCCGCCCTGATCCAGGCTGCCCCGGAAGTGGTCGACCACCTGGGAAAATTGCAAGTCACCGGCGACGCGGAGGACGAGGACAAGTTTGAGAACCAGAAGCGCGTCCTCAATCTCTTCTACTACGCGAGGGACTTGGACAAGCACCGCAAACTGGAGCAGGCCCTAAGGAAAGTGGAGCAAGACGGAAGCCAAGAAGCCGCCAGCTATCTGAAGGCGGTGTTGAGCTTCAATTAGGAAGATAATTTTAGATTTTAAGTGACTGTAACTATCTTAGTTTCTAGGTTTAAGGTTGGCTTAAGACTTGTATGTGGAACTCCCGCATATTCCAGGCTGTCAGTCGTGCAACAAACAAAGCAAATAGCTTTCGTAGATTAATTATCCTTAACCTTTTCATAGAATATAGTTTAATCCTACTCTTTTATGTGGAACTCCCGCATATTCTGGCTGTCAGCCGTGCAACAAATCAACAAAGAAAGCAACTAGCTTTCTTAGATTAATTATCCTTAACCTTTTCATAGAACATAGCTTAATCCTACCCTTAAGGACCCTGTATATAAAAATAATGTAAGATTACTCTGTAAATATGTATTATATTCTTTAGCCTAAGTGAAATTTCAGGATTTTTGCTTTTTCGGGGGCTTGGGCTTAAATCTATCCAACACGGAGGGCTTGGACTTTTTGGTCTTCACAACAGCACCGCCTTCCTTGGCGGTGTGCTCCTCGATGACGCCCTTCTTGGCCTCCCTCACCTCGGCAATGAACTCCTGCGGAAATGGGAAACAAATACATTAATATTTTGTTGGAATACCAGGCCGATATCCGGCTCACCTTGCGCTTGAGGTCCTTGACGATCTGCTTGTTGCGAGCCGCATTGGCGCTGCCTCCTTTGCCCTTCATCTTGTGGCGGGATTTCATTTTGATTTGCGGCGGTTTAAGGTGGAACAGCTTCCTCTTGGCATCGATCTTCTCCTGCAGCGTCGGCGCATCTACTCCGGTTATTTCGTGCGGATTCAGAGTGATCAGTTCGGGCGGAATCTTCTCCAGCAGAGCGTGCACTTCGTGTTCGCGACGCTGTTTCGATGTCTCGTACGGATTGGCCTCCATGGCATCGAAGTTGGGCTCACCCGAGCCGGGTACAAGCAGCGATTGGAAGCCCTTGGCCGTGGAGACGCCCAGCACATCTTCATACGGGCAGAAGCGCAGGCCGTGGACAAAGGCATCGCATCGTTGCCGGAGGTAAGGAAGCTTCTCAAAATGGCCGGTGCCGCCGCCAGAAAGCAGATCTGCGTACGTCTCCAGGTAGGTGCCTTGCGAAAGGGCTAGCATGCCGCGTTGCGAGACATCCAACTCGTTGGCTGGCAGACGCAGTTGGAAGTGAGCCAGAGGCTTGTCCTGCACCAGGTTGCGTATGTCCCACACCTTCACCGCTCGATCCAGTCCAGCCGTGACCAAATGCTGGCCTCGAGGATCCACCGCCAGCGCCGACATGGCAGTAGAATGGCACAGCAGCTTCGCCAGCGGTTCACGCACTTTGGGCGACCACATCGATACCACGCCCTTGCCACCGCCTATGCACAGCACGCCGTTGCTGGGATTGTGGCGCATTATCCGAATGTCGCCGAGGTTGGTCTGGAAGTTGCCCACCAGCTCACCAATGGAGACGTCTAGCCAGGAGGCGTAGCCGGCCGTGTTGCCAGCGGCGAGGAGGAAGTGGTAGGGCAGAAAATCGAGACGATTCACCCGCGCCAGCCGCTTGACGCAGTGCAGCTCAGTGCCTTTGTTATCGTAGAAATAGACCCAAGACTTCTGGGCCACCGCGAACATCGTGTTAACGTGCAGCCACTGGACATCCTCGATGCTCTCCATGGCGTTGAACTCGCAGTGCAGTTTCTTCGTCACCCAGTCGAAGGCGGCGATGTGTCCACGTCTTCCGCCGAGCAGCAGATGCCGCCCGTTTTTGGTGTAGCGCATGTGGTACGGACCGAATTCCATGTTGAGACTAAAGTGCTTTGCCGCCGACTGGAGATCCACGTTCTGGGCTATCTGCCCCTGCCGGTACTCCGCAGTGACTTCGCCCTCATCGGCCTCGATCTGGCCCGGTGTTTCTTGCAGGAGTAGCTCCGTACGTGCGGCCTGTTCGACGGCATACTCCAAGTACTTCTCCCGGCGTGTCTGCTGCTCCTTAAAGTGCCGCGTCTTCACACCCTTAGCTTCCACCTTCTCGCCGCGTGAGTATTTGTCCAGAAGCTCCTGGGGAATGGGATTTCTCTTGAAGTGTGTCTCCTCCTCAGCTTCCTCCGTCGGCTTCTCCTTGGGTTTGGGCTTTAGGGCAGCCTTCTTGGGATTGTCCTTTTTGATTTGTTTCTGCATTTTGATGAAATCGCCAACAAAGTTCTGTTGGCTCTTGCGTTTCAGTGGTTTTACCGCTTCCAGGTCATTGTTTTCCGGCTTCTTGGAGTCAAAGTAGCGCTTAAAGGTTGTCTTGGGCTTAGGGCGCCCTTTCGGCGCTGTCTTGGTCATTTTAAAGGCTCTGTTGGTGGAATAATTCTAAAATCTAGTTTTAGAAACAAAGTAGCCTCTTTGAATTTGACAACAACGTGCACGTGCTGCTTCTTCTTCTTCAGTCCAGGGAGTCAGCTGTTTCCCAATTATTCGATAACTTTGTGCAATTTATCGATAAGAATTTAAATTTTGAAATGAAACAAGCTTTTCTGTTTTGTAATATATTTTTATTTAAAGTAGTAAACAAAAAAACATATATCTTAGGTGGTATATTTAATTATGTAGTTTTGAATTCGTTGATTATTTCGTTTTGTTCAGTTGCGACTTAAAAACTAAACCGAAAAGATATTAAAACACATTTTGGGCGGCAAACAAAACGATTTCAAGATCCTTTCGGGCAAACATTTATAGTTAGGAATAGTTAAGTTAGACCTTATTTTGGTACCACACGAACGCTCGTTAGACGAACGTTCGTCAGTCTCTTCTGGGAGGCCCCTTCCTCGTTTGGGATCTCGGGCTAATAGACCCGTCCGTAGGGCAGGGTATTGGGGTAGTAGGGCATCAGGAACTTGCCGCCGAACCGGGTCTGCGACTGTGCCGACTCGCTACTCGAGGAGAACATGGAGGTGCAGATGTCGGCCCGATCCCGGTGCAACCGGCTACTGCTGTTCGACGTGCTCGTCGTTCCCGCGATTCCAAGTCCCAGTCCAAGGCCCAACCTCAGTCCACTGCCGTGGCGCCGCTCTCGTCGACGTGCCCGTATCAGCGAGAAAATAGCTACCACCACGGCCACCAGGAAGATCAGTCCCAGGACACAGAAGGAAATGGCCAGCTTAGAGATGGAGAGGCAGAGGGTGCCCTCGCCCGGTAGGACTTGTCCACGCAGATTCGCTGGATAATCATCTCCTGAAAGAAGGGTTGGAAAAGTTTTTAAAAAAAAGGTAACATTTGGATATTAAAGTATCGGGCTTCAATAGCCAGGGCAGCGATCTAAACAGTTCGAACATAGGACAGATTTTCGGAATCGGAGAAATCCGAGTTGTGGGTCTATAGCTTTCCAGACATTTGAGTTATTTTAGGGAACTCGTGTTTGGGTGTTCTGGCATCCGTGACTCACCGTGGCTCATGTTGTGGCGCCTGTCGTACCGGAGACGGTCCACCTCGATCTGGGGAGCTGTCACGGCCAGCGAATTGAAGACCTCGATCCGTGCCAGGTGCTGATCCGCACTGAGGGATGGCGGCGCCTGTCCCGGACTCTTCTGTCGGCAATTAAGCTGCAATTCCATTTCAAAACATTTTAGAGGACTGTAATTTGTTCGATTTGGTGACAACCAGCTGCACCGGAGGAGCTACCCCTCTTCCGTACTGGGTAGTGTCGAGGAGGAGGCAGCTAAGTGGGTGCGCGGCTCCAGTTGGATGCCTTTCGGTGCAATAACCACATTAATTAGCAGACGCAACAACACGCTACACTGGGCAGAAGCCACAAACAAAGACAAAGACCAGAGCCCAGCGAGCTCGAAAAGGAGGTAGCAAGGCAACACTTTCGTTTTCGTTGCAATTAATTGAGATGCATAAAAAATGCGGAGCTGAAATGTTGCACTGGTTGCATACTACTCACCGACGGGCACTTCCCCTTGCAGAGCTGCACGCCACAGCTGACGTGGAGCCGCTCTCGATCCGGGAACTTGAAGGCGGGAAATGTGGCGGCGAACGTCCGCTCGACCAGGTCTTCCTCCAGCTGCTTTGACCAGCCCTCCTCCGCCGGCCGGTGGTGGGTGTGAAGGGCGGGCATTACCTGGAAAGTGATTAGAATATACATATAGTCGTCCAGTTATGTCACAGTTATGGCCACTTAAACGTACCAGAACCAGCTGCAACCTGCCACCTGACCCTGAACCTGAAACCTGTTCCCCGCCACTCATTCACTCCCCGCCTTCTCTCTTTACGGGCCACGGGATTATATAATATTTGGGTGACAAAAGTACATACGTTCACACGACGCCAGTAGCCACTTCCGTTAGCGGGTCATATACCAAGAAACCTCGGCCAAAGCCAAGTTCAATGACAACAAAAAACCCGGGCACAGTTACAGATACAGATACAGATACAGATACTCGGTGTATCATCTAGATACTCTGTGGGAGATGCAGATATGATGCATGATGCATATATAAAATTACAAGACTGGCTGGTAGATTTACGATCTCCATTGTAACTGGAAACGGAAGGCAGATCTCCGACGGATTCAATTTACACACGTGGAGCACGTGGAGGAGCCATGTGTGTGTCGTGGGTGACTTGGTGGGTGCGAAACTTGAGACAATAACGTGAAATTGCTGCGGAAGTTCAAACGAGTTCACGTGCAAAAATGCACCAATCTGGAGAGCTGGAAGCTTCCTCATGGCGGTCATATGTGGCTTTTTTTTTGGAATTTAAATAAATACCAGGATGTTTGGTTAATTTTAAAGTCAAATATAATGTAGGATAGCCTTTGAAAAACCAGTATTTCCACTCTTCTTGCAACGCATCCGCCTTTGGATTCGAATTCGGGTCACAGATTCACATTCTAGAGATTCTGCCCCAGAAAGTGGGTCGCCGCATCTGGGGAGACAACAGCCTGAAGAAGACAGAAGACTCACAACAGAAGAGCGAGGCCAGAACTGGCAGACGGGGCCCAGAAGACAAAAGACTGGGCGAAGACGGGGCGACTGGCTTCTAAATCACTTTTCCTCCACGCTCTGACCCAGAAGTGTTTCTAAACCAAACAAATCAACCCGTGATGGGTGTGCGCATAAATTTGCAATCGCATCCTACTACTACAGGTGTCTACTGTGCCTTCTACAGGTAGAAGCTACAGCTACAACAACAAAAAAAAACTGTAAGAAAGGGGGCCAGACAATAAACAAACGCAGATGCGAATGCCAAAGAAAATGAAATGTGCTAAAACGGAAGGCACTGGGGCTGGGGGCCGAGGCACAATAAAACAAACATCAAATGCAAATGCCTCTCCAAATAAAACAGAAATTAAGCCGTGTGATTTTTCTAGCTCTACAGCTCTGCCCTGACCATCAGCAACAACAAAAAGATACAAAAAAAGATACAAATGTATCTGAGCAAAGACCCATAGCCAGAGCCAGAGCCAAAAGCGTCAGCGAAAGATTTGTTTGACCCATTTTGGGACCGTGAATGAAAATGAATGACATGTGCACCACCAAATGCAAATGCCCGGCAATGGCAATGGCAATGGCCCATTGTGGCACAGTGGGATGCATTCAAGATTATGTTACTCAAAAATAAGATTTATTCCTCAAATGAACAAAGAACAAAGGGTGTTCTAACCAACACTTTAGATAACTTTTTAAGATTTTAAAAAGAAGTCTTAAAAGAATAAATGTGATTTTATACGGTTTTTAGAAAACAAATAAAGGAAGTTTAAAAAAACATAGTTTAATCTTATTAATGGAATTTTATTTATAAACTATAGAAGAATAATAAGATTAAGGTTTAAGTTACAAGATTTTTAAAAAACATCATACGTCTAAGAGTCGAATTAATTTGAAAAACCCTTTTTAAGTTAAAAAAAAAGGTATTCCAACCACTGTATTTGGTGGTCAATGGGTGGAAGATTGAAAGATTGTGGTGCCCCCAAAGGGAGGGAGTCGGAGACGGCGATGATGAGGCAACCACAACAGGGGCACGTCAAAATGCTAAACGATAAATATTTCTATGTATTTCACTGTTGGCTAATTGTTGTGACCTCCTAATTTACTCAAGAAGAACCGAACCCCCTGAAGAACCGAACCGAACCTCCGAAGAACTGAAGAACCTGAGAGAACAGTTCGCAGGCTTAGTTGTAGTTTTTAGTGTTTTTTTTTTTTTTTTGTATTTTTCTTCGTGTTTTTAATGACTTTTGGCTGGGCTTGTTGGGTTGGCTAAGCAACGAAAACTGTTCTAACGATGATCGCATAATTACGGCTAACAGTTTTGGCTTCCTTTTTTTTTCTAGAAGTCGGTGCTGTAATAACTGTTACAATTAATGAGGCGTTTTCCCTCCCATTACCGGTAAGGAGTGTTGGCAAGAGATTCTATACTATTCTAATATATAATATTTCACTTTCCTTTTGAGATTCGATCTTACCGATTGGATATAGCCTATAAGTAAGAGATGTCTAAAAGGCCATAAAGTTAGCCAAAAGTCTTGGCCAAATTGAGTTGTGACAACTTCAAGCTAAAAACTATCCGAATAACTTTTTATGGCTTGAAGACGCTGTCTTCTAAAACTGTCTTCTGACCATTTCTTCAATGTCTTTCCGTTAATTTTGAAAATGCAATTTCTGGAACCTGTTTCTGTTTTGTGAATCTGTAGCGTTTCCCAAAAATATTAAAATCAGTGGATTTCAGTCAGGCTACCCTCTAGATTTCTTGTCTATAAAAATGAAAGTTAAATGCGATCAATCCAAGATCGCCCCACAGCATCTCAGCCATCAGCCATCTCAGCAGGTTAATTAATGACTTTCCGTTTGTTTTTTTAGATTGTTTTTTTTTTTTTTTATTCGATCTTTGGTTTCTTCTCCCGGCTAACGGTCCACCGCAGAATGTTGCCCGGCAGGCACTAATGTTACGCAAATGTATGGACTCACCTGCTCGTCAATGGGACAGCCCCGGGCGTCGAGAAGCTGCTGCGAGGACTCTCCCAGTCCGTCCAGGGCGGCGCAGTCCACCACCCGCACTCCGATCGTGCCCGGAACGATGGCGCGCACGGTCAGGGTGGTGGCCACGCCAACCTCAACGGAGCCGGTGCCATTAGGACCGCCCAGTTCTAGCCATATCCTGACACGTGGCGTCTCCATATGTTGGGCAGGAGCTGGGGCACCACCTGTGGCGGCGGCCAAGGCCCGCATTCTTGCATTTCTGCGGGGGAAGGAAATAATGTAGGAAACTAATATATTATCATTCCAGGCTATCCTACCTTTCGCGTCCATTTTCCGCTCGCCAGGAGGGCAGCGACATGCCCATTTCGGTGGCCGGCAGCTGACATCTCACGGAACTGAGGATGTCGGTGCTCTGACGCAGTTTCTGCTCCATTTGGAGCATTACCCGGACCGAGTACTCCATACTACCATCATCCAAGGGCTCGGCTCGAACCCCACAGCCGGAGGTGGGGATACGGAGGTTCAGGTGGGTGGAGTCCAGACCGCGAGTGCGGCATTCGAGCGGAAAATCCTTGGCATAGAGCAGGCCCCGAAATGGACGGCTCAGTTCCAGCTGCATCTCGAGGAGATCCCGACTGCAGTTGACTTGGAGTGCATGGATTTGCATAGAATTGGAGGGGGCAGTGGCGGTGGAGGAGGTTGAGGAGGAGGCGTCGATGGCGTTGACTGGCGTTCTGGTTGCCCAGCCAGCATGACACACAAACTGCGGCAGATGCAGCACTCCGACAACGGCCATCAGTCGTAGCCAGTGGAGGCAGCCGGGACTCGTATTGGGGGATCGGTGGTGGCCAGTAAAGAAGAAGAACATGTTTCCGATTTCCCGTTCCCGGCCCAGACCCGCCCGCCGATGAACGATGCGAAAATAACCGCAAAACGATGCCACTTGTTGATGATGTTGCTGTTGTTGCCACTGCAACACCTGCGGCCTGCCGCCTGCTGCCTGCTGCCTGCTGACTGTTGCCTGTCTTAATTGACCTACTCCGAGTTGGCCAAGAATCTAGTCTGCAAAATGGAAAAAAAAATTGATTTTGGGTAAGTTTCTAAACCGAAATTACTTTCATTCCCAAGTTTTTATTGCCAATTGTGAATATTTTTCCCGCAAAAGCCAACAAAGATCCGGAAAACTACCATAACTGGCCGAAAGGTAATCAGCCATTGAGAGCAAATAGTAGAAAGGGGATGTCAGGCCATTGTATAATGTCAGTATAATTTATAATTGCCAAATAAACGAGAGGCCATCACATTGGGAAGGGGCCCTTCCCGAGAGATGCCAATTCCGTGCTGAAAGCGGGTCAAGTTTGGCCCATATTTGTTGATTGAGGCAGATGTTGCAGCACGGCAGTACGGCGAACAAATAAGCCAAGCCAAGCCGACAAATAAATAAACAGCCAGACATCAGGGCTTAAATCAACATCAGCATAAAGCGTTTGCAACTTTGCGTAATCCTATTTGATGTTGTAGCTCCGATGCTCGGCCGCTTGTTATTTACCATATATTTTGTTGTTTGCTGTTTTTATTTGTGACTTCCATCTCTTGTAATCAGCCCAATTAACAATAAAGCCCAATGAATGCCAATAAAAAGCAAATATGGGCGCCTTTCAAAGTCACCATCGAAAGCTTACCTGACCTTTGCGGATGTAATCCTATCTCGTAATCGTATCCTTTCACTTTACGATCAAATCCTTTCAGAAGGATGTTAGATTCCCGTCAGAATCCTTTATAAGCTGCCGTTTAATTTTCACACAGAAACAAAAATAAAATTAAATCTTGCACAACCTCGAGGTAGAACCGCAACTTTTTTAAATTGGTTAATAAACACCAATTACGCATGCACGAGCTTCACACGCTCTCGGATGCCAAAGCAAGAATCAAATAATTTGCAAAAAAAAAAAAAAATATTGAAGAAAACGAGCTAAGCTTACTAACACTCGAGCTGAAGACGAGCGCGCGCCACCGAGTTTGCAGATGCAATGCATTGCCGGTGTGCCACCGACCGGGCCAATTCCAGAAGTTAGCCAAGTTAGTTAGTCGCGGCCCACAAGAGGCCGCCGCGCATGCGCACTGATTTTTGATTTGGCGCCAATTATCGTTATCGGTCTATCGGAAACTCCAGGGACGGAGCAAGCTTTCACTAACGAGAAGACGCAGTATGCCAAAATGAATGACAAATGGAAATTTCTTCCGTTCTTTATCCAAGAAGGCAGGGAGAAAAGAAACTGTCAAAATTGTCAATTGTCAATTTTCGTCTTTTACCGAAGTTAGTTCAGAGAAAACCGTTCCAAAGGTATTTATTTATTTTTATAGTTAAAATTTTAGCCATTTTGTTATAAACTTTAAATACATTATGTTATCTAGACAACATGCTGGACTTTGAGCAATTTAAGAAGGATGTCGATCAGATCCTACGTTGGCAACCGACTGCATTTCCTTCGGCGACACCGCCCGAAACACCCAAAGTACCTTCCCTGTTTGACTTAGCTGCGGCGGTCCTCTCTAAACGTATCGGGAATCAGAATATTGACTATTTTCAGGATCAGGAGCCGCACGATTTAGAGGACGAAGCGCTATTTGCTATGATAGAGCCATCAAGATTGGCAAAAATTAGAGCTGCTGCTCCTGTCATCTTAATACTTATAAATAAATGGAATCGCGACGATGTTCAGAATCAGGAGCTGTACGATGCAGAGAAGTTTCCGCCAACCGAAGAAGGACTAATTCCAGGAATTAAAATGGCTATGGGGGCCCTTGACAGACTTTTAGATGTAATGAGTATTGTCAATGTTCCGGATCAGGAGCCGACGAAGGGGTCAGAACACCAAGAGTTGCAGAAAGTGAAGTACAATCTGACAGAGCCAGCAACAAAGCTAGAACTTCAATTAACTGCCAGGGCAATCTATCATCTTTTAAAAAAATGGAGTATTGACTATCTTATTACCGCAACTGCCGCAATGGAAAAAAACGAAATGCAAGAAAATGGTGTGGATACATCTGAATCTGAGAGGAAGGTGAATTACCGCCGACATTTGGAAGACGAAGATCCTCAGCGTAACCCCCAGGTGGACGGCCCAAGCGCCAAAAAGCTAAAAAAATAAATTTGACGGGAGCACTGAGCTTTTGTTAAATGTATTTTCATTTTAATAAAGAATTTACCTACTAAAAAGAGCAGGGAATTAAAAGATAAATGAGGCATATTCATTTAAAAGGAATCACATTTTTAAATATTTCTTCATTGAGCCGTAGGGCGCGAAAATAGCCTTGCGATAACTTATTGAAGACGTTACCCATTACTGTCGATTTTCGTTTGCCCATCTCTAGGAGCCATTTCAAGCTGTCATCTCTAGCTGCCATTTCCAGCTCGTGTGGCCAAACAGAAAATACCGAAATTTCATTCATAATTAAATTTATTTTTCTTGTTGTGAACGAAAATTGTACAGCGGCCCACGGTGACATACTTTGTCGTGATTGTCCGGTGGGCCCTGTCGAACTAATTCAAAAGTCGGCAATAATATAAAACAAAGCAAATAATTGTGTTATCGATACCTAAACAACATCTTGTGGCGATATCAGGAATATCGATAAATTGATACTTCTATTCATCTATTCCTATATTTTTATATTATCAACAACCCTGCCGGCCCACGATGGACCTGGATATGTCGGATACAATTGAGTTCGTTTTACCCTCCAGGGGCGAATATTCTGACGAGGATGATGGTGGCGTCGTAAGTGGATCCCGGGTTGTTGGCGTAGGTGGTGTAGGGGTCGTGGATAGCGATGATGCCACTACCTACGTGGTTTTGGACGGGCTGGGCAACGAGTACGACGAGGAGTTCCTAATAATTAGCGAGGACGGCGTCGATGGCGATCTTCTTGTGGATGAAATGCAGCTACAGCAGTTCGAAAGTTGCCAAGAGCTGCTGGTCGCCGGGTCCCCGCGGATGCCCGTTCCCGGCGACCAGCATTTTCAATACCACCCAGACGACCTGGACGAGCAATTTGTGGTGACCGAAATGTCTGAAGTGGATGAGCTAGTAGAAGTGGATCAGGATGACTTCGGTCTCGAGTATAGCTCACAGCTTCCCGAAGAATACGAGGACGAGGAGGAGGAAGAGGAAGAGGAGTTTCCTTCGCCATCGCTATCTCCGCCGCCAGTTAAGCCGCCTGCAACGAAACCTCAACCCGCACTGCAAATCAGCCGTCGCAGTTTCACTGGACACGATGAAGAGGAGGAGTTAAAGCACGAAGTGAAGCCTAGCGACAAGATGCTAGAGGAGTTTAAGGGCCCGCGACGCTACCTCCTTTTCGATGACCTGGTAGCCACTATTGTGGATTTTGACGACGAGAACACACCCATCGTCGAATTCTCAATGATCAGCAGTATCCTGGATGAGAAGTTGCCGGTAGAGTGTGGAATCTGTCCCGATGTGATGCACAAGTCCAAGCTTTCCAAACATCAGAAGACTCACCTGGTGGCGGGGACGAACCGCTATGCATGCATGTACTGCTCGGAGACGTACCGTGACTGCAAGTACCTTGCCGGACACGCTCGTCGCCACATGGGCATCCGGCCGTACGTGTGTGAGGTGTGTAAGCTGTACTTCTCCACCAAGCAGGACCTGCGTGTCCACAACCAGCGTCGTCATCTCGAGAAGGAGCACATCTGCGAGATGTGTGGCAAGACGTTCGCCCAGAACACGCAGTTAAAGCGTCACCGGGAGACGACGCACGAGAAGAAACGCCGCTACCAGTGTCAGTATTGCCACAAGGCCTACTACAAGAACTTCTCGCTGCAGGAGCACATCCGCAACGTTCACATGGGCATGAGGCGCATGCTGAAGTGCCCGTTCTGTGGCATGCAGTGTCGCGACGCTCACAAGATGGCCCGTCACCGCAAGGAGATGCATCTGAGTCAGGGTTCCTATGTGTGCCACCTATGCCACGAAGAGTTCACCGACATCAACTACTTCGATGCCCACAAGAGGTCCATTCAGTGTCGCAGCAACACCCGTCGCCTGGTAGGCGACGAAGATCCCGACGTAGATGCTCCGGGCTTGTTACCGGGTTCAGTTACCGGCGATATGCCGGGCGAAGCCGCCCCCTTGGGCCTGTTGGATGACGAGGAGCTGGTTGAGGATGCGGGTCTGTTGGTGGACGATGGCCAGCCCCAGCAAGAGGTTCAGCACTATCTGTCCACGGTAGAGGGGGAACCGCACTATGTTCAGATATCAGACTACGACGACCAGCGCCTTCTGGTCGAAAACGTGGTAATTAAGGAGGATATCGACGATGAGGTGGGGGAGGAGCTGCTCACGGAGGAGCAATACATCCAGGCTGTGCAACAGCAGCAACTCCAGCTGCAGCAAAATCCCAACCAGAGTCACCATTTTAACGACGAGCTGATATATGAAATCACCCTTAAGACTGAGGATAACTAAGTGCGGCTCCCCATTCCCGAAACCCCCTTCCCTTCCATAATTTTGGCTCTGAGCTCTAAATAGGTTCAATTCGATTGCGTTCAATTGCGTACTATGTAAACAATACATTATAAACAATTATATACATACATATAACATATATGCCGGATATTGTATATTTTTTTGAATTTCCCGCGCAGGGATGTATTTTGTGGGACATCAATCTGTTGAATGCAACCATTGGGGGCGCAGGGTCTTAAGTAAAGGTTAATCGGTGCCTTGCACCGGCTTTCAGGCCGTTGCAACGTACGGGTGACAAGGTCACGTTCAGAGTGGAAAATTTCCATTCATTTTGCAATTGGCAAGGTCAGGTGACGTCACGGAACCGAACAGAGAGCTGTACGAGCGAGAGAGAGCATGTCGATTACTGCCCATCGATAAATCGCTAAGTGGACGCGGCTGTGGGCTGGGGGGCTGGGGGCTGGAATGTTTACCAACAAACAACTCAACCAACCACCCACCCATTCAGGAAATTAATATGAAAAACGCCACCATGGCAATCCAGGATCCTTCGATCAAACTTTTCGAATCAAACGCAGCCACAGACCCCAGCCGAGAGCAACCGGAAATTGAAAACAAGGATTTCAGTTTGTACAACATATATTTTTCATCGCCACCATGGACGACAACGAGGACGAGCTGGAGGAGCACCAGGAGGACCTGCTCAGTGACTTTAGCGGCGAGGAGGAGGAGGAGATCGAGCAGGAAGTCGGCCCCATGGCCAGTTGGGAGTCCTTCAATGAGCGCATCGACGGCCTGATTTACAATGAGCACTGCGACAAGTCGGTCAAGAAGCTGGACGAGCGCCGGCTGGCGATCCTCAACCGAGTCCGCCAGCAGTTCCGAGAGGCGCCCAAGGGCGTGGTGGAGCGCTGCCAGGCCCAGAAGTCGCCCATCGACCAGCAACTGGAGCAGTCCAGCGAGCGCCTGGACGAATTGGTGCGCTTCGGCAACGAGCTGGTGACCAATGTCCGGGTAGCCAACGAACGGCGCGAACTGAATCGTCGCCTCTTCGAGGCCACGCAGAAGAACCAGGTGCAGGTGAAGCTTCAGCGCGAAAGTATGGAGACCATGGCCCGTTTCTCGGACATAAAGGTAAGATTTCCATTCAAAAGTGAACGAATTACACAATTTTATGTCGTTTGCAGGCCCGCTGGACGGAGCTGGAGGAGATCAACGAGCCGATGATGCTGTGGGACCAGATCGAGGAGCAGAAGAAGCGCATCGCCGAGATTATGGCCCGCAAGGACGAGATGATTGCCGCCTGTCAGGCCGAGGTCGATCGCATGAACACCAAATATGAGTTCGACCGCGGGCGCCAAGCGCAGGACCTGTGCTGTTTGGTGGAGCGCGTGGATCATCAGGTGGAGACGCTGAAGGAGGCCTACAAACAGCACCTGCAGATGCTGCGACACACCATCGAGGAGGAGCGCCAGATCTTTGCCGTTAGCGCCGTGGAGAAGTGGCGCACCTTCTTCGATGCGATGAACGCCAACTTTGACGAGAAGGCCAGCCTGGTGAGGGCGAGGGAGCAGTTTTATGCCCGACAGACCCAGCAGATTAACGAGTCGCAGGAGGAGCTGACCAAGAGCACGCGCATCCGGCTGGAGAAGGAGTGCGAGCGGCTGGAGCTCGAGCTGCGTCGAACTCGGGACAATGTGCTGATGAACTCCGAGAAGCTCGACTACAACTACCAGGTGCTGCAGAAACGCAACGAGGAGAACGTGATCATCAACAACCAGCAGAAGCGACGGGTGGCCAGGCTGCACGAGGCCATTGGGCGCACCAGGCGTGGTCTGAAGAACCTTTATCTGACCGGGAAGCGGAACATTGCCCGCCTCTCCTCCGACATCTACAAGCTGCACGCAAACATCAACGACATGGAGTCGAAGGCCCATCAGGCGCGCCTCAACAACCGCGAGAAGTTCGACCGCATCTGGGAGATCAACTACCAGGAACTGAACCTTCTAGTGGACCGTGTCTACCATATTGATCGCATCATCCACGAGCAGCAGCTGGCGATGCCGTGGAGCCGCCCGGTGGCACCGATTCCCAACATCAACAAGTCCAAAAAGAAGCGGAACAACATATTGGAGAAGTTTGACATGCGAATAGGTCGGGTGCCCAAAAACCGCGTGGTGAGCAAGACGGGTCCCAAGCACCGGCCGGACATCAAGGAGCTGCCGCCCGAGTCGCTGCGCCTGATGCGCAACCTCATTCGGAAGTTGTCCGATCGCGGCGGATTCCTGATCGAGGAGCGCCTGCTGAAGATCTTGGAGCCCTACTCCGAGGAGGACAAGTGCCTCGTGAGGATCGACAACATCTTTGCCGCACTGCGTATCCGTCATTTGCGAGACGTGAAGGAGCTGACCAAGGTCTTTATGCCGTACACGTACTGTCCGAACTGCCAGCCCCAGGGCCTGAGTCCGCGTAAGTGCGCCGAGGTGTTCATGAAGGACCAGAAACCCAACCGACTGCACCACGCATCGGATGGGGGCGTACACCATGACCACCGCGAGAGCGACCGCAATGAGGTCTTCCAGAAAAAGCGCGAGGAGATGGCCAAAAGTGCCACAACCACTACATGGTGATGGAGCCGGCGCTGTGTCTCCACGCCATGAACCTATTCACGTCCAAGATGCACAAGCAGATGTACGAGCACGAGCCGGGCAGCAACACGAACGCCGTTAATCTCATCCAGATTTCGGACAACCAGATCCGCGAGTTCTGGCGACAGTTCTCCGCCTGCTTTCCGGCCTCCAAGTGCAAGCTCTGGAAGACTCTGGAGCACGGACTGAACCACTACGTCGAGGTGCTAAAGATGCGGGTGCAGTATGATGCCGAGGTGGTCTTTCTGCGTCGCCAGAACGAGGAGCTGCGCCACCTTCTCCAGAAGTTCACGGTCTAGGCTCGATCTCTAACCGGAAACCCATAGCCACCCACCTGAAATACCCCAACCCTTTGCTGTTTAATGAAAATTATAATTGTGCCCTAGTCTGGCTCTTTAAGTTCATCCTATACTTGTCTCCCTTGGGGTGTCCTCAGCTTGGTGAGTCTTCACCGCTTTAGATCTTTCCTCTCGTTCTAATCTGGGAAAAAGCTTTGGAACTACCTCTACCAGGCATTGCTTAGCTTTTCAGGGGCTGTGGGAGGGGGATTAGTCTCCAAATCTTAAAATAATGTAATCCAAATATTTGTTAAACTAAAAACAACATATTTTTTATAGAAATTCCTTCTAAAAATATATAAAATATAATAAATATAGTAGACCTTAATGCTTATAAGACTTGTACCCTTGTCTCCTCCGCTCATGTCAGAAAAATGAAACTGGTGTGTCTCGAAGCCCAGATCAGATAATCATAATCCCCATCAGATCAGATAGATAGTTCTTTTGTGGATTCTGAGGTAGTAGTAGGGGTATGTGGTAGTAGGAATGGGACCAGTCCCCCTCCCAAGTGGCTCAAAGTGCAAAGCAAACCACCGGGGGGGACTAATCACTCATTTATCGGCAAATTTTATTAGACAGCGGACGATAAAATAGAAAGAACGTCACCCAGAAGGTTCGCCGGATTCCCGAGTCCGAGTCCGAGTCCGATTTCGAGGCCGCTTCTGATTCCCAGGGCCAACTACTACAGCCTGTAATAATATACTACATAATTAAACAAGGCGTAATCTTATCGTGGACTTCGGGTCTTTTTTCCGTTTGTGGTGTTGTGGTGCCACCAGCGGCGGAAGTCTTGGGCAACAGTTGGCGAAATCGAACTCAGCAAACCGGACGAGGGCGAAGCCACCACCATGGAGGAGTTGGATCACAACAACAACAGCAACTACGGCGTTTGCCTGGAGGAGTTCAAGCTATTCGCCCAGCTGGATGATGATTTGTCGGGAGAGCTCTTTAGTTCCAGCCCTGAGTTGGATCTCCTCGAGATGGACTTCGGGCAGATAGAACCATCCCCGTTCCAGGACGAGCAGAAGTGTCAGAAGGCAGTGCCAGCCAAGAAACGCTCTCGGGGATCGGTGAGCGATCACACCTGTGACGTGTGTGGGCGTCGGTTCTCGGAGGCCTACAACCTGCGCATCCACAAGATGACCCACACGGACGAGAAGCCCCACCGATGCCCGGAGTGCGGCAAGGGCTTCCGGCAGCTGAACAAGCTCCGCATCCACGCAGTCACCCACACCGAGGATCGACCCCACAAGTGCGACATCTGCGGGAAGGGATTCCGCTACGCCAATTACCTATCCGTCCACCGGCGCCTCCACACCGGCGAGAAGCCGTATCCCTGCCAGGCAGAAAACTGTGATCTCACCTTCCACTCGGTCCACGCTCGCCGCATCCACACTAAGCTTAGGCACTCGGTGGACCGAAACCGGGAGCAGGAGCAGACCTCCTCCCTCAGCTACACCTGTCCGGTGTGTGGCCGGGTCCTTACCGACCAGTGTTACCTGAGCACTCACCTGAAGCGGCACTACAACCAGCGGGACTACGCCTGCCCGCATCCGGAGTGCGGCAAGCGTTTCTTCAGTGCCTCAGAGCTGAAGCACCACCAGATCGCCCACACCCAGCTGCGGCCCTTCGGGTGTCCTTTGTGTGGCGCCCGCTTCCTCCGGAAGTCGAACTTCAAGCAACACCTCAAGGTGCACGAAGAGAGGTGAGGTGGGAGTATTCATGAATCATGAATCTTGAAGATAAACGTTGGCGAAAACCTGATCCCCACCTGAAATCGGACGCTTGCCAAACAAGCAGTCAAGCAGTTCCAAAGAATATAATTCCATACCATACCCTCCTCCCATTTATAAGGGGTTTCTGTTTAATAATATAAGTGTTTATTTAAATATACGATTTGTGTTTGTCTTTATCTGCATGCTTGCATATTAGATATATGTATATATTTGTATTTGTATTTATACTTCATAGATGTACGGTACGGGAGCGGGTACGGGTACGGGTTGCTGGGTTCTCTGGCTCTCAGATCCGAGGACTGTTGACGCTGACTGTTGTTCGTTTGTTCTGTTTCGTTTAGGCATAACTTAAGGATTACATTACATGATTAGCGATAATAAAAAAAAAAAAATTTAGCTTTACTACTAGAGACCGAATCGGTATACCCACCCACTGGAGGCTATCGCTAAGAGGCCGAGACCTCTGCAGGATAGCCGGCGCGTGAGAGTTTAAAGCAACAAAAAAATCATGTATTATAATGGTATATTATAATAGAATCAATAAAGACAAAACTTAAACTATAGTTATTTTTGGTTGTAACAGCGAATGACAATTCAAGAAATTATAATAATCAGTAATCAGTTAACTTTAATCAGCGGTGATATTGAAATGAAGCCAAAAACAGAAGCTGCTTTCGGCTCTCGCTGGTCTAAAATTGGTAAAATGTCAAGATAAGCTAGCGAATTTCGTTACATATATAGACTTAAGATCTAGACCCAAGAAAAACGTGCACTTGCCGATCAAAATCCGGCCCTATATCATATTGCAATTGGTTCTAATACATGCACATGCCATGTATTGCTGTAATTGACACTTGAGCTATTGTTTCCAAAAAAAAAAAACGAGTCTAATCGGTATATCAGATATTGGTATCTTTTTTTTTTCTTTAAGATTTAAATGCAGTTCCTGAAGCTGGACCTCTTCTGGGGGGAGGTCTGGGTGTATGGAGACTAGGCCTGAGTTGTGATTTTGTTGGGCAAGTGCTTTACATACATGTATATATATATACGATCGCATTCTGCGGATATTACGACTAACAAGAGCTGCTTAATCGGCCGATTTTGGTTTTTTTTGGGAGTTGACAAATTTTAACACACACATACTAAGCGAAAATCGAAACGTTTAACAACCATCATCATAAACAGATATATATATGCATATATATCCCATGCTCGATCAAGTGGAGGTCCTGTGGAGGTGTGGTTATACACCCTTGCAGGGGCTACCATATCTTTCCAACTCAACTGCAAGGGTATATCAACTTCGGATCCGCCCGAAGATATATCCATCCTTTCTTGTTGGTTTTTTTGGTCTTATGTACATTTGCAATGTATGGTATCCGAGTGTGTGTGTGTTGGTGTGTGTGTAAGCTTCAAGCTTGATAAATCCCAGTTCCTGTTTCGCTTATCCTTTAGCTGTTATCCTTCTTACTTTTGTTTAGTTCCAAATCACCGTTGTATGTTTTGCTTCTTTCACAAAGAATTTTGAATCTCTCTCGTTATCAACTCACACAGATCATCCGTGGGGGGGGGCTTCATTCAGTGTTATTTCTTTTTTTTTTTATTTCTATGGTCGTCACTTTGTGTGTAAAATGTTTCAAAAAAATTGTTTCGGAGCTGCTCCATCTTATAGCTTATCGAAAAATGTAACTTTCCACGTACGTTCCATAATATACATGTATATATATGTATATATTCCTAAACTTGTAACGCCCATATACGCCTGTAAAGATATATGTGTGCTCTTTGTATATAGATATATATATATATCTGTTGCATCTATTTTCTTGTATCGGGTTTTCATTTATACCACTCGTATATATAATTTGCCTGAACTTATTTCATATGTGCTCTCAGAATTTTTCTTGGTTTTTTTTGTTTGTTGGAAACCACTTCCCATTCATTGTTTCTCGTTTCGACACCCCCAGTGCCCCAAAATCGGATCTGGATCGAAGCAAAGGACGTGAGAAATCCCAGACAAATGGCATTGTTTCTTGTCTACGATTTCTCCCGCCTCCAAGCCTTCACGGGGCATCTGAACAATAGTTTCTCCTTAAGGACTGACTAAAAATAAAAATAATAATCTTGTACATTTGAAATCGATTTAAAAAACTTTAAGACTTAAGGGCTACTCTTCAGATACTCGGAGGGCTGCGGTCTCCGATCAGCTCCGATGTGGGAGCACTCTACAGCGCTCGCCGCTCTTTGTGGTTTGCATTTTAAAAACAGGAATCGGTCACCGCTTTATGACATGGAACTGCACGGCAGCCGCGGCGATCCCATCTGGGTGAGGACGCGATCCAGCCACTGGAGCGGCCCGTTTAGGTGCAGCTCGATCCAGCAGGGCGTCGAGGTGACCGTCTGGCGGCGATACTCGGCTCCCCACCCCTTGACGAACGACATCCGGATGGTGCACATGCGCGTGAGCTGATAGACCGCCTCGAATCCCTGCGACACGGACTGGGACAGCAGGGCGGCGAACTCCTGATTGTTGAAGATCTTCAGGTTGCAACCGGGCGGGATTTTGCAGACGGTGGCCGGATGCCAGCCGTAGCGCTGGTTGCAATTGGGGCTCTGCACAAAGATGGACGAATCGCTCAGGCACTCGGCGAACACCTCGCCGCCGATATAGTAGAGCCGCACACCCTTGCCGATGTGACGGCGTGTCTGTTCGACCACCTCGTTGCGGTTGACATTGGAGAGTAGGCCGAGACAGAAGCGCTCCGAGTTGGAGGGATCGGTGAAGCCGTCGACGGTGATTGAGGGCTGCGAGGCGTGGAAGGTCTCGCCGACGCGCGTATTCAGCTCGTAGTAGCTGATGGAGCACCAGAAGGCCGGCTCATGGTACATCACTGGTGCGGCGTCGGCGGGCGGCGTCAGCCGGGACATGTTCATGTTGTCATTGGGATCAATCGGATCGCCATCCTCGCTCATGTAGCCGGGCGGCGGGGTGCCCGTGTTGGGAATGCTACTGCCCACGCTCAGCACACTCGATTGCGAGTCCATGTTCTGGCCGAAAGACAGCTGCTGCTGCTGCTGCTGTTGGTAGGATGAGGGAGAGGAAGATGGTGCCCCAGAAGTTGAGCTGGAGGTGGCAGCACCGGATCCAGAGCCGGAGCCACCCAATTCCATATACTGCGGCGGACTCAGTGAGGCGCTGCGGATTATCGCAGCATTGTAGTCGGTGTTGTTGGGTATCTGGTGTGTATGGTTATCCAGCGGATAGTCCACAATGGAATCGGGCGGCGTGGGCAACGACTTTGGCACCAGAATCGACAACTCTATCTTCTTGTAGTGATACGGATTGATGCAGATCTCGTCCTTGCGCAGATGGAAGGCGTATTCGCAGTGGTCCAGGGGCTTCAATTCATTCTGAGACTGGAGATCCGGCCAGCGCCACAAACGGCAATAGATGACGTGCGGCAAACCCTTCCGCAGATGCTCACCGGCGGGTGCGGGTTTACTGCGCGGCACCGTCACGCACCGCGTCTGGCAGTTCTGCGTGGATATTGCCCGTTCTAGCTCCTCCAACTGCGAGTTCTTCTTTATCTTCTTCACAAGATTCTTGACGGCCTTCTCCGACCACTTGCCTTCGACGCTGTTGTCCTCGCTGCCTTTTTTGAGTGCTAATAATCGCTTGACCACCTGCGGTGTGAATGGCAACATTTCAGGATCTCTCCGGGCTCAGCTCCGCCGCACCAGCTGCTCCTCGTGTTCCTTGGAATGCTCCTGACCTCTCCTCGTCTTCTTTTCTTTGTCGCTGTTTTCCTGTTTCTCCTGGATGATTTTTGATGTCAGCGTCTCTAAAATATTTGATATAAGTTTAGTTTGTTTTTATTTTTTTTTTTTTTTTGATTTTTTAGTGCGTGTTGTGGCAATTAAAACCTGATAATTGGCATGCATGTGTGTGATGATGTCTGATTGGCCCTCCCAACCCCTTTCCTACTTCCCCTGGCTGTAGCTTTGGCTTTCGGCTTCGGCTACTGCTACTGCTGATGCCTCTGCTTCTGCTTCTGCTCCAGCCGGCTGGATCTGATAAAAGCCCGACCCTGGTGACGGCGATGTTTGTGATAATTGCCAGCGCGTGTGTGTTTGTGCTTCGGTTTCGGTTTCTGTTTCTGTTTCTGTCGAGTCCGGAATCGAAATCAGTTTGTGGAAATCTCTAGCCATTCTTATTAGAATCAATAACTTGATTTATGAAGACCATTTGTTGAAGATTAAGAAGAGGCTATGGATATTATGGAACTAGACTTCTAGACCTGTATCTGTAACCACAAACTTAACGGCATTAACGGTCTCTCTCTATATAATACATACATAGTGCGATAGGGAATCGGAATGGGTTGGTAATCTAACAGTTCTCCTCAAGATTGCGATTTCGAGAATCTCGCAATGTAATCGTCTGCGTGGGCGAGTGTCGTCTGCGTTGTTGTTATTGTTCTTATTGTTGTCCGTTTCCCCAACAAGGTCAAATGTCTGCGTTTGCAGACGCTTTTTTCTATTGTTGTTGTCGGCGATTGGGCTTATTTTTTTTTTAGTGCTTGTGCTGGTGCTGTTGAATTACAGCAGCCGTTCTTCTGGGCTGCCAGAAGAAAGACAAGAAACTAGCTGTAGGCTGTTTGGAATTTTTAACCTTATCGAAGGTTGAATTCTGTCGGGGATGAATAGTCACCGGCAATAAATAAAACCAGGCGGGGGGCTGGCGGCGGCGGCGACGGCGACAGGAGACGGGGGCGGAAACCACAATAACGAAATGTGCAAGAAACATGAAAAGAAATTGCATGCCCACAGATACAAACGCACACACACACACATACGCGCGCGCCAGAGCTTTTGAATGTATCCAAGTATCCACATTACCTGTATAACGGCACCGGCTCCTGCTCAGCTCCTGCTGCCTCTCTCGATGCAGGTCCCACTCCCTCCTCCTGTGGCACTCTCACTCTTTCTGCCGCTCTGCTGCAGTGGAAGAACGGTAAGCAAACGGCACCGGAACCGGGCGCACACATCCAGGGGGGGTGGCACTGGTGGCGATGGAGATAGTGGGTGGGGGGTGGTGTCCACCGTTCTCGATTTGTGTATATCTTTAGTGCGCGCCAGAAAGTGACAGCTAGATCCACACAACACACACGCACACCGTAGCAACTGAGAATTTTTATTTTACTTTACGCTCCTTGCCGTCTGCTTCTTCCGCTGACCTTTCGCACTTTCCGCGGATACTTTTCTAGTTCCCTTTCCACCGCCACAGCTGTTTTTGTCACTTCCCGACGCCGCCAATTGCCCGTTGTGAGTTTTTCTCGCGATTTTTGCTGAATGTGCGTTAAATAAATTGCGTCTTTTTGCCTTTTGCGATTTGTTCCAGTGTTGCCAGATGGCCGAATCGGATTTCCGACCAAACCCCGTCAAGCTTTTAAAACCAACTAAAAAATCCTACAGTAGGATAGGATTCAAAGTGCGCTAAATTTAAACTTAATAAATGTCAATACTAAGTGACTTTTTATTGTTTAATATCGAAATCGATTATCAGTTAATTGTAAATAATATATTTCTGTTTCCTCAAAGCATTTTTTCGACACCTTTTTCCGCATAAATCACACGAATGTATTGTTGCATAAATAAACCTCACTATTGGTTTTTTTTTAAGAACACTACCTTCTTTTGCGTCAAAAACCTACAAAATATAAAAAAAATCTAGTCCGATTGACCGTGTTATCTTAAAAAAGACTCCACAGGAGTGTGGCCATGCTGCCCCAGTGGATTTTTCAGAGCTTTTGAACTTGCGCCATTGTACCGTGTGGTCACACTCTCGCCTGCAGTGGAATTCAAATTCAAAGGCGCGTTTAGCTTTTGGTTCAATTTTTATTTCTGGAATAACAATCAAGGATACTACACATTCTTCTTAACATCTGTAGCTCGCTGTCTTTTCTGCTGGTGCCACCTCTTGTGCTGGGCGTATCCTGCGGCCTGGGCAAAAGACTTGTCGCATTGGGAGCACTTATACCGCTTTCCATCCTCGTGCAGTGGACGATGGTGATACAAAGCTCTCGAGCTGGAGAATCCTAGATTGCAGTCAGTACAGATGTGTCGCCGCCGCCGCTCACCGATGTCCTGGTGTCGCTCCAAGTGTGTCTTCAACTGATATCTCGCCGCGAAGCTGGCTTGGCAGCTGTCGCAACTAAAGGGCTTTTCACCGGTGTGCCGCCTTCGGTGGATCGTCAGGTTCCAGTGTATCCTAGTGCGGTAGCCACAAAACTCACACATCAGCAGCGGGCTATCCGCATTCGCGTCCTTGGTGATCCTCGCCCTATATTGGCGTCTTTGGCTCTGGTCTCGGTTTGGTTCATCCGCTGCCATGATCGGGCACTGCGTGTGCCAAATCTAATCGGCGGCACTATTGTTAGACGCACGTTTTACCATTTGGCATTTGGGATGCCGCCACCCGACCAATTAATTGTTGTCAAACCAAATCGGCTAAATTTAATTTTAAACACGACCCTCCCGAGAGAGCGCCGCTAATTCAGATTCAGTTATATTTATCAATACAAAAAGATGTTAACTGTTGAAATCCGTCTGGCGAGGATTTCCGATTCGATTATCAATATCGCGGTGTTCCCTGTCACAAAGTTGTTCAAAATAATATATGTCTGTACAAAAAAGTCATTGAATTAGATGAATACCTAAATTCAATAAATACTATCCGTATTTTATATGATTATACTGTCTAACAAAGGTGTCCTTACAACTAAAGGGTTAAGATAGAGTTTAAAAAAAGATACTTTCAAATCACCGTATTTCATCAACAGTTTTTAAGATTGGGTGAAAGTGGAACGGACGTGTTAATCATAATACAAAAAAAAAAACAATAGGAAACAATAACAAACCCCTATTTATACCCCATCCAGAGGAGAGGTGATCGGTTTGTCCTATAGTCTATGCCTGAGTTCTTAAAATTATTCGAAATTGGAAGATTTAAACGATTTTTCTCTATCATACATCCATCACCTAGCCGTTGAGCTCGTCGTTCCGGTGCTTCCGCATGTGTCCCGCCAGTCCTGCTGCCTGGGCATAGGCGTTGCCACAAAGCTTGCAAACAAATTGCTTGGTGTCCGCATGTAGAAACTTGTGATGGTACAGGCCCTTTTGGCGTGAGAAGGTGGCCCCGCAAACACCGCACACATGAGGTCGCTCCGTCGAGTGCATGGCCATGTGCTCCCGGAGGCCGGAATGTGACGGAAAACGCTTGTTGCACACTTGACAGCCGAACGGCCTCTCACCCGTGTGGCTGCGGATGTGGACGCGCAGCGTCTCCTTATTTCGGCAGCTGTAGCCGCAACTTTCGCACACAAAGTTCTTTTGCTCCGTGTGCACCTTGCAGTGATTTCGCATGTGGCGGACAGTGAAGAATCGCTTCCCGCAGCCTGCGTGCGGACAAGGCACGTTTCTTTCCGTGGCATGCTTCGTCTGGTGTCGCTTCAGCTCGTGTCGTGTCTTATACCGCCTGCCGCAGACGACGCACGCGACCCCACCATGTGCCTCGACCATGTGCTCGTCCAGTAATCGTAGGCGGGGCAGTTGGGTATCACACTCCAGGCATGTGAAGCTCGTGGTTCCCTCGTCACCCGGGACATCGTGATCCCTTTTTAAATGCTGTCGCAGGCTGTACTTCCCATGGTAGATCTTCCCACAGTGCTTGCACTTATGCTCCTGGACTGGTTTCGTGCTGGTCTCCTTGGGTGGCTCATAGTCAGCATCATCGCTGTCCGCTTCTAACGAAGCCACATTCTTGTGCTGCCGCATGATATGCCGTTCTAAAGTCTTGCGGCTCTGGTATGTCTTCGAGCAATATGGACAAGGATTGGGCGATTTGAGAGATGCAGATTGTTGGCTCTCTACTTCCAGATGCAGAAATGAAAGGTCGTCGCACTCCTGGTCAGAGTCCTCTTTGTAGTCGACTTTTAAAGCTCTAACCTGGCGCAAGCAATCGTAATTGGAGTTATCCCACTTCATGATAGCTTTTCCAGGCAGCTCCTCTGCGTCTGCTGCTGCTGCCGCTCCCGTTTCATCGTCGCTCTCATCCTGCTCGACACCACCGATTTCGTACCAAGCAAAAGGATTCACCTGCGCTACAATCGGCACGGGAGATGCTTGACTATCCGCCAGGCTATCTCGCTGCTCCTGCTTCAGCTCCGTCTCTGTCGTTTCCGTTTTGAGCAGGCCGTTCTCAAAGTGAACGTTCTGGACGTGAAGCAGGAAGTCACCAAACACGAAGCTCTTCATCTCGCAGAAGGTGCAGTCAATGCGAAAGCTGTTCAGGCTCTGAAAGTAGATCTCTCCGCACTTGGCGTTCGCCATTCCGGCGTACGTGTCCGGCTTGAGGGACTTGAGCATGGTGCTGCTGCCTGCGGTCCACTCCTCGCCAGGATTTCCTTTCTTTTTCCAATATTCGTGAAGCCACAACACGCAAACTTTTCGAGAGGCTGTGCTTGAACCAGCTGATTGGGGGCCACAGGTGTTGGCCAACACTGGTCTCCCCTCTGACACCGTTCACTACCAACACTGACAGCTTTTAAGGTTTCCAACACCACCGGCACTCTTCCTCTTCCTGCGTTGTGGCAACACGAGATTCTTGTTTCCGATTCCAAATATCGGAAATTATCATCACATATAGCCGCTAGATCCTTCAGCGATGCATCCTGATCTCACGGAGCGAATTCTCCAGCACCTGGAGACTGCCGACCAGGTGGACACTCTGGACCTGGCCGCAAAATTCGCCGTGGACCACCAGAAGATCGTCGGCGCCTTGAAGAGCATCCAAGCTCACGGAGAACTGGTCAACGCTGAGGTGGCTACCCACAAGAGCCTCGGCCTTACCGATGAAGGGCGATCTGTAGTGGAGCATGGCAGTCACGAAGCGCTGGTTTACGCTGCCGTTCCGGAGGAGGGCATTGCCCAGGCCGCTTTGATGACAGCTGGAGGTCCTAACGCCAAGGTGGGCTTCAGCAAGGCCATGTCCCAGGGATGGATTCTCGTGGACAAGACTGTTACTCCACCTCTCGTGCGCCGCAAGGTGGAAAAGATAACGGATTCGGTTAAGGAGCAACTAAAGCAGGTGGCGGCCGGCAAGGGCGATGCTTTGCCCTCAAAGGATGTTACTGATTTCAAAAAGCGCAAGCTTCTTCAGGAGACCACCACCAAAAGCTTTGTACTCAGCCGTGGTCCGGAATTCGCGACTACCTTGACCAAACTGGAGACGGATCTTACGGTGGAAATGCTTTCCAGCGGATTGTGGGAACAACTCAAGTTCAAGTCATATAACTTTGATGCCTTAGGTGCCCCACCATCGCGCGGTCACCTGCATCCGTTGCTGAAAGTACGCACTGAGTTCCGGCAGATATTCCTCGAGATGGGCTTCTCCGAAATGCCCACCAACAATTACGTGGAATCGTCTTTCTGGAACTTTGACGCCTTGTTCCAGCCGCAACAGCATCCGGCACGTGATGCTCACGACACTTTCTTCGTGAATCATCCCGCAAAAAGCCATAAGTTCCCGCAGGAATATCTGGAGCGTGTGAAGAAGGTCCATTCGGTGGGTGGCTACGGATCGAAGGGATACGGCTACGACTGGAAAGTGGAGGAGGCCCAGAAGAATCTACTGCGCACCCACACTACGGCCGTGTCGGCAAGGATGCTGTATAAACTTGCAAACCAGGAGGGTGGCTTCAAGCCCGCCAAGTACTTCAGCATAGACAAAGTGTTCCGCAACGAAACACTGGACGCCACCCATCTGGCAGAGTTCCACCAGGTTGAGGGAGTTATTGCCGATGTGGGCCTGACCTTGGGCGATTTGATCGGTACTCTCTATGAATTCTTCCGCAAGCTGGGCATTACGCAGCTTGAGTTCAAGCCGGCCTACAATCCCTACACAGAGCCTAGCATGGAAATCTTCTGCTACCATCCTGGACTTGGAAAATGGATTGAGGTTGGAAACTCTGGAGTATTCCGCCCGGAAATGCTACTGCCCATGGGACTGCCGGAGAACGTTAATGTGATCGCTTGGGGCTTGTCACTGGAGCGTCCCACCATGATTAAGTACGGGATCAACAACATCCGCGATCTGGTAGGTCCTAAGGTGGATCTGAAAATGGTAGAGGAGGGCCCGATATGCCGGCTTGATCATGTTTAGAACCTTCGACGAAAATATATATTTTTTTTTATACGATTGTTCCAACCCAAAAATATTTATAAATAAAAAAAGAAAACAAATATGTTTTTTGCGGCAATAGTTTAAATAATTTGGTGTTAGTCAACACTAATTGGAAACAGCTGTTTGTATAGAAATCTAGTTCTCGCGGTCTGGCAGCTCCAGGCGATGTCATCAGCTACTACAAAGAAAGTTGGAAACAAAAACAAACAAGCAACCAAATCGAAACAACATAACAAATTTACACTAAAACTGACACTTTCTCGCACTGCCAGCTGGAGAATACGGGAAAATGGAAAATAATCCGAGTCAAACTCTCCACCAGGCGATCCAGAAGAAATTTGGCTTGATAAGTGCCTGCGAAGGTGGCAGTTCAAAATTATTTTGTGATCCTGAAACGAATTCAATTCCCCTGCAGAGCCACCAGTTTGTCATACCACAGCTGCGGGTACCTGAGGATATAGCCACCCAGGAGCGTTTGCGGCAAGCAGCGGATGTTAGAAATGAAAAACTTCTCAACGAGATTAAACGCCGTCGTCAATGCAGCGAAAACGAAAACAACGCTTCTGGTTTTATAATACCCAAGTTGGGAGCTGTGCCCGGGGAACCTCTGGGAGAGACCAAGCTTAACATACCGCTTTTGGGCCGTTTGGAGCAAGGTGTGGGCCAGTTACAGATAAGCAGCGGAGACGGTGACAGAGCGGGTAACACAATGCTGGTGTCGATGCCACCAATTACTGGACCGACTACCCTTATTGACCTCACATCCACAGTAATAGCCGGAATAAAGGATGCACCTCCCAAGGAGTCCGCCACCAAAGCGAAGGAGAAACAGAAAAGACAACACACTGAGAACTTTGAGATTCCATTCATCGCTTGCAATCCGGTTCGTCGGAGCAAGCTCTCCGGGGGCTTGCTCGCTGATCAAAGGCGCTCCCAGCACGATGAGACGCTAGGCGATTCGGAGAAAGGGGAAATCCTTGAAATAAAAGAAGAGCCAAGTTCGGTTGGCAGCATGCTCGACACCGTTGTGGGCTACCCAGCACCAAGACGACCACAGCTAGAGTATGCAGGGACTGTGGTGGAGCGTCAGCACTTGAAGTTATGTGTTCGGCAGGACTATGGCACCCAAATAAAACGATTCCGCTTCGACACACCTTCTCCGGACGAGCTGGTTAAGCAAGCGCTGCAAAAGTCCTGGCGCATATCCCGAACCTGACTCTAGTTTACAACAAATTGACAATTACCAATAAGTAAATAAAAAATAAAATCAATTAGGTCAAAACTATTTCCAAAAGATTGACAAGGACTTTGGCATTCTAATATATTTTACTATTTACGCCTTTGCCGAAAATATATATTTTTTTTTAATTTAACGAGAACAAAAAATTTTGCATATTTTTCATTTGCAGATTTGTATCCGATCGAAAATTGCGGTAACTATTCTGGATTAGCGAAACGCGTAGCGATTTTCCTTAATCAAATATTGATTAAAAGTAATTTTAAAAAAATTTTCCACAAAAAAATTCCACAATTTTAGGGGTTTTCTTGATTTCCCCACTTTTGGTCCTTCCGATGGCCATAGATCTGCCAATTTGTGTCCGATCAGGATATAAAGTACCATTTAGTAATCAGCGAACCCAGAAGCGACTTTCCTCATTAAAAACATTGCCTAAATGGCGTTTTTTAATTTTTCGAAATTTTTCCAAGGGGTCCGCCTTCAAAATTGTGGGTTTTCTTGATTTCCCCACTTTTGGTCCTTCCGATGGCCATAGCTCTGCCAATTTGTGTCCGATCAGGATATAAAGTACCATTTAGTAATCAGCGAACCCAGAAGCGACTTTCCTCATTAAAAACATTGCCTAAATGGCGTTTTTGAATTTTTCGAAATTTTTCCAAGGGGTCCGCCTACAAAATTGTGGGTTTTCCTGATTTCCCCACTTTTGCTCCTTCGGATGGCCATAGCTCTGCCAATTTGTGTCCGATCAGGATATAAAGTACCATTTAGTTCTCAGCGAACCCAGAAGCGACTTTCCTCATTAAAAACATTGCCTAAATGGCGTTTTTGAATTTTTTGAAATTTTTCCAAGGGGTCCGCCTTCAAAATTGTGGGTTTTCTTGATTTCCCCACTTTTGGTCCTTCCGATGGCCATAGCTCTGCCAATTTGTGTCCGATCAGGATATAAAGTACCATTTAGTTCTCAGCGAACCCAGAAGCGACTTTCCTCATTAAAAACATTGCCTAAATGGCGTTTTTGAATTTTTTGAAATTTTTCCAAGGGGTCCGCCTACAAAATTGTGGGTTTTCCTGATTTCCCCACTTTTGCTCCTTCGGATGGCCATAGCTCTGCCAATTTGTATCCGATCAGGAAATCAAGTACCATTTAGTAATCAGCGAACCCAGAAGCGACTTTCCTTATTCAAAACATTGCCAAAATATCGTTTTTTGATTTTTCGAAATTTTTCCAAGAGGTCCGCCTACAAAATTGTGGGTTTTCCTGATTTCCCCACTTTTGCTCCTTCGGATGGCCATAGCTCTGCCAATTTGTGTCCGATCAGGATATAAAGTACCTTTTAGTAATCAGCGAACCCAGAAGCGACTTTCCTCATTCAAAACATTGCCAAAATATCGTTTTTTAATTTTTCGAATTTTTTCCTAGGGGTACCCCTACAAAATTGTGCGTTTTCCTAGTTTTTTCACTTTTTCTCCTTCGGATGGCCATAGCTCTGCCAATTTGTATCCGATCAGGAAATAAAGTACCATTTAGTAATCAGCGAACCCAGAAGCGACTTTCCTTATTCAAAACATTGCCAAAATATCGTTTTTTAATTTTTCGAATTTTTTCCTAGGGGTACCCCTACAAAATTGTGGGTTTTCCTGATTTCCCCTTTTTTGGTCCTTCCGATGGCAATAGCTCTGCCAATTTGTGTCCGATCAGGATATAAAGTACCATTTAGTAATCAGCGAACCCAGAAGCGACTTTCCTTATTCAAAACATTGCCTAAATATCGTTTTTTGATTTTTCGAAATTTTTCCAAGAGGTCCGCCTTCAAAATTGTGGGTTTTCTTGATTTCCCCACTTTTGGTCCTTCCGATGGCCATAGCTCTGCCAATTTGTGTCCGATCAGGATATAAAGTACCCTTTAGTAATCAGCGAACCCAGAAGCGACTTTCCTCATTCAAAACATTGCCTAAATATCTTTTTTTGATTTTTCGAATTTTTTCCTAGGGGTACCCCTACAAAATTGTGGGTTTTCCTGATTTCCCCACTTTTGGTCCTTCCGATGGCCATAGCTCTGCCTATTTGTGTCCGATCAGGATATAAAGTACCTTTTAGTAATCAGCGAACCCAGAAGCGACTTTCCTCATTAAAAACATTGCCTAAATGGCGTTTTTTAATTTTTCGAATTTTTTCCTAGGGGTACCCCTACAAAATTGTGCGTTTTCCTAGTTTTTTCACTTTTGCTCCTTCGGATGGCCATAGCTCTGCCAATTTGTGTCCGATCAGGATATAAAGTACCATTTAGTAATCAGCGAACCCAGAAGCGACTTTCCTCATTCAAAACATTGCCTAAATATCGTTTTTTGATTTTTCGAAATTTTTCCAAGGGGTCCGCCTTCAAAATTGTGGGTTTTCTTGATTTCCCCACTTTTGGTCCTTCCGATGGCCATAGCTCTGCCAATTTGTGTCCGATCAGGATATAAAGTACCATTTAGTAATCAGCGAACCCAGAAGCGACTTTCCTCATTAAAAACATTGCCTAAATGGCGTTTTTGAATTTTTCGAATTTTTTCCTAGGGGTACCCTCACAAAATTGTGGGTTTTCTTGATTTCCCCACTTTTGGTCCTTCCGATGGCCATAGCTCTGCCAATTTGTGTCCGATCAGGATATAAAGTACCATTTAGTAATCAGCGAACCCAGAAGCGACTTTCCTCATTAAAAACATTGCCAAAATATTGTTTTTTAATTTTTCGAAATTTTTCCAAGGGGTCCGCCTACAAAATTGTGGGTTTTCCTGATTTCCCCACTTTTGCTCCTTCGGATGGCCATAGCTCTGCCAATTTGTGTCCGATCAGGATATAAAGTACCATTTAGTTCTCAGCGAACCCAGAAGCGACTTTCCTCATTAAAAACATTGCCTAAATGGCGTTTTTGAATTTTTCGAAATTTTTCCAAGGGGTCCGCCTACAAAATTGTGGGTTTTCCTGATTTCCCCACTTTTGCTCCTTCGGATGGCCATAGCTCTGCCAATTTGTATCCGATCAGGAAATCAAGTACCATTTAGTAATCAGCGAACCCAGAAGCGACTTTCCTTATTCAAAACATTGCCAAAATATCGTTTTTTGATTTTTCGAAATTTTTCCAAGGGGTCCGCCTACAAAATTGTGGGTTTTCCTGATTTCCCCACTTTTGCTCCTTCGGATGGCCATAGCTCTGCCAATTTGTGTCCGATCAGGATATAAAGTACCATTTAGTTCTCAGCGAACCCAGAAGCGACTTTCCTCATTAAAAACATTGCCTAAATGGCGTTTTTGAATTTTTTGAAATTTTTCCTAGGGGTACCCCTACAAAATTGTGGGTTTTCTTGATTTCCCCACTTTTGGTCCTTCCGATGGCCATAACTCTGCCAATTTGTGTCCGATCAGGATATAAAGTGCCATTTAGTTCTCAGCGAACCCAGAAGCGACTTTCCTCATTAAAAACATTGCCAAAATATTGTTTTTTAATTTTTCGAAATTTTTCCAAGGGGTCCGCCTACAAAATTGTGGGTTTTCCTGATTTCCCCACTTTTGCTCCTTCGGATGGCCATAGCTCTGCCAATTTGTGTCCGATCAGGATATAAAGTACCATTTAGTTCTCAGCGAACCCAGAAGCGACTTTCCTCATTAAAAACATTGCCAAAATATTGTTTTTTAATTTTTCGAAATTTTTCCAAGGGGTCCGCCTACAAAATTGTGGGTTTTCCTGATTTCCCCACTTTTGCTCCTTCGGATGGCCATAGCTCTGCCAATTTGTGTCCGATCAGGATATAAAGTACCATTTAGTTCTCAGCGAACCCAGAAGCGACTTTCCTTATTAAAAACATTGCCTAAATGGCGTTTTTGAATTTTTTGAAATTTTTCCTAGGGGTACCCCTACAAAATTGTGGGTTTTCTTGATTTCCCCACTTTTGGTCCTTCCGATGGCCATAGCTCTGCCAATTTGTGTCCGATCAGGATATAAAGTGCCATTTAGTTCTCAGCGAACCCAGAAGCGACTTTCCTCATTAAAAACATTGCCTAAATGGCGTTTTTTAATTTTTCGAAATTTTTCCAAGGGGTCCGCCTACAAAATTGTGGGTTTTCCTGATTTCCCCACTTTTGCTCCTTCGGATGGCCATAGCTCTGCCAATTTGTGTCCGATCAGGATATAAAGTACCATTTAGTTCTCAGCGAACCCAGAAGCGACTTTCCTCATTAAAAACATTGCCTAAATGGCGTTTTTGAATTTTTGAAATTTTTCCTAGGGGTACCCCTACAAAATTGTGGGTTTTCCTGATTTCCCCACTTTTGCTCCTTCGGATGGCCATAGCTCTGCCAATTTCTATCCGATCAGAAAATCAAGTACCATTTAGTAATCAGCGAACCCAGAAGCGACTTTCCTCATTCAAAACATTGCCTAAATATCGTTTTTGTTTTTAATCCAATTTTTCCTTGAAATAATTATATGTTATAAATAACCAAACGAATAAAATATTATAATATATTTCAGTTGAAAAGCATATGCTATAACTCTGTAAAAATAAAATTTGTAACATTAGCTTTAATGAAATTTATAAATTTTTAGGAAATAAAGCACACAAATAAATAAATAAAAAAAAAATATCGTTTTTTGATTTTCGAAATTTTTCCAAGGGGTCCGCCTACAAAATTGTGGGTTTTCTTGATTTCCCCACTTTTGGTCCTTCCGATGGCCATAGCTCTGCCAATTTGTATCCGATCAGGATATAAAGTACCATTTAGTAATCAGCGAACCCAGAAGCGACTTTCCTTATTCAAAACATTGCCTAAATATCGTTTTTTGATTTTTCGAAATTTTTCCAAGGTGTCCGCCTTCAAAATTGTGGGTTTTCTTGATTTCCCCACTTTTGGTCCTTCCGATGGCCATAGCTCTGCCAATTTGTGTCCGATCAGGATATAAAGTACCATTTAGTAATCAGCGAACCCAGAAGCGACTTTCCTCATTAAAAAC